CAATAACTTCATTTTTTAATGTATAGTTTTTTAATTTATTACTCATATTATATATATATATTCATTATTGTGTAATTTGCATTTACGAATAAGATTCGTACATTTTTTTTTTTATTATTATAAAATACTTTTGTTGTTATTTACATCAAGTTTTTTTTTTTATGGGTCATATGGTCTTTAAATTGCATATTTTAAATGATAAAAAGAGTGATTTATGTCATGCCAAGTATCTGAATTGGAAATTGGCCCGAGACCATATGACTACATCAAAAGAAAAAATGGGTTAACAATAAAGGGTAATAAGGAGAGATGATAGAAAAACTGCGTATTACAATATAAAAAAAAAACTAAATAATATAAAAAATAATAATATTAATATTTCAATGAATGGATTATGTAAATACGCGTGAAAAAAAAAAAATCAGAAACCGGTATTTCCGGTATTTTAAATATAATAATAAAAAATAAAAGGAATGTAAAGATATGTGAACATATGCGTTCGTGTGAAATTTTTCAAAGATAAATATATCATTCATTTTTTACAGAATATTCAAAGCCAGCTTTAAAAATACCGTATATAATAAAAATACAAATTTTTGAATAGAATTTTTTTTTAAAGATCGGGAAGATAATCAAAATTTCAAAAAAAAATTAAGGGTGTTATAAAAGAAAGTTATTAGAAAATCGATAAAAAAATATCGACTGATAAATTTTTCAATAAATTTTTGTAACCGTTATTATTTTTACTTTTACTTTTTAAAACTTTTTTTTTCTTAAAAATACTTTTTGTTAAAAAAATAAAAAATAAAATAAAAAACAAAATAAAAAATAAAAAAAGAAAAAGAGAGAATATTTTACAATACTAGTTATTTTATACAAAAGGAAAAAAGGAATAAAAATATAAATCGATTTTTATAAAAGAAATTTTTAATTTTTATAAAAAAAATTTCTTATTAAAATAATTAAAAATATTTACAAGTTTACCAAATTATTTCATATTTGGCAAACCTTGCGTCTTGAAAATTTAGATCGCTTAAAGGAATATTTGTAGAAGTTTTTTGTTGAAGAAATGTCGCATTTTCGGTCAAGATATTTACACATTTTGACATACATTGAACAAATTGAATCAAAATCCAATGCATTATTAAAGAGTTAAAAAAAAGTTGTTTTTTTTTTTTTTTAATAAAAAAAGTTTTTATAAATCAGATTCAGGAATAAGACAAATCCTGTGTGTAGTTTTTCGATTAGAGAAAACCCTTTCATTTTATATCTGAATCGTTCTGATTAAAATTTCATTTTTTTTTCAAGATAAAGCATAGTTTACATTGTTATGCATAACAAAAAAACCGGTAAAAAAATAAATTTGGTTAAGAGGTTTAAAGAAGTTTTTTTGTGAATCACGTGCGAAATTCATATTATTGGCTGTTTGGAAAGGATATAAAAGATTTAGGGGAATATTATCGGAAAGAAACCTAATGCATGCAGGACATTACCGGCAATTTCTTGCGTGCTTGCATCAAAATGCGGGACACATAAAATTTTCATATGTTTTATATGAAAACTATTCTGGTTCCAACATTTCTTTTTTTCGATCTTGCCTTTTTGGATTTCATTCCCGTGTATTCGATGTTATCTAAACCAAAAATGATATAATTAAACACTTTTAATGAAGGTGAAACGGCTATATTTGAATGTCATTTGTAATGCTTAATGCTTAATTAAAAATTAATTTTTTTTGTTCTCGACTTTTTAGTACCCATACGATCAAAACGTCTGTACGACAGTTATTATCTTTTGTGCATAAAAAGAAAAATCACATAGAAAAATCACATTTGTGATATAATTTATCATCACATATACTAAACGACACGACAAGTATTCCGAGAATGAGAATCATACGACTAACTGCGTTATTTTTGATGCACGTGATAGCGGATTTCTTAAAACAAATCACGAGATCTAATATTTATTACTAGAAGGTGTCACGAACTTTAAAATTTGCGTATTTGGTATTTGGTACCTCAATACTATATTACTGTAATACTATACTGTATTTCATATACTATTATATTTCATACTTCATATATTTCATATATATTTCATACTCTATATATTTCATACTCTATATATTCCATATTCTTCATATATATTTTCATATATATTTCATAAAAATTTTTTAGAAAATTGATCACATATCGGAGTTTTTGGAATGAAAACTAGAAAAATGATCATTTATCGGAATTTCCCCGGAAAATTTTTTATAGGGTTTTCGTATATTTCATATTTTCATATATTTCATATATATTTTCATATATACAGTAATTTCATACTTTTTCATACATACTTTATTATAGAATTCAATTGCTTATTAATTCGAAAAATTTTCAATATAATTCAAACCAATGATATTATTATTATTACAATGAAACTCGGGATTTTCTAAATGAAGAAATTCAATGAATTTACGTTTAATGATCCTTGCAGCAAAACAACTTTATTTGAAATTCAAAGTTTTACTTGATGAATAATTCAAAATAACAATGAAAAATAAAACGATATTAAAAAGTCGGAATAATCTTAATAATCCGTAACTTAACTGTTAATTAAATGTATTTAATATTTCATTTACAAAAAGTCGAAAAGTAAGGAAAAAGCGTGATTTCTAACCAGAAATAGAAAATCGCATTGTGTCGCAAATATTATTATTAACATACATTTATCGAAAATTCCTATGTTTCATTATTTAAATCCCGATGCAAAATACGTCACTACGCTTACAAAGTATAAAATTTTTTATTATGTTAAAAGATTTGTTCCCATAAAAAATTCTTTATGAAAAAGAAAAAATGAATAGTACATTAGAAAACTCTTACAGAATAATTCTAATCTTAAACGAACGATATACTTAATGATTATTTTATGTGCATTTTGATGCCATGTTAAAAAATCCAAACATTTGCTCATCATAAATATTTTTTTCATGCAAGTTAAAAATAAAAAGTATTTCTACGTGGAACTCGTTTTCCTGTCATGATTCATGAAAGACCGGGTCAATTTTTCAATTGGTGTACCACTTTGAAAATTATTTCGTCATAAAGCATAAAACTTACTTTCTTGTAAAAAAAGCAACTTTCTGAAAAAAAAAGCTGTATGCAAGGTAATACTAAACCTGTTGTATCATCATTTAAAATTTCTAATTGTGGGTGAAATTAAGCAATAACTACGTCATCGTGTGATAGTGTGGCTAATGACGTAATTACATTTTATTTATTTGTTTGTTGTTTATTAAAAAAAAAATTCGTAAATGATACACAAATTCCAAACTAATTTTCTTTGAAACGCGTTTTTAAATTTAAATTCTAACGCGTGATAAAACAACTATAAGAAATAAATTGTTTAACTGAATTTTTTTTTTTGATTTTAACCAGTTTGTATTATCATTTAATAATATTAATAATTATAAAATATTAAAATATTGTTAAAAAGTTTCCATGTAATCTTTCCATAGAAAATAAAAAGGAAAAAAAAAAAAAAAAAAATTTTTTTTAGCATGTAATGAAAATCCTGATTATTTGATTGGATCGTTAATTTTTTTTTAAAAAAAAAAAACTTGGAGGAGTTTCAAAAATGATACACGTTTATCAGACTCGTGTAACATTTTAATGATTTGAAACATAAAATTAACGGATAATTACATTACAATAGTTTCATGATGTTTTTTGTACAACTCAATCGTAAACTAACAATAAATAAAAGTATCATATGTAATAGAACAAATCAAAAGTATTTAGTTAACAATTCCGCTGTTGTGGAGTCACAAACCCGAAAAAAAATTAAATTGATCATGCAAGAAATTTTTATTTTATTTTTTTATTTTATTTTATTTTCTCCGATCCTTGAACATGTTTTCCACGTTATTATTATTATTTCCTATTTTGTACATAAAATGTGAATTAGTTCGTATCTGATAAACAAATTATATTACGTTAAGCAAATGTATGTCATGAATTTTAGTATTTGAATTACCAAAATTCATAAAGATTTCTTCCATAAGAATTTTCTTTGAAAATGTACAGAATTAGATAATCACAGATTTTATTGAGACTTGATCGAAAATTCGAAAAAGAAACAAATAGGTTTCATAATTTGGGTTGTACAAAAATCAGACAAAGGATTTTAACTGCGTGTAAAATAAATTAATAAATTGCATTAATTGATTAATTCAAATCATTGGATTATTAATCCATCATGATAGATAATTACGTATTTCTAATGATTTTATTATCTTAGTTGCATCTCTTTTACGCGTTTTCGATTTGTAAATTAAAGGACATTACTTGTAAACAAATTTCTCGAATCAAAACTAAAAGATATTCAAGATATTCTTAAAATTTCTAAAATAAAATTATTTTATTATTAATGAAATCGCAAATTACTGTACAAATGAGAATATTATAGAAAAAAAAATAATTAAAAAATAATGAAAATAAAAATAAAAAAAAAAAAGATTATTCCTTCCAAAATTTGAATATGAACAATCAAAATAGTTCTTATTCATAATAATAAAATCTTAATGCTCTTATAATAATAATAAACATATGAAAAATATATTGTTGTTTGATCTATATAAAATGAATAAGGAGAGGGTGAACGTAAATGGATAATATGGAAGAAATAAATTGTTTGAAAAAAACTGACAGAAAATGTAATAAAATTTTTTTTTTAAAATACTGTTCAGTTTAGATATTAGCATTTATAACTAAATTTAAAATTTAAATATAATATTTACAATAATTGTATCTTTCTATTACAATAAAAGCACAAAATAAATGCTATTATTGAATAGTTTCTTTTCTTCTTTAGGAATTTAAAATATTTCGCCCGCATAGTTACATATACTTAAATGGAAAAGAAATCATATAAAACTAAATAATGAAAATATTGTTGTTTTTTTTTCTTGTAAAAAAAAAAAAAACAAAAAAATGTAAAATAAATGATAATTAAAACATATTTTGTCCGTCTATACTCGGGTCCCAAAGTTCTGTCATTATATTCTCGTTTATATTGAATTCTGTTTCTACTGTAGTTGTGGGCGAAACTTGTTGAGTATTATTATATAAGACCTGCCCCACAGTATCAGAAAGACGAAGAAGAGAACTTATGTCTAAACTTGAATAACTATTTAATTCGCTGGAATTAATGATTGGATTTTTTGGCACAGCCCTTACATTTATGACTTTATCATTTAAAGTATTGAGTAAGCCTTCTAACTTATTTACTCTCTCTTCGAGTATGTCCACATATTCATCACTTTGCTCACAATTTTTACATTCATTGTTATTTATCTTTTTCTTGGGTTTTTTATTTGTTTGTAATCTTCGAACAACCATAAAATGAGTTCTTCCAGTTACATCGATAACGTCTGGTGTGGTATAAGGTTTTCGTCCACGTTTCGCTGGAGTATTAACTCTAAGTGTTCTTGATTCGATTTGACCTGATGGTGGAGACATTGCTTATCGTCTTAAAAAAAAATATTTTAGAAAAGTTGTAAGATTGTTTTTAAAATTTTTTGATATTCGAAGAAAAGTAATCTTGATCGTGAATACTTGAAAAGTTTTCTAAAAAAAAAATTTTCTGAGACATCCTTTTTATATTTTTTCTTGGTTTCACATGTCACCCATTTTACCTATTTTTAACCTGATAATATTATACAATAACAAATACAACTCGTGAACATAAACACATGCATTTAAATACTTTTAACTAAGTCAATTTTAGAACATGAATATTATTAAATTTAAATAAAAGGTAAGCGGTATTGACAAAACAGGACGTTTAATACACGAATAAAAGTCATATGAAATTTTTGATCATGTTCGTTGTTTTTTTTTTTTTATTTGTTTGTTAAAAAAAAATATTATCTATAAATCTTTACATAATAAAGAAAATTCGAATTCAACCTTATTCTAAGAAGATTATTTATATATCCAGTATTCTAACGGAGAATTTTCATTTAAAGTTCTTGATTAACAATATAATATTTTCTTATAGAATGAGTTCCCTTGTCAGTTTTTTCTCGAATATCTACCAAAGTTCTCGTTACCCGAACCAAGGATTTTCAATGCTAACCTTAATTTAAGGGATGGTAACCATTATGGTGTAAGTGAGTAATCATGACGAACCCGCATGACCTGTTTGTCATTTGATCCTTTTTTTTTTCTTTTTTTGAAGTTACCTACATTTCATTAATTAAGTTATCAGCCACAATGATGTGCACGAATTTCAGCCCAATTACAACCCATTTTTTTTTGTTAAAATATTTCAACAAGGTGAGGAAAAGATCCAGGGAACGCACATTTATAATAATAAATGCAACAATGATGTAAATGAAAGTCATATAAATGATGTATGTACATTTCTTTTTTTCTATTCGAAGGAATATATTATTACCCATTTGATCAACAAGTAATGTTCTATGAACCACCAATAGAACCAATCGGAAAAATTGCCGTAGGTCAGATGATTTATCATTTAATCGTCACATGCCACTTATCAGATCCGGATTTATGGGATTTGAATAACGCGACTAACTATAAAATAAGTTTAGATTACAGTTTTAGTTTTGGTAAGAAGTACCGTTATACATATATACATTTACTGCATCCTGAATAAAATATTGGGTATCGGAGCACACAAAGCAAACACAAAGAATTGATGTCCTATAATTGTTCTCCATTTAAAGTTTAAAACTTTTAATTCCTGTGAATATAAGCTGATTCTTGCAGTTACTTTTTTTGTCTAATCCGATTGCTCCCTTGTTATATTATATTTATTATTTATATAGATTTTATGTAATTATATCTGATAAGCTGATAAGGTCATATGCTTTATATTTCTCTCTCGTGAATTGGAAAAAAAAAAAATAAAAAAAAAAATTAATTAATATTAAATATCTCACGCGTGCTACTCAGCTGCTCAAAATTTTAATGATTCTATACAAAGTAAAAAAAGAAAGAAAATTTTAATTAGGTTAAAAAAATATATGATTGGTTACCTTTTAACGAAATTTTTAAAAATTAATCTTTAATTATTATTAAAGTCTTTTAATTATTGAATATATTTTATTAGCAATAAAATTAAAATTTATATATATAAAATTTTATATATTTTTGTATATAAATATACATATAATTTTTTTTTTTATAATAATTATAATAACGCCATTTTGAGTTATCTTATCGATGCGTGGATTTTAATTTTATTAACTAATAAATTTAGTTAATCCTAATCTTATAACAAACAATATGCAGAATGACTGTCCCCTGAAATTTTAATTTTATTGTTTTGAAACGTATTTGGAAACTAAATAATTAATGATTTTTTATACCTACCAATTAAAATATTTTTCTTTTATAGTTTAAACTTTACGAGTTAAATCTAATTAAACACCTGGAGTATTTTTTCCTATTTCAAATCTAAACATAGACTATACAAATTCTTGATTTGGAAGATGAATATGTCTTTTAAAACAAATAAACAAAATTTTTCATTTATTGGATGGTCACATTGTTTCTTAAAAATGAATCCTTTAATGGATCCATGTTTATTGCGCTATTCTTCTGATCGCCTTTCGGGAATATTATTTATTTGTATTACATATGAATCTCACTAATCTCCGTTTTCTCCGGTTCAAAAAATTTTCATTGTTTACGGTCCCTCGAAATAACTTAACCTGATTTAACAATACGACATTGAACAAATTTAAATAAATCAAAGAATTTTATTTTCTTTTAATATAATAAGGATAAACACAACAAAAACAAAAAAATATTATCAATATATCATTGTAATATTATTTGAAAGAGATATTTGGATTAATCATGAGACTATCACATGAACAACTTTGTAATCCAAACGTAATCACAGTAAAATAAAAAGTGTTCTTTTTATCAAAAAACAGGTTCAAAAAGTTCTCTTGGAACTTGGCTGCATATTTAAAGTTTCATATCGGACATTCCTATTAATCTCACAATTATAAACTTACCTATTTAAAGCAATTCAAATGATTCAATGAATTAAAATACTATAACACCTTGTTACACTATTAGGTCATCCTAAATCATGAGATCAAACTAATAAGAACTAATCGTCATTCTGCATTATTGATCATATGACATTTGACGATTGATCAAATGAAAAAAACAGTAAGTCGCAAAGCCAGTAGACAAAAAAGTAAAAAAAAAGATACAGTAATTTTTTATATTCCATTGATTTTACTTTATCAAGGTTTCTACTTCTATATCAAAGTTATATCATATTAACTTTCTTTATCAAGATTTATTCATATTGACTGACTTTATCAAGATCCTAAATATTTCTATTGACTTCCTTTATCGAGATTCAAATCCTATTGACCTTCTTTATCAAGATTCTATTTTATTACCTTTCTTTATTAACAAAGTTCTAACTTTACCAAAAGAATGTTAATAATGAAAGCAAAATTACGTATCGAAATTTAGGTTGTACGATATTTCGTATGGGAAACCAAAAGGTAATAATTATATTTATCATGCTCACATAGAAAGACGAATAAAGTGAAAAAAAAAAAAAAAAAAATAGTATTTTTTAGTTATTTTTATTTTTATTTTCTTTTTTGAACATTCTTCTTAGATTGAAAAGCGTGTTAAAATGGTTAAAATGGTTATTATTCTAAAAAAATTTTGAAATTCGTAATTATTGTAAATCCAATATCTTTTTTTTGTGTCATTTAATTTAATATGAAACTTGATTAAAAATGACTAATAATGTAATAAAATAAAGCTCTAACGAGGTAATTTCCCGATTTAATATAGTCCTAATATTAAATAAAATATTTGAACATTACTCACATCTACCAATAATTGATTTTATAATTATTTCAGCAAATTTAAATACTTTAATTAATAGAATGCATCACTTTCTCTATAGGCTATTATTATTCAGCTGTGTTCTCTCAACGTGTCTGAATACATGCACTATAATTTCCACGTTCTATTGAATCTTTTGAAGATCAATGGACAAATGCGACATCCATTATAAAAAAGAAAAAATTTTTGACAGAAAAATGATTGATTTAATAATAATTGGCATAATGCAATGTGATATTTTGATTTATTACCGTTTTTTTTTTTTTTAAAAAAAAAAATAAGATTAAGGTAGATTTTTTCAGTATATTAATGCTATGAGATTAAATTATGACTTTATTAATTTTTATTTCATGCATTATAAATTAGTAAACAAGATTAAAGCAGTATTATAAATGAATGATAGACGATTATAGAACCTTTCAACCCATCTATTATATTCAAAGACGATAATTGGTTTAACCGAAAGATCTATGAACTTTGATAATCCAAGATCTCGAGTTCACGGCGCCAATTGAAACAGAAAGTGCCAGGTTTAGTAGGTTTAGTATAATATTATAATAAAAAGCAGAGTTGATCTAAAAAATAATAGGAACTTCGTTGTAGAAATCGAATTTTGTACCAATAACCGTTAAATTGGAAAATTACAATACATGTAAATTTCCAACACTCAAGAATTCAATATTTTGTAATGTTCTATAATCGAGTTATAATCTAAAATTTGAAATTTGTAATGAAATTTATTAAATTATTTTGAAAATTATATAGACATTTTCTCTCACATAGTTCTTATAGACAATTCTATTTGAACTAAACATGCCGAATCAAAATTTTAATAAGTTTATATATATATATATATATGTTTGTTCTGACGACATATATCCGTTTATCGGTATCCTAACTTTCTTAATTCGAGCATATAACAATTTTTGAACAAAAAGTATGAATTTGGTGGTCTCAGAGGTACCACTCGCTTGGCTTTCTTCTTGTACTAATCAATTCAGTATCAACATTTAAACTAATCTGTATAATATTATATTTAAATGTTTTTATCTTCTGGTTATAATCAAATAAATTTATAAGTTAAATATAGGTTTCTGTGTTTTAAAGTCGAAAGTCGGTTATAATCGAAAAGTTATATCGGAGATTTTGACTTAGGTACTGAAATGTTTAAATTTGACCGAAAAAGATTTCGATAAAGGTAATTTCTTATTATTATTATCTTTCTATTTATTCAGATTTTATAATACCATTCGCGATTTAATAATTATTTATTAAAAATTGAAAATTATATAGAATATGTCTAACGATTTTAACCTCAAAATTTGTACACTTTGGAAATTTCAAGCAGATGGAGTGGTATTGATGTAGGATTTTATCAATAAATTTTAAACTCTCGCTATTGATCCATCATTTGATTCAGTTAAAATTTTCTCGATTAATATTGAAGAAAAATTAGGATGTCGATGAAGGATTTATGATTTCTTTACAAGATGTTATTTGCATTATTGAATAATTCCAAATCAACTGATTAATGAATCAAATGCTGTTAATTAAAACATTCTTAACAACATAGGTGTGTATTTTTTGGTCATTTACTCTTCTTTTTCACGATTGTTTCTTTATACGAGGAACTTAGATAATTAGAAACTTACAACAAATTTCTTCCTCTCTGACAGTTCCCTCTGACAGTTAATACTGTACATCAGATCACGTGAATTCGAATTTTTTGCGTTCAAAAGGTGTCTGATAATTTACATAATTTATAAATGAGCATATCCTGAAACTTTGATAATTTTAGATCCGAAATAATTGTACAGATCATAATATTTTGCGAAACAGACTAGCTAAGCGAAATGATAGCTTCATCCTTTATGATTAGGCAATGACGAAAGTCAACCAACCCATCAGTAAGTTTCTTTAAAACTTTATGATTATAAATAATAAAAAAAAAATATTTAAACCTAATATTTTATTATTACTTTCTTTCTTTTTTTTTAAAAAGAAAAAAAATTTTCATTTGGATTCCCATAATTTCACTTTGACATGATATGGACAACAAAAAAAAGACTCTACTTACAGGATCTGTATATAGTCAGTCAATTTTCCTTATTTCCAATTTAGTCACAACGTTTAGACTGGATGGTGAAGTATCCGTAAAAGAAATTGAATATCTTTTAGACCTTTCTTTTAAAGATTATTCTATTCCGGGCTTGCCCATAACTTTTCTAAGTTATATCGGTAAGGATGGATGCAAAGTATGATTTTTTAAATATTTATTTTTAATTATTAGCAAAAAATTCTTTTTGTAGATTTTAGCAAATGTCTTAAAACAAAAATAGGTGATTAATTTTTTTTATTAAATATTAAACCGTTGCGGTAAATAATATATTTCATATGTAGAATAAATAAATAATCTAAAGTAATTCAAAATAGTAAATTAAAAATTATTAAGTAATATATATATATTCAATCTGTTAATAATTATTACAACACTAAATATTAATAGCTCTTTCTCCATCATCATCTACTCTAACTTTTTCATTATGTGTTTCTACAAGATCTACAGGAACATCATTATTGTTTACAATAGTATCATTCATCTTTTGTTCTATTTCATTTTCTTTTGTTAATATTTCTGCGGGTAGTTCATTACTACTAATATCAAGTGGTAAAGAACCATCATCGGTTTTCGAAACAGATAATGTTTCTGAACTCTCCTTATAAAATTGTTCGTAAGAATCAAAATTATGCTTGCAATCAAAATCCCAAGTGTTTAACCATTTAACTCCGTGACATTCTTTTTTTGTCCATGGATTACTATATGTCAACGGTGAAAATAATGAAAATACATATATTGCTACAAATAAAAACATTACGGCCACTATATAACGATTTCTTGTCTTTAATCGAATTGTAACTAAATCAAATCCTATGCCAATAAGTAAGATTGCATAATATAATGCTGGAAAATAATGATGCAGAAAAAGTTGTCGCTTCATTAAAAAGAATGGAAAATAATGACAACACCATCCAATGAAGAAGAAGCCTGCGTTGGATTCAAAATGCTCTTTTATTGCTAACAACAAAAAAATAGATATATATATTATATATTAGTAAAATTCTGAAATTTGGAGTCTAAACAATTTAAAGTATCAATTCATACCATTATTATCTTTATAACCTCTTTTGGCTCTCAAGAGCATAATTGATTTTGCAAAAACAAATACGATTAATGCAAATGCAGAGGACCACCATGTTAATGGATTTCCAATTAAGAAAACTTGGCGATGATCTTTGCTCCAAAAGTTAATGCCACTTTTCATGAAAACCCAAGACGATGGGTTTGATTGGTAAGGATGAGTATCTGTCAGACCAGAATTAGTATTCCACATCACTTTATTAAGTTCAAATAATTTTCCAAAGAATCCTGGCTTCTTATAATTCACTTTCTCAGCATCTTCAGGAACTAGAAAGTATAGTAAATAAAGTCATTAAAAACATTTAATTCAGTTTAAAAGAACAATAATTTCTACTTACTATTTGAATGAAAATTTGTTTCAATATACCAAATTGAATTCGATAAACTTCCACCCTTCGCACATGTAACCTCTTGTTGATCGAAACCCCAATCAGGTAATTTCACAGAATGGGAAAATAAAAAACAACCTGTAATAACATGCTGAAGACGGAATTTTGTATGGAGTGTACGAAGACGCAATTTAGATTCCGGATCTGATTTATCATGATCCACAATTATTACACGCCAAAAATCATTCGCATCCCCTTCAAATCCTTCATAACCATAAGCACTGTTAAAAAAAAAAAAAATTTCATTGATAGTAAATAGCAATTTAAGAAATAAATAAAAAACAATTTGCTTTCAAAAGCACCTCACCTAACTTCATTCTGAAAATCTGCGTCAGTAACTGGAGGTCTGACATCATGACTATGTAACCTCCTGTGAGTCGAATTATGTTCCAGTCGAATTACGTCGCCATCATAAACCCAAATAGGTTTAGTTTCATTTACCGCGAGATTGGTTTCATTTTGTAAAATCCACAAATTATTATGGTCTTTATGCGGATATAAGGTAATTTGTTGTTCTAAATAAAGTACACATATTTATTAATGTTATTATAATAAAATATAACGGTTAAATATATTATTTACGTGTGCTTCCTCCAGGATAATTGTGTTTATGAGAATGTAAATATCCTCCCTGCGTATTAACATGTCTTAATGTTATTTGCGAATTAAATGCAACGTCTAAATAATTTAATAAATTATTAAATTTTTCTTCAGAAAAAATCAAAAATCATTCATAATTACTAAACATTAAAATAATTCACACCTATTGGCATATCATTCATACCATGTCCTCTTAAAGTATGTTGAAATTCAGAACTCATGAATCCGTCTCCATCACCACCATTTTGCAATATCGCAAAATGGATAACAAAAAAGAAACAATATAATGATATTGGAATCACAATTAAGCATAATGCTCGAGCAAAAAAATGTCTCATCCATTGAATCTAAAGGTTAAAAAGTTTTTTGTTTAAATAATCCTTATAAATCATTTTTAAAGTTAATATATTTATATTTACCGGAGTTATTCTTAAATCACCGAGTAATTCCCATAATCCCTTTATCGTTGATAATCCAATATGAGCAATTGTAAAAAGTCCGACCCACTTACAACTAAAAAGAAAAAAAAATAAAAATTAAACTATATCCATAAAAAATAACAATTAATTCTTGTCAACATACCTCACTGTAAGCCCAAGTCCAACTCCAGTCATTGCCAACCAAACCCACCACCAAAATTTAAAAGGTCTTATATTTAATTTATCAAGAATTAAGTATCAATAAGAGAAAGTTAAACAAGAAGAAATAAACATATATATTATCGGTTCATACCTTGTTTGCTCATTATGAAATTTTACCCACATTAACACTGTAAAACCAGTGAAAGCAATAAGAGGTGCATCCAGTAAAATAAACCTACTTTGTGTTACCAACCCATTCTCTTAATTAAAGAACCCAATATAAAAATTAATAAAAATTTATTTAAATTTTGAATTTTTTTTCTAAAAAAAAGTATTCATTATTACCAAATATAATTAAAGCAGCTACTAAAAACGACGCAGCACTGCTGAACCCTGATAATCTTATAGTTAAATAAGAAATTGGTATTAAGAAGATTCCCAACATAGCGGGTAATAAACGCATTGCTACATAAGGCACTTTAGGTTCCAAATAATCCCTAAGTCACGTATTTATAAAGGAAAAACAGGGGAAAAAATTAATTATAATTATAATTAAATAAAATAACAACCATCTTTGAACTTACTTGCCAATTTCTTTAAAATCAAACCTCCCATCAAACCCGCCTAATACACCAGCAAGTGTAATCAGTAATTTTGCTAATGGTGGATGCACATCCATAAAAAACCTTCCTCTCATATATTTTCTAGTTTAAATAAATAAATTAATCTTATAATAAACAAAAAACACGTAAGTTAGAATTTAATAAAATGCTGAACATACGTTGCAAAACCACCAAAATGTACTTCGTCGAATCTGTTTATAAACATTAAATCAAATAAAATTTCTTAGCTTCTATTATCATTAAATAATTGATCGATAAATGAAATTAACACTTACACTACTGAAGTAGGTTGATCTAACCGATATAATCTCACTATAAATGCTACTAATATAAGTATAATAAGATTCAGTAAATCCCCCCTGTTTACTCTAAAGAGTGACCGAGAGGATTTTCTGTTCTTATATTCGTATCCTCTTAAATCATATATCGGATCAGGGTCTTTATAGTCAATTCTTGACTTTCGAAATCTTATGTCGCCATATGAAGTTCCAGTAGAAGTAATTTGATCTGTAGTAATCAAATTGAAAAAGTTAATAAACCTTTTATTTATGATACTTACCACGTTATAAATATGTACCTGAATATTGCAGCTGTTCTAAACCATCGCCTTCTTTATATTTAGAAGCCATATTTCATATTTGCACCAAATAAATATTTTGGCCCGTTATTTATTAGATCTTTATTATGCTACACAAACAACGTGTGAAATTTATATTTGGTGATGTAAAATATAACGGCTATCACATTCACGTGAACACATTTGGACATCTTTATCACTCTTATTTCCGTAGTCCAGTAAATTGAATTATATTGCTCAAGTCCATTAATAGCCATCAATCTTGTTTTCATTAATTAGACTAATTTTAAATCAGTTAAACTTATACAAACACTACAATATTGTTTATTGTATATTGCTTGTTAAATTTCTTTTCACATTTACTTTTTATTTAAATATTCAAAAATTCGAGTTAAAAGTATAAAGAATAAAGAATATATATATATATTTTTTCTTTTTTTGTTTAAAACTTTTTCGCGAAAATGATAATACATTGGGATAATTTTCATACTTCTAACTATGAAAATATATGACATAAAAATGCTTTCACTTAATCTTTACTATTAGTAATTTCACGTGAATCCTCCAAAATAATTATTTAACGAAGACATTATTCGAAGGAAAAATAAACAAATTTTTTAATTATATCAACTGTCCAATAAGACTACCCTTATACCCTACATTAGCTGGGTCAACACCATAATAGAAAATATAGCCACGATCATTACTGGCTTTCAATTCTTTTTCCAACCATTCACCCAATTCCTTACTCATTTTTGTTTTGGTCGCAGAATCTAGGCCGATAGATGTAACTCCAGCAATGTAAGTCGGTTCATCCGAATCATTAAAGAGCATTGAGAGGTTATCTTGTAAAGAAACACATATATACGATATTGGTTTGTTGAGAGCGGCGGCTGAGTAAGTACTTAATTCTTTAATGAATTTTTTGTGGTCTTGCACCTGTTTAAATTGGAGTAACAAGAAAGTGAGATAAAAGAGCAGAAATGGGAAGAGAGTATGTGAATTTATACGGAATGAACGAACAATATTTTTATAAACTTATTTACCTGAACATTAGTTTTAATCTCGATATATGGCATCTTTTGTTTCCTTCTTTTTCAGGGAGTGGTTAATGGTGAGAAATATTTTTTTATTCCCAATTTATATGAGAACAAAAAAAGATTGATTAGATCTTGACATTATTAAATAGTCAACCCTAACTGTTTAAGGGAAAGTAGTCATATTTATTTTAACGTATGATCATTATTTATACTTTTGTCTATAACAATTATGTTATAATTACATACATTATAGAATAACAATCTTGTACAATTACGTTAGTTAGGCTGATCACTTTTAACTTTATTTGGCAAGTTGAAGTTAGACGAAGATCGTTAATAATGAAATAATCCTGAAATTCATGTATGGAAATATTACTTTATCATATGATACAAACTTTGTCTTTTCGTAAATCTGTTGTTGAGCCATTTGATTTTCACATTAATATCTTTTAATAAATATAAATATTTATTACGGTAATTCACTAAATGAATTACAATGAATTTATACGAAATGATATTTGAAACTGATGAAAAATATATGAAGAGTATTTATTTTCCAGAACAACACCTTATACTTTATAGTATTAGTGATACCAACGAATGTGATGTTAGAATTCCTTCTAAAACAAATAGTCCCATAAAACAACGTGCTTGAATAAATTTAAAAAACATGCTATAATTCGTTGTCGAAGTACATAGCACGTTCCGATTGGTTATTTTTTTGTTTTTTGAAATCACTGTTATAGACGTGTAACCATCGGTAATTCTGTGAACATATATATATGGCGTGGTTGCGGAATGCGGATACAGTTTTATACTAGAATACATTTAAATAAAATAATTGTATTTCTTTTTTATATAGAATATCAATTCAAAAGATACATATTGCAAGTCAGTGGCTCAGTCTGATTGGCTTTCGAAGTGACGAGATTTGCACTTGCAAGTTTACAACAGTAATGTTAGGAAGGAGGGCTGTACATGCTGATTTACCATTAATATTATTCTTAGACTTATTATGATCAGCGTAAATCTCACTTCTATACTTCATCAGTATGTTCCAATAGCTGAGCATCTTGAATAAATTTATCAACATCATTATCACCACTAGTCCAATGCGGTAATGCGGTACGTAAGCACCTCGATTGTTAATTGTAATTCTGATTTTGGGTTATCTTCGACACTTTCTTCATCACTATAATCTTGATTATAATGCGTAATAAACATGCATTTTAAAAAGTAAATATATAATTATACCTTGATATTTTATTTAGAAATTCTATGAATCATATGAGCGTCAAGGACTTGCGCGAAAGGTCGTTAAAGCTTTTTTAAAATTTTGTTGAAAACGTTTTGCATTACAAATATAGTTGCAATGAAAGCTTAGACATAAGGATGTGGAAAATGCTACCCTAAATAGATGTTTTATGCCGTAACTTCACTAAATCCCGCCAGAATCACTCCGTAAGAGAATTCAGGAATCCGAATATCGAATGCCTTATTATCCTTGCCATCATGACATTTAGTGTAAGATCCCATCTCAAGCCTTGTCCACTTTTTGATTATAAGAAATTTTTTGACTCTGTGTCCGCATTCTCATATATGAGTCAGGAGCCGGATCGGTTTGTTTGTCTGCCGAAGATGATTGATAATAATCGTCCGATGTATTAGTCCAATATAAAGTGAAAACTCTAATTTCTAAATAGGATACAAAATGATCACCTGTTCATAGAATAAGTTGATTTCCCATTAAAGCAGTATTATAAAATTCAGTAAAATATTACACTTAATATAAACATAAATAGTATATGTGGGTATTTTATCTTTAATTACAAATTTATTTCTATTAAAAACCATCAAATTTTCTATTTACCAATATCCTCATTAGAGACTACTTGGTACATAGTCCAGCCAATTTTCTGCAACCTTCGGGCGTTGAGTCATTGTATCCCCTCGCATGATTGAGTGTTTTATCATTTGATATCTCTGGTATCCTTTATCTTATTTACTGAATCCAGAAATACCTGTTTAACTATTGCTCAAATAACTTTCTAATTCTAATTTATAAATAAATTAAATTTTTTGATTTATAATTGGGTTAAGGAAGTAATAGGAAGTTAAATAAATCAAGGAAAAATAATGGTTGTATGAATGTGCATACTTAATTATCGAGCAGTGACTTGGGTGGTCAAGTATTGATGAAATGTTATTATTTGATACCTCTGATACCACTTGATATGTCAGAAACGTGAAAATATTAATTTTAGTACATAAGATTCGAAAAAGTTTATAATACATTTCAGAAAGTTTAATAAATTTAATAAATAATTAAATATTTTAATACATAAATTGAGCGTCTGTTGAACTCTGTTTCAATTTCGAAACTTTAGTTAAGCTCAGAATTCTCAGCTACAAGATTGGTAGTGTCTATTTTACTTTTTGATTCTACTCTTGAGCTCGGCATTTTCTCCTTCCTCCTTATTTTTGTTGTTTTATTAAAATTTATATACACATACACATACATGTGATGTATACACAATATATTTTGAATCAAATGAATTTTTCTATCTTTTTTCTCGTGATCAATCTATTCCTCCACAACCTATCTTAGCTTTGCATTCTCTGCCTAAATCTCGGCATTCTCAGCCATAAGCTCAACAACTTTCTGTCTCAATAATTCAAGCTCTGATGTCATGTTTGATAACACTGTTTATACAATATATTCAAAAAACAAAAATTAACGTGCACTTTCGTTCAAATTTGAAACTTTGCCAAGAAAAAATTTTAAACCATGCGAAAAATAAATACAAAGGATTGGGTAGTAAGTCAGTGATTCATGATGATGATGCCCTAGGGAATTTGATTCCATGCTAACATACATGCGAAGTGTCATACGGCCGATTACTCCTGTATTTCGAAATATCCCTGGACCTGTTGCTTTTCTCTCTTTCTACATCCACCCTATCCTTTAATAATTCTACATCACCTGCTTCAAGTTTTACGCCTCCCCCCGAACCTTCTTTAAGTGCAGACTCGGAAAAGCGAATATTAAGAGGATTTTTATTTGTACAAGATATTCCGTCCGAAGCATGAACTTTTCGGCATTATGAATAGCTAAAAGTCCATCTTTAGAGGATGAAATACCAAACTGTAGCTGTTGTGGCGATTCCGTAGATATAATCATAGTAGTCTCCAAATGCATTATTCGCCTTACGAACGTCTCTTCTTGTTAACTTGCAACGCACTTTTGTGTTGGATTAAATTCTGCACAAATCCATGAATATTTAATGAAGCTTCTCCCCGGTTACACAAATTAGTTCTTCAAGGGCCTTAATTGCGTAATCAACCGTCCGATATTTTCTTCATTAACAATTTCAAGCTGAGAAGCCAAGGTGCTTTTTCTGTTATCATCTTAAAAATATTGAGCGAAGCGCGAAGGATAATCGAAATATTACTCGCAACGCGTAGCTTGAATATAGTAGTGTCTGCGTATAAATTCTGAGGCTATGTGGCGTTTAAAAACTTACCAGTGCGAATAATATATTCCATTAAGTCTTTTTTTAGTCTTGTACAAGGAGAAAAAGCGCTTCTTTTTTTCCTTACACTCCTATAACCTTTTTAACACCACGGCGAAATTCCGCATCATCTTTCATTATTTTCTCGGTAAGTACTATGTGATAATCGTCTTTCGAGCAATAAATCCTTTCCGGTGTGTACATGAGGAAGTACCAGTCCGAGGCTAAACAAAGAAAGACACGAGTTAGTATATACGAACGATTGATAAAAAATCACACAAGCTCTACCTGCGGTCACAATTTACTAACAATTCTAATAAGTACGTCATTGAGTTAGAAGACTCAATTACTAATGGATATTTAGATTATTATGAATAGTCAAATGCCACGGATGCTTTCCTCTTTCTTGTGTTTGTATAGTGAGAGCTTTCGAGTTGCATTATGTTCTGCATGAATCTCGCTACCAATCCTTTTGTTTTCCCTCGGTTATGGCTATCAACTCCTCATTAACGGCGTCTATTATTTTCTTGATTGCGTAATCGACTCGGCCTGATGCTTCTTCGCCTAAAACTTCGAACTGGGGGTCCATGGTAATTCCTTTCTTTTGGCGATGTAGATGGATGCGTATAATATTGGGGAAATATACTCGCAACGCACAGCCTTGTTCCTCGTCTTCATCGTCAATTTCCACAGTCTCTGGTTCTAGTGTTTCAACCCGCGGATAATCCGTTATCCGTCAATCCGATCCGTTTAATATCCGTCACCCGACAATCCGATCCGTCTAATAAAAATACAATCCGGATATCCGTAGTGACGGATTGAAGATTATCCGGATATCCTAACGGATCCACCCGGATACTCTTAATAATCTAAATATATGGAGATTTACTACGATATCTCCAAAGTTTAAGTGGCCGAAGAACCGAAGGATCTAAAGAAGAAAAACAAAATTAGTGAAAAGAAACAAAAAAAAGTAACGAAAAAAAAGAAATAAAAAAAGTTAACCTAACTATTTTCTCCGAAGCCAGGTGGAAGGATCTAACGAAATTAGAAAAGTTCGTATGATAATATCCGGATAATCCGTTAGTGATACAGATAATCCGGATGATCCGTTACGGATATCCTCATCCGTATCCGTTTAAAAATTCCTATCCGGATAGCCGTAAATGGCGGATATCCGTCCACGGATACGGATTGCGGATAACGGGTTGAAACACTATCTGGTTCAAAGGGCGAAATTTTTGTTATTTCATTGCTGTCGATTCCGTACTTACGTAACACCTCCTTTAACTCTTTCTTAGTCTTGTACAAGGAGAACGACCTCAACTTTTTCTCTTTACACTCCTTAGCGAACTTTACAAAGGTCACAAGCCTAAGCCAACATTGCGAAGCCTTTCTTCGGTCAAGTCAAAGAAGTCACGGCAAAAACGAGATAAGAGCTTCTGTGTCATATTTTTTTATTTCATCCGTCAATGTGAGCGTCTCATTTCCAGTAGCGCTTGTGGAGGAAGTGGAGGCAGGTATATCTTCAATATCTGACATAGTACGTTTTTTTTATAGGGATATTTGGCTCGGACAAAAAAATAGTGTTACGTTCGGAGAGAGATAACTTATTTCTGGGAAAAAACAAGCGTTAATATAGATTTTTATGTCGCACAGGCATTGCATAATTACACGTGACTCGTTCTCATGTACTGGTAAAATAATAATAATACTTTATTTTGAAATAAAAAAGTTGCCGGAACAACTGATACACAAAAAATAATATTTGCGAATTACATCGCCATTTCATAGTATGAATAAAAAATTCCTACCTACTCATTAGGGAAGAATTCGGATGTGAATACGATCCTCATCATCAGGTGTCTCGTTAAAATAGGAAAAAATCCTATCTTCTGTTCGCGTAGGCTTCTCCTCGGGATAAATTTGACGGAGGAAGTCGTCACGATTAATTGGCTCCAACTCTTTCTTACTTCATTTTAAAGATCTGAAACTTTTTTATTCTTAGAGATCTCAAACGAGAAAATTATATTTTTATTTCTGCATTACGGTAGCAGAATTTAAGACTGATAATATCATTATCTGCACTGGAAGACATCTTACTTTCCTAAATACAAGGCCCATTGTGAGAAAAAAACTCGCTCCCACATACATAATTTCTGGCATATACATACCTTAAAATTTTTGCGGGAAAGTTGGCTGGACTTCCACATACTACTACATGCTTTATATCTTGTTGGGAAAAAGTTAAGGAGGTATATGGCGTAATTAGCTTTGTCTTCTGTTGCCAAGAAAGCTTTGAAAGCACATGAGAATGGAATTTTCATACCTTTTCACATATACTGTAGATCTACACAGTCGGTTTTACGCCTGGCGATCTCGAAATTGCGAAGTCCTCAACCTTTCATAACGTATGCTTTTGATGCTAATATTAAACTTATTTAGTAGGTCCTGTGTTGCATGTAGACTTTCTTTCACATTTTCTCATGTTTGTTTGGGAAAAAATATAGGGACTTGGGTTAGCATAAATATTTTCTTGAGAAAGCGTGAAAACGTGGCTCAGCAAAAAATCTTCCGAGTTGGTGATCTACACTGGATTGACGTAATGGCTGATCACCACTCTGGAGTGTTGACTAGTTAAATCGGAAGAGAACCATTGCTCAGTCAAAGAGCTCTATGCTAATTTCCGATTGAAAAATGCGGAAATAAAATTATCATTGTCATCACCATCCTGTCTAAGAAAACCTCTAAATGTGGTAATAAATCGTTCGTGGTATTCAGCTGTACCCATAATCATCGGAGGAGGCACGTCCTCAGCATCCTCAGCCTCAGAATCTGTTTCAGGATCGGGAAGAATCAATCTCAGAGCTAGATGACTCCGTTTCAGAATAGTCCGTATCACAATACTCACTTAGGCCATTGAACTCACGTTTATGTTTGGAAACTTGGTTATTATAGCTTCTCCATCTGAATCAATTGCAGTGAAATCAGGGAATAATAACTCATAGAATGTATGTAATGAAAGAGGTAATTCCCAAAGATTTTTTCTACAGCGATATTGTCTTTTTTCCCTTTCCTGTTCTACGATCTGTCTAGGTCTTAATGTATAACGGTGGCTTTTGATAACTGTCAACGTCATACTGGGATCTGGGATCAATCAATGCCTTGACAGTCACTTTATCGTAAATAAACGTGAAATCTACTTAATCTTTTGTGAATTTCTCGTTTCACTTCATCTTTCCATATATTATTTATACTGCAACATTTTTTAAGATCCTGTATCGACGTTTTTTTTTAATTAAAGAAGTAAACATCACGTGACAGTGAATAAAGTATGTATTTATGTGAAATCTTTATAAATTAGACTGGAAGGATTAAAATCCACTATATTTTAGCGATGCACAGTAATTCATTACAAGTAGATAAAAAAGAGCAATTTTATAAGGGAATTAAAAATCTACCATTTTACTATGTCTATATGGTAATGCAATCATGTAATGCAATCATAAAGTAATGTATATGAAAGCATTTTATTAGTTTCCCACTGCAAAATCTGGGCCTGAATTATGGATGAAATTTTATTAACATTTATATGTATTAATTAAAGCAATAATAAGAATAAAGTTTTATTATAATATGTAATAAGCAAATATATAACAGCAAAACTAATATCACTCTAAATTCAGATGAAATATGCTAGAATAAATATAAAAAAGGAAGCAAATTATTATGCAATTGAGATAGAAATGAATGTAGATATTATGAAGAAATTCAACTTATACCTATTTACTTTTGAATAAATTGGATCAACTTAGTTATCTGATCTTAAATATTTTAAGAAAATTATTTCAAAATTCAAATGGTCAAGAAATCTAATAGAATTGGATCTGAAAGGGCATTTCAGTGATTTGTAATTCTAGAAAATGCATCATGATATAAACAATCCAACTTAATATTGATAATACATGTTTTTGAATATTAAATGCTATGCTATTTTTATTATATACTAAATTTAAACTACAAATTAATTATCATTCTGTTAAAACTTTAACATATAAATAATAAAGAAAATTATTATTTATACAGTCAAACCTTTAGTGAATTTTTCAGACAACTATAATAAATTTCCCCTCGCTATCATAATGAATTAACCAATCAAATTCTCTTAAAATTTTCATTATAGTCTTATAGCGAAGTTGAGATCTGGGCCCTAAAGTTTGTTATAATAAGAGTTGACTGTATTAATTCCACTTAGGCTGCTTTAAGCCAATTCTTTGTTTTACATAACATAGGGGCCCCAATCTAGGGGGGGGAGGGAAAGGACAAAAAATAATACATAAAATACAATACATGACCAGAATTACCATTAATATTGGCCAAAATTTTGACCAAAAGAGTGAGCAAAAATTTTGGATGATAATTCCGATCAAGACTTAAAGATTTGTATAATTCTGGCCTAAATTATATGTATTTTTTTTACATAAAAAATCCAAAAACAGGGGGGAAGGGGTTATGTTAAACGAAAAATTGAATTGGTGCGGCCTTATAGGACCCCAAAAAATACATAAAAAGGTCAAATTTGAGTTTGCTTAAAAAGAACCTAAATTTTTATGAAAATCTTGCCTTTTTTAGATAGTGCTGGCCTAAATTTTATTGTCCGTTTTGATACTGGCTAGCATTATCATAATTCTGGCCCTGAAAAGTTGCTTATTTTAGGCCAAAATCTTGCCGATCATTTATGACTTCCATATGTATTTTTCAGGATCCTGGCCAGGGACGATGATTTTTTGCGGCGGTATAAAGTAAATTTTGTGTATGATAATCAGTAATTTTCAAAGAAATACTAAATATAAAAAAAGCTTAATTAGTAAAATTAAAATACTAGTTGTAAATATCTATTTACCTTTAGTTTAAAATAATAAAGAATTAGAACTCACTATTTATAATAAAATATGCTGTTATTCTAATATTTCTCTCAATAGAAGAGATTGAAGTAACCACAAACTTCTTAAAATCACTATACAAAATTGACATTTTTAGTAAAGGTAATAATAATTTAATTACAAGAATTTTATATAGTAATTACATAATTACTATATTTTGTAATATTATTTTATTGTCTTATAAATTAATATTAAGATTATTTCTTTTGATCAAATAAAAATAATCAGAAAAATTTGATGTAAATGATTTGTAGATGAAATAATATGTTGCAGCTTTTTGGCTAATCAAAAATTACAACTAAAATTTAAGAATAAAATTAAATTCTTTCATTATTTATAATCACATTATTTATACTAATACTTGATAATAAAAGTTTTAATAGTACTTTTTTTAAAGATTTATAAAAAGGTTTATAAGCCTTAAATTTTTCAGAAGCTTTTTTAGTATTATCATTAGGTAAAATTGCAAATATTCTAATAAGTAATAACGGCTTGGCATCTAGTTTGTTATATTCCAATTCTTAATATTGCCAATTGAAAGTTGACTTTATTCTAATATATTAATATTTGTGGCATCTAAATATAGTATTATAGATAAAAGCTTTAAACTATTTGGAATGGATTTTTACATTAATAATATATAATATTAAGTCAATATAAAATATTAATATAAATTATATAATTAAAATTATTACTTTAAGATTTTCAAATTTTTGTACAAAGTTTTTTAATATATCAGCAGGTAACTTTTTTCTGTTATTATTATATAAAAATCAATAAGATATTGAATTTTATTAAACTTACAAAATTATTAAATCTATAATATTAGCCCAATTAATAATAAAATTTAATAATTATTCAGTAAAGGAACTTTGGAAATCTCTGAAATAAGTCATAAATCACATTTTTAACAAATTGGCCCATTTTTTAAAAAGTTAAAAATTAGGATTATGTGATTTTCTTTAGCAAAAAGGGCTAAGACCTATATTAGATTTCTGAGTCCTATTAGTAAACCTTTCATTTTACATACAAATATTACTACAAACTTACATTTTTTATTGTATATTGCTTTTCACATGTCTTTTATTACTTTATTAAATCATTTATAATGATTCAAAATTCAAGATAAAGAGTATAAAAATAGATATATATTTTATTGATAAAACTTATTTGCAAAAAAAATGATAATATACTAGATACAATTTCGTATCTTTAATTAGTAATTCTCATGTGAATCCTCCAAAATTATTTGAACTATGAAGTAAAATAAACAAATTTTTTTTTAAAAGAAAAGAAAAATAAAAAGAAACAATTTTTTTTCAAAATATACATATATATATAATCAAATTTTTTTCAAGAGAAATTTTTAAAGAACTAAATTTTTTTTAATGACATCTCTCAACTATCCACAAACACTGCCCTTCCATCCTACATTAGCTCCATCAGGACCATAAAAGAAAATATACCCACGATCACTACTGGCTTTCAATTCTTTTTCCAAAAATTCACTTAATTCCTTACTCAATTTTTTTTTAGTCGCAGCATCTATGCCGATAGATGTAACTCCAATAATGTAAGCCGGGTCATCGGAATCATTAAAGATGATCGAGAGATTGTCTTGAAGAGAAACACATACATATGGTTTGTTGAAAACATTGGCTGCGTAGGAACTTAATTCTCTAATGAATTGTTTGTGGTCTTGCACCTGTTGATATTGAAATAAGTGAAGAAAAGGTAAGCGAAAGAGAAAAATAGAGTAACGAGAAAGGGAGAGAAAAAAGAAGAAATAGGAAGAGAGTATATGAATGTATAAGGATGAAGAATCATATTTTCATAAACTTGTTTACCTGAACATTGGTTTTAACCTCGATGTATGGCATCTTTTATTTTAAACGTTATATAATTTGTTTTATTTGTTTTCTTCTTTTTTTCAAGAGAGAGTTTGGTTTTTTTGCTCCTTATTTATATGTTGAGACTAAATAAGATTGATTGAAGATTCATACAAATAATAATAAGCCAAAATCTAGAGTCTTTAACGGTAACGCAAGATAAGTTCGACATAGTTATAATGAAGTAGATCTTTAGAAATAAAGTGATTAGTAACCTCTTATTTTATTTGAACGTATGATCATTGTTTAGATTGATGACTTGTGTGTTTTCGCTCGCTTTTACTTTTCAAAGAAGTTGGAACTTTGACTATATACATTATTGTGATCTATACATTTAATGACATTGTTGTGATCTATATATTCAATGAATAGTTAGTAGGCTGATCGCCTTTAACTTTATTTAGCAAGCTGAATCCTTTTAAGAATCGATTCGAAAATCGTCAAATGATGCTTTTCCGTAAGTCCGAAAGATTCAGCGAAATCTTGAATAAATGATTAGTAATATAATTATATCATAACTTGTTAATCGAACTCAATATTTACTTTGCTCAGTTGTCGAGGAGTTGTATCTTTTAATTAAAAGTTATTTCTTATTAAATTTCGGCAGTAAAATGAATTACAATGTCAATATATGGAAACATGTAACTAAATATGAAGATGGTAGTATTATTTCTTGTTAGTGAACTTATACGAAATGATATTTGAAAATGATGAAAATGAGAGCAAATCTTTTCCTAAAGAACGCTTTATAGTTTTAATGATAACAACGAAGTGATTTTAGATTTCTAAGCAATTAGTCTCATACAATAAATAATATACGTGTTTAATAATAATTTTAAACCGTGTTATTTAAAATACATCCCTATTAAAAATTTTCTGGGAAAAATTCCGATAAATGATCATTTTTTTAGTTTTCATTCCAAAAAAAACTCCGGTATGTGATCAATTTTCTAAAATTCCAAAAAAACTCCGATACGTGATCAATTTTCTAAAAAATTTTTATAGAGCATAGCACGTTAGGGTGTGCGGTCAATTAATCAAATCAAAACTATATATGGTACCATATAAAAATTTATTATTAAAGATTTTTTGCATATAAAATTTTCAGTCATATACACTTATATTAACAATTTAACAATTGTTTTATTATAATTATTCAATAAACTGTTTAAAAAGCGTTGATTATTTTTTATTTCATTAATTATTTTATCTCTCTGACTCCTTTTTTGCTTTTCCGATCGAATTTTGTTGCAATTCTTCAATTGAAAACGACGTTTATATAACTTGTATATACCCATTGCTATTTTCCAAACTTTAATTAGATGCACAGCTCTAACGGCTCAATATATTAAGGCGAAATTTTGTAAAAATCAATATTAAAGCCATACAAACAAAGTTACGAGACTATTCCTTACATTTAATATGAAAAAACTTACATCTGATATAATTGTTTGGAAATTTTTTTCAGTTTGATGATTTAAATTGGTATCTACTTTTAACTGGCTGGTTGATGTAAATAAAAATGTCGTAACTTTGTAGCTGTGGTATGGAAAAACTGATTTATATTTAAAAAATTTGGAGAAAGAAAGAAATTCGAACTGAGCATCTAAAAAAAATAGATTATTTTTTTATATTTAATTTATATATTATTATAAAGTTATAATGTCGATCAAATTTTTGCCAAAAATCATTCCCTAGTTGAAAATCAGTGTGACCACATATAGTTTTGATTTAATCAGTTGACCGCACACCCCAAATTAGCACGTTGCCACGTTCCTAGTATTATTGGTTGTTTTTTGAAGTGTTATAGTGTAAATTCACATGTTCATGCAACTAGATAAACACTGATAACTATAAAATATACGTATTGCTAGAATGTCGTCGGGCATCTGGGTATGGGACAATTCCAATTGGTAATATACTAAGGTGGTGTTCCTAATACGACGCTAAGAAGTGGTTACCGCCGCGGTATATCGTATTAATATATGGATCAAATTAAGATCATATTCCTTGTCCGTTAATAACGAAATTAAGGTCATGTTATGTTACATGTTACATTTTGCGATTTAAGACAACGGAATATTTTTCTACCTCACATAATCATTTATAAAAATTTCTTTTTTCTTTGAGTATTACAAAAAAAAGGATGACTTAATTGTTATTCGGAACACTGCCGGAACCTTTTTCTTATACAATAGTACATTACACATTCGCGGCAAGAATGATAAATGGTCGAGCAATCTCTATTTTATGGATAAATTAATATTTAATCATATTTTTTTATATCTGATATCATTTTTTTTTATTCATATATTAAACCTTGTTTTTTGAATTTTTCTTTATTATCCCTCTTTTTATTTTTATTATTTTGAAATTTTATTTTCACTATATTTTTTATCAGTAAGCATTAGTTATGATAAAATTCCATTACCAATAATTATGATTTTTTAAGCCTTTCATCCTTTAATTATTTGAATATATGGAAAATTTGATTAGATTATTGTCCATTATTATATGGAAAATTGCTCTCTTGAGTCTTGACTACACGGAAAGACGGGTTGGGAGTTACGGTCACCTAATGATCCTTTCAATTACATAATTATTAAGTATATTCCATTATTACACATAATTATTAGATATTTTCTTTTAAGAATTAATTGAAGTCTTTTTATCTCTACGAAATTTTTGGATCAGAACAAATAAATCTACTGAGCGTCAAGGATCACTATGGTGATCAGAAGTATAGAACAAGAACAATTTTTGAGCAAAAGGAAACCATTAATTCACATAAATTCACATAATGTAATTCTTCCTGTTAATTATATAATCGTTTAAAATTGTGAAGATTGTTTATTTCTATTTGTTCCAGTGGGTACTTTTAAAAGGGTGCAGTACGGTATGGTGTGTTCCTTAAGAAAAAATTACTACAGTATAGTGAATAAAGTAATATGCAATCATATATAGATCACGTGATATCATTATTTGGAATACATCTATTAACTGCATATAAAGCTCAATCCCTTCCTATAGCATCCAACTCTGTATAATAAATATATTTTTAAATATGTATTAATGTATTGAATTTAAAATATCAGAAAATGGTTTTTTCAAAGTAAAATCACAATTATTCAAGTATACTGTTTTGCGGCACCCTAAAATTGCTCTCAATAAATTTAATTCCTTATGGCCTCGATTTTCAATAATTTCTTGAATTAAGGGTTTGTGCAGCAAAATAATCGGGTTGACAGCGATCATCTTTTTGTTGACGCACACTATTCTTATATTGAAAAATTTGGCCAGAATTATCATTGAAACTTAATTCCGGCTTAATTTATAATGATCAAATTCTTCAATTTTAATATAGGATACATATATTAATTAGACGATCTTTAAAAATAATAGATTTTATGATTGAATTATCCAATTGGAAAAACTCTATAATCACAAAGATTTTAATATTTCTATCAAATAGCAGGCTTATATTTTTTTATAACAGTAAAAAAATTTTTTTTTTTCTATTCATTTTCAGTTCTTTTAAAATTACCTGGCCTTAGACAATTTGATATATATATTGTTTCCTTCTTAACTGGTTGATACTTGTAAGTTAGATCAACCGTACAAAAGCCACATTACGATATGATCTTTTTTTTCATTTTATAAAAATGCGCGAGGGTAAAGCAGGATTTCAAGAGAACGTTTTTAACTATTTAACATCGAGATTATTAAAAGTGAGCATGAATCTGGACTTTACTAAAGAAATTTTAATTAAAACAAAAATGGAAGTTGGTTTATTTTCTAATCAAGATAACCAAAACTGGAACCAAAAAAGTTCATTCGAGTAACAAAAGCCTTTTATCAAATCTGCGGTAGATCATCGATCATACTATATTTAAAAGTATTTTTTTTTTTTTTTCCAGAATTAAAAACAATAACCTTTTTTTTCTTAAATTCTTTTTTCTTCTTTTTTTTTGATTTTTCTTATCACGAAACTTCCTAAAACTTTTAGAAGATAGTAAGAAACATGATTTTATAATTAATATTGATAAAGATATTAATAAAAAAGAATATCGTGTACATTCAATTATTATTGAAACAAGATCCACTTACGTTCAAGATGCCATTTCTAATGGATTAGCAAGAAAAGAAAATGATATTTTTATTTTAGAACTTCCTGATATTTCTGTTGATGTGTTTGATATTCTAATTAGGTAATAAATTAAATAAAATAAATAAATTTTATTTTTTTTTTATAAATAAAAATAAAAATAAAAAAAATCCAATAAAAAATTAATTTTTATTATTTTTTTTTTTTATTATAAAAAAAAAATGGCTGAAATTATCATAATTCTGGTCCTGAAAGAATACGTATTTTGGACCACTTCTGGACCTGACCTCTACATATATATTTCGGGTCTTTTTTTTTTTAAAAAAAAAAAAAATTAGTTATATTTATGGTGGCATCATCGACCTTGATAAAAAGGATGCCTCAGATATTTTGAATCTTTTAATTGCTTGTGAAATATTCAAACTTAAAGAATTATACGATTATATTCAAGATTATCTTATCAATAATTATCAAGATTGGCTCAAACAAAATTTTGCTTTAATTCAACAAGTTGGTTCCAAAACATCGGAATTTACAAAATTACAAGATTATTGGTCAACAACTATTCGTAAAGAACCTAAAATTTTATTTAATGCGATCGATTTTACAACTGTTGATAAAGAAGCATTATTATCTATTTATAAAGATGAAGAATTATGTATGGAAGAAAATGAATTATGGGATCGTATTATTCATTGGGGTAAAGCTCAGAATACTGATTTTCCAGAAGATATCGATAAATGGACGGCAAAAGATTTTAACGTTTTAAAGAAAACTATAGATGATTTCCTACCTCATATTAGATTTTATGAAATTTCATCAGAAGATTTTTGTTACAAGATTATGCCATATAATTCACTTCTTTCTAATGATTTATATCAAGATCTTTCAAGATATCATTTAGTATCAAGTTGGACCCCAAAATTTAATCGTCTCACTCCAAGAAGAAAAAACATACCGTTAGATTCTAAATTGATTAATTTTGAACAAGCAATACTTATTTCTTCTTGGATTCAAGGAAACAAAGATAACAAGATACAAAATAAATTTAAGAAAAATTATTATGATTTTCAATTAATTACTCGTGGAAGTCGTGATGGATTTACGGGTGAGATATTTCATAAAATGTGTGATAATAAAGGTCCTACAATCACAGTTTTGAGATTAAAAAATGAATCGTCAATCCTTGGGGGTTATAGTCCTATCGATTGGGATATTAATAAACGTGGTAATTTTGAAAAAACTTTGGATAGTTTTATTTTTAGTTTCATAGATAAGGAAACAATTCTATCTAGAGTTAAAGAACCCGATAATGCTATATATCAATTTGATGGTTCAAATTTTGTTGATTTACAATTAAACTACACTTTTAATTCCAAAAATGGCGTATATTACTCTCTACGTGCATATGAAAAGCAAATAATACAAAATGAAGGCAATTTTGTTGTTGATGAATATGAAGTTTTTAGCGTAACTAAAAAAAGTGGATGATGTGTAGATTAGATTACTTTTCTATTATTTCAGAAATTTATGTCGCATGAAATGTATGTAGCGCTTAAATATTATGTTATCCATTAAAAATATTATTAATTATTAGCAAATAAAATATACTGTATATATTATAAATATGAAATTCTCATCAGGAAATTTTTTTCCACACATCAAATATGTGGAAATCTGAATAGTCAAAATTACACATATTTCTGAACTAATCCATATGGAATTACTTTCATCACGCGATCATTTGTATGATGATCAGCAATTTCGTTTAGGATCTTATTCTTAAAATTCAAAACGTTTCGATTTTGAGGTTTTTGTTTTGTCCGATTTGTCCGACAACATTACTCTTTTTATATTAGGATTCGGGAAATCTCGAACATTTTAATTGGATAAGTAAAATAATAATTCGCATTGTAACAAACAAACTTCAGTATAAAGTATTGATCGATGGTTTACAATATAAATAATATAAATATGTTTATTTATCGCTATAAAAAAAGTAATTTAATGTTCTGCAAATATATATATACTTTCATACTACAAAAAAAACCCGTTTTTTTTACTGTTTCTATTTTTTTACGTAAGATTACGTTTCTGTTCTTTTAAAGCTAATGATTTTAATATATCAAAATCTCCAGATTGTTCGCACATTTGATAAAAAATTGAGTTAGGATTTGATATTAAATTATACGGACTACAATAATAATAAAAAATTATTATTATTATTATTTATTATTTTTAGAAAAAAAAAAGATAAAAATAAGAGAAATTTTACCTGTCAAATTCAAGTACGCTCCCTCGATCTATTATAATATGAGAAGAAAAAAAAAATTAAGTACCACATCTATTTTTTTAAATATAATCAACTCTTGATATAACGAACTCGAATTTTATCATCCATCATATTAATTTGATTCAATCAAATTATTTCTCTTTATCAATCAAATTCTTCAAAAATCTTTTGCTACGAGATTATAACGAATTTGGAAATATCGAGAGCTGATTGTAAAATGAAAATTTACATACCTAATACCAATATTTTATCATAATCAATAATAGTTTGTAATCTATGTGCAATACAAATTATAGTACAATCATTGAATTCATTTCTAATCATTTTCTGAATTTTTTCATCCATATCAAAATCAATACTAAAAAGAAAAGGTTTTAAATTCAGTTTATAATATTTTAAAATATATAAATAAAAAAAAAATATTATTTTCTACCTAGCAGTTGCTTCATCCATTATAATAATTTTAGGTTTCTTCAACAAAGCTCTTGCAAGACATAATAATTGACGTTGTCCTTGACTTATATTATTACCTTCTTCACTGATTTGTGTATCTAAGTTAGAAAATATATTAACCAATTCATTTGTGGAACTAAACTTTGATGATGATGGTAATAAATGAACTCTTTTTAATGATTCAAATATTTCATAATCAGTATATTGTGAAAATACGTCAAGATTTGATCTTATTGTACCTAATAAAGGAGAAAATAAATCAATCAATATTTTTAATAAAAAGACATATATATATATATTTCAGTTGTTGGATGTCGATACCGTGTCGTTCGTTATTATATGTATATATGTATACGTATTATATTTACCAGTAAATAATATCGGATCTTGAGGTATAATTGTAAGATTTGATCTTAATTCTTCAAGGTTTAATTTACTTATATCAATATCATCAATAAATATTTTTCCTTCTGCAGCTTCTAAAAATCTGAATAATGATAACGATATTGTTGATTTTCCGGATCCAGTTCTAATAACATTATTAAAAAAAAAAAATTTTCACAGTTAAAAAAATAAGAATCTTTTAATATAACGCGTATATATTGTATTACCTTCCAACTATTCCAACTTTTTCTTTCCCATTAATTTCAAAAGAAATATTACGTAATACGTAATCCAAATCTTCGGCATATCTTACTTTTAAACGTTCAAATCTAATGTTTCCATTCATGGGCCAATTTTTTTCCGAATTTTCATTTTCTTTTATTTTAATTTCTCCCTGATAATTCTCTTGTTCAATATTTAAAAATTCAACAACCCTTTCAATAGAATTTAAACTCATTTCTAATTGAGTATATTTCCTTATTGACCACATAATTTGTGTTGTAAAAGTCATTGAAAATGACAATGCTAATCCCGCTAAACTTGCATCAATTTTTTGCAAATTCCATAGTATCAAAACACTGGCAATAAATGGAAAGAATGCTCCCATACCATTTGTCCATATTTGTAACCAACGATTTGCTACCCAAAGAAAATAAAACGGTCGAATATTATTATCTATTCTATATAACATAAATAAAAAAAAAAAGAATTTTCAGTGAATTCAAATTGATAAAAAAAAAATATTTTATAATAAAATTTTTTACTTTGTCAACATTTCGTTCATAAATTGGTCAGTAATATTAAATGCTCTTATCGTTATAATTCCACTAAATTATTTTAAATAAAAGTTCATTAAAAATAAGAAGTTATACAATATAGTACACGTTTATTTTATAACTTACGTTAATGTTTCTGTATATTGAGAATACAGTGGAGATTTTGTTATCGAATCTAATCGTTTTAATTCTCTTGATGCAATTGCATATAATGTTCCAACAATCGCGTAAATAATAACTAACGAAAGGAAAGAACGAATATAATGAAATTTATGAACAATCACAGATTACACATTTCGTATATGTTTAAAGAACATACCAAATATAATCGCTGCTATTATAAATTCTATAAAAGATAAGATAAAATTATTAATAAATTTAACGCTTAATAAAAGTTAATAAAATTATATTAATAATTATTACCTTTGGTGATTGCAATTATTACTAATACGACACCAACCATCATTAATAACTATCGTAAAAATAGATAAAAAAATAAATAACATTTAACTATAATTTAACTATAATTTTAACTATAATTTTAACTACTTACATTATGAAGAAATAATCCCAGATCAACTAATAATTTTTTTAAAAAAAGTTAATTCAAACTTTTGAATGATCCTAAAAATATTTTTTTTAATATTTACCTGCCAGTATGCTGTCAATTATCTCAAAATCTTTACTAAACCTATTCAATATCCTTCCGATTGGTGTAGTATCAAAAAATCTTAATGGAGCTTTAATGACTCTAACCAACAATTGATTATATAGTTTTTTTGATGCTTGTAATGAACCATAATATAACCAAGAAAATTGAATTACTCCAAAAAAAACCGATAACATTGTAAGTAATATATAAATATTTATATAATAATCAATATTATAATGAGAGATGTTTTGGGTTAAACTTGACCATACATTTAACCACCATCCTTCTAATGTTTGAGTAACCCTCGTACTCATGAATAATATCGAAGCTGTTATCCAAAATAAATAACTTCCATTAGAATTAAAATATTTTAAATATACATTTAATTTTACCATTCCAGATTCTTTTCCTATAAAATATAAAAATAAATTAATAAAATGTATATCATAAGCTTATACATATTAGATTATTTACCTTCTTCTTTTATAAGTGCCCTGGGTTTATTATCACCAATTGTTGTATCATTAATTATTTTCTCCTCTTCAATAACTTCCATATCCAAAGTTATACTTTTTGAAGTTTCAAAATTTTCTTCAGAATTTTTTTCAAAATTTTCTTTGACTGGAGAAGCTTGTAATGTAGAATTACAAGTACTGCCGCTGCTTTCATTATCAGAGATAATTTCTCTTGGAATATTTATAGAACCATTGTTATTCAATTCCGATACTTCTCCTTTATCAACAATTTGTCCATTATTTATCATAACCTAATAAAATTAATTAAATAAATAACATATTGAACATATCATATAACCATATAACTATATAGAAAACTTACCACATATTTGGCGATTGGTAAAGTTAGGTTTAAATGATGGGTAACAAGAATTATTGTTCTTTTATTCATTAATGGACCTGAAATGCATTCATTAATCAAGTAATTTGCTGTGTTCGCATCCACAGCACTTAAAGCATCATCAATTAAAATATGTTTTGCCCTCGAATAAACAGCTCTATATGGGTATTAAATACATATTAATTTTAAAAAAATAGATTAAGAGTATTTGCATATATTTAATTTTATAAATATTTATTATTTTTTTTTTCCTATTAAATTAATACCTTGCTAAAGAAACTCGTTGCTTTTGTCCTCCAGAAAGAGTTACACCTTGATCACCAATTTCAGTCAACTCACCATCTACAAAAGATTCAAAATCTTTATCTAATGCACACGATTTCACTACTTGATCATACCTTTCTTTATTAAAAGGTAAATTAAATAATATATTATCGCGTATAGGACCACTTTGTAACCATGTATGCTGCGCCACATATGCAATACTATTATTATTATCTACTATCCAATCAGAGTTAGTTAATTCATGATTTTCGTGAATTTGTTGTGGTGGATTTGGATAAAATACTTTGCCGAATGAAATTTCCGCTTCTAAAATAGTATTTAAATTTTAATTATTTTAATCATTATTTATTATTTAGTATACTAAAATTTTTACCTCCTAGTAATGCCATTAACAATAATGTCTAATTTTTAAAAAAAAGTCGATACAAAAAATTAATATCTTTAAAAATTAAAAAAAAGTATGCATATATTAATTACATTACCTTTCCTGATCCAGTCGGTCCACCTAAATTTAAATAAAAAATCGTTTAGAAAAATTGGGATATTAAAAAAAAAATTACATATACATATACATATATATTATAAATATTTATTATTTACATATAATACTTAATTGTTCTACAGGAAATTCGATATTTAAATCTTTCATTATAAAAATATCTTCAATATTTTCCTCAGGTTTATTCCAAGTAATAGTAGCGTTCTCGAAACCAATCTTATCATCATTTTTAAAAATGATATTCTTTTTATTCTCATTTTCATCACTATTTAAGAATTTTTCAATTCTAATTAAACTAACTATGGCTTGTAATGCTAATATGAATAATTCTGCCAAATCATTTAATATAAATCTAATTTCATTAAATATAGTAACAGAAGTGAAAGCGATAGAAGCTGTTAATTCATTTCCTTGAATTTTAGTATAAGTTAAAAAACTAACGGTTGTAATTAATATTGGAGAAGCAATCCATAATAAATTAAATGTACTCATTAAAATAAAACTTTTCTTTAAATATTTTAATTCAATATTTCTCGCATTCATTATTCTCGTTATCCAATTCCCTTCCCATGCGTTAAATTTAATCATTCGGATTCCATGTAAAATTTCATTCATTAAAGATACCCTGTAATCTCTTGTTTTCATTAAATGCTCTTGATTTTGAGAGAAATATTTACCAGTCCATCTTTGAATAGGTAAAATTATTATTAAAACTAAAATACCGAATAAACAAGCACTATTTAATAATTTATATAGAAAAAATAAAGCGATACCAATTTGTACAGGGGCTTCAATTAAGGAAGCCCACCATATCATAAATTGAGAAATTCTATTAGCATCAACAGCCATTAAATTACTTATTTTACCTATTTCATTAACATTATTTTTAATTTTTAAACTTTTTGAATAAATTTCAGAATTTAACATTAAACTAACACTTGATTGTAATACTGAACCACCTAAATATTGATGTTGAGATATAGCAAATACATGTAATAAACCTCCTATTAATATACCAAATACACAAAATATAGCCCATTCAATATTTTTTTTATCCCCTTGAAAAAAATCCAATAAACTATATAAGAATAATATTGGTAAATAATGTAAAAATGATGAAATTATAACAAAAAATGTTTCTAATAAAATAACATTTTGATTGGCTTTCCAAATTCTATATAATAAATTATTACTAGGCCATTGTTGTATTTTATTATAAAATTCATTTGCAGTATATTCATTTGGTAATTCATCTAAATCTGAATCATCAAGTGATTTTTTTTTAAAAGATTTATATATAATTGGTATTACAGTAGAGAATGTAATAAAATTCCATATTGAACAATAAACAATTGATGTAATTGGACGACCTCCTTTATTAAACACAGGAGGACCTTTGGGAGTTGTTATAGATATAACGCAAAGTATTGTTGAATTCACGAGATTTATAATAGCAATAATCAATTCTGTATCACGATAAAATGCCGAAGCGATCCTTAATTGCCAAGTAGCACAAAGACATGCTGCTGCGCAAATCGATGTTACATGCGAATTCAAGATCCATTTCCATCTTCTTTCACGAACAAAGCAAATCAACATACATAACGTCATACAGTAAATCTATTAAATTCAAAAGGAAAAAATGTCATGAAAATAAAGAAAATTGATTATATACTATATATATATATATATATATATTATAAGATCTTACCCAACATATTGCAATTGATCCAGAATGGAAAATGTCAATCTCTTTTACATTTTTAAGATAAAATATTCTCAAGAAAATCAATAAAGTAAATAAAATTACTTGACATAACGCAAGAATAAATTTAATATAATCTCTTATTAAGGTTGAGAAATTATTATTATTACGTTCAATATCAAAAGTTACTTGATTTATTTTATATTTCTGAATAAAGAGAATTATTAAACTTATTAAAGATACAACAGATATTAATATGGAATCAGCGATTATTAATAACATTTTGATTTTTTAATTTTTGTTTTTTTCTCTCTTTTTTTTTTTTCGTCCATTTCCTGTTCAAATCAACTTTATATATTTCTCAAACCTTAAGTTCATTCTACACATATTTAATAACCAATTACACATATTTCATTAATAATCAATTACACATATTTCATTAATAACCAATTACATATATTTCATTAATGATCAAATATATTGTTTATTTATGTGGCTTTCCTGTTTGATAAATAAATATAAATGCTGGGATTCACGAAACTAAAAAAACAAAAATAAGTATTGTTAAAAAAATCCGCAGTAAAAAACGTTTTTTGAACGTAACTCAAAAATTCATTTAACAATGGAAATTATTTTATTTATTTAATCATTAAAGTTCTAGAATTTTAAATGATTGGTTCCTAGTGATTTTTTTGAGTCATATTCGTTTTATTTGTTTACTTTATTATTTTCTTTTAACAATAAAAAACAATAACCGTGAGAAAATCATAATTTAGGTTTAATCTTTTCCTGCTTAGTATAATTCATAAGAAAGCCTTCCACGTGATTTATGTGACGCGATCAATCTTTGGATTCATTTTGAATTTCACTGTAAAAAGTTTACCCGGTCGATCGAACATGACATGCATCTCAAAAAAAAAAAATATATTTGAATTATTATTGTGGTGAAAAAAAAAAAAAATTTAGAATGTAATAATTAATTCCGAATTTCCGATGATCCGATTTGCATAATCATAGTAAACCGACTTTTTATTGGTCTTTCTTTGAATCTTATTAATATTCCAATTATAGTTGTGAAAAAAACTTTAAGCGCGTATATCAGTGTCACATCGCATCAAAGTTTACAGGATGAGTAAAAACGAACAAAGTGAGTGTAATTTCCCGCCCCTTATATACAAATAAACATTTAACGAATGAAGGAATACAAACATATGATTTACGTCTTTCAATACTTATTCAAATTCAATTTTTATATAATTCAAATTAATTGTAAACCGAAAGTAAATAAATATTATTATTATTACAAATAAGTAATCTGTCAATCACGGGTAAGTTTATTTTAAAAATGGAATTTTCAATAAAAACAAAAAAAAAATTTTTTCTTTTTCTGCTTTGTCACCAAATAAGTGTAGATCATGTGACATAATTGTTGTAATCAAAATCGGAATGTTCGAGGTACGATGTCCGGATTATTCCGTTATCATTTAGACGTCAATCCCGGAAAGGAGAAACAAATGTCAATATTTACAAAATGTCGATCTTAACCATCATATATACTGTATATATCATTATAGAATTTTTTTAAAAAAATAATTAAATTAATTATACGATTTTATGCAATTCACATGTAAGTCTCAACATATCAACATTGGCTATATCACTGGTTCACCATCTTTCAAGATTATGGATAACAACCAATTAAATTTATTTATTTTGATTCATTATTATCACAAATTTATCTGCACTTCAAATTGGATTATAATGGTTCAATGTAATTCAATGTATGATCGAATGAATATATTGATACTCAAAAGTGGCTTATAGTAATAATGGATGATAAAAATTTTTTTTTTTAACCGATAACTTTTATAGTTTATGACCTAAGCTTTTTTTAAGATAAATAGTTGCCAAGATTTTTTAATTTTAATATATTTTATATATCATATACAGAAAGGAGTTACTGGTAAATTGCAGAATAAAATATCGTCACGTCCCTATAATCAGCTATTGGAATCTTCCAATTCTTCCAATTCCAATAAATTTTATTGGAAGCTTCCAATGCACATAGAAATATATATTCGTATATAAAAACTAATGTATTGGGAATATTGGAATCTTTCAATTCTACTTCCAATGCACATCACTGCCTATAATGAAAATAAAATTACATGCCACATGATTTTAGAATTCTAACATATGATTGGCTAGTATTACGCGATGCTTACATAATCTGAAAATTGTGAATTTAGATTTCTTTGAGTATAGACTGTATTTGATTTTAAGAATTATATAAAATTTAACATAGATTAAAAGATCTTTTAACCTTTCAGTTTTCAGTTTGTCATATTTAACAACTCTTTTCCTATATATGTTCTTATCAGTTAACTATTTTATTCCAGATTTCAACTTTTTTATCAATTCTAATATCAATATCTTTTCATTTTATTAAAAAATATAAAATTCTTTCAAATGGAAATCATTGATCAATCCATGATATTAATCCAATAAAATAATACTATAATAACAGTAATGGTTACAAATTAAGATATTGTCAAAATTTGGCAAATTGAAATATTTGATATATTGTCTTCTTATTTAACTTAATTAGTTAATAAAGTTACTTGAAATATAATGTGAAATATCTAAAATTTTTATTATAAATAACCATATAAAACACAGTAATAATAAAGATCATGATATATATTAGTTAATATTTAGAGGATATACAAAATTAAATATTTTTACTAGTTAAAATTAGTATTACATATATAATCATTGAATATTATTGATTAAAAAAGATTTTATTTAGAAGTAGTAAGGCTTCTTATAAAACTAATATTAACTAATATATATTACTACTTTAATGAAGTTCTGAGATTCACTATTTTATTATTATAAGTTTATATTTATATATATATACTGTATATATTACAAATTTTATTTATTAGCATCCACTTTAATTATATATTAAATCTAAACTAAAAATAAATAATTCTAAAAAGATCACAGTATAATATTAAATTGATAATATCATAAAACTTACTATTATGTATTGTAATATCCATAACAACATTTTGATTTTGAGAAAATAAAATCAATCTTAAATCATTTAATATACTTTTAATATATAAACATCTTTGAATTTTTACAATAATTACTAATATCATAATATTTTATTTCTTTATATTTTATCTTTACAAATGGTAGAATATATGTATATATTATTTATCATTAAATGCAAAGTGAAAGTAAATGAAAATTTGGTTAAAATAAAATAAGAAAAAATTATATATATACATATAATATAATTTAAAATATTAATTTAAATGTTGATTAAAGTAAACTCATGGGATTTTTAAGCTAATTCAAATCCTGTATTTGAATTAATAGCTATAAAAAAAATTATGAGTTTGATATTATGAGTGATATTTTGAATTAAAATAAAAATTTTCTTTTAAAAAATAATACCTACCATATTTTAATTTCTCTTTTATTACAGACTTTTGTGAATATGCTAAAAGAAAGAACAAATTAAATATTAAAAATCAAATTACTAATACAAACAGCTCAAAAAACTGTAACTTACATGGAAGTTTTAATAGATTGAAACTAAAACGAAAAAAAAGAAAAAAAATTTTTTTTTATCATCATCTAAAATAATTAGTTATCTTTAATAAGAAATCTTAGTACATACCACGTTGAACTCATTGGTAATCTCCCTTTTAAAGCAGATTTCGAATGTCCAATAGAAGATAATAACGATCTAACAACTAGTCTTGAACGCGGCTGATTGGAATCAGAATCATCTGAAATCATTTGAATTGTAAACGGTGGTTGAAGATATCTAAATTATAAAATTTTTAAAATATAATGTAACAAATATTAAAATCGGTCAAATTTTTGATAACATTAAGACCATTTCAAAATAATTTAGTGTTCCTTACTTAAAACCACCGAGAGGAGGCTTAATAAAATAATTAAAAAATTAGTTATCATAATTCACAAAAAAATGCCTTTTTTTGACATGAATTAAATTATGAAAAAAGTACCTTTGAACAACTTGTTACAAATTTAAGAAATGCACTTTTGTCTTTTAAATTCATATCTTCTAAGATAGACCAAAAATGCCGTATACTAATATGCTGATCGAAATATCCACCATGATAAACTGTATATTTACGCAAATCAGATACCTCTACAGTGTTGTTTCAATAAGTTAATATAATCAATAAATAGATGAATTATAGAATTGAAAGAAGTAATTACCCCAATCAGCATCTTCCCCAGAAAGTACACTTGTGTTGTGGTTGAAGAAAATAAGATAAATCTAGTTAAATTAAATAAAAATAACGATTATGAAATCACATACTGTTGTAATTCCGGTGGTGAAAACATCCTTAGCCAATTTTCTGGTATCATGGATTGAAAACTAACCAAAAAATTGTAATTAACTAACGTTACAAAAATATACTCAATAATAAATACTAATATGTTGAACCAACCCATTAATAAATGCTCGCGTCTGCTCTTTTGCCTGCTGATTCAATTTGTAATCAGCTAGATAATATGAATACTAAATTATAATAAGAAAAAAAAATGTTATACATCAACAATAACTAACTTGATTCAGCAAAAATAATTATTTAAAAACGAACTTGAATTTTATTATCATCAGTAACGCGTGAACCACCCATAATATCTTTAGAAATAACTTTTCCATTAACTTCTTCATCGATTGCAAAATACAATCCTAAATCTTCAATATTTCCTATAAATATAATATTAAATTGCAAATTATTAATTATTTCGTTATTTCTAAGTTAAAATACAAAACTGACTACCTTCATATTTTTTTACAATCATTATATTTTTTAATAATTCATCATCTAATCCAATTAAATCTTCCAGAAAAACAGCTCTACCGGTCATTTTACTTAGGAAAAATCTGGCAAATTGTACGTCAACTAATATACCTTCTTGTATTGCTCTTGCAATCATTTTACCTAAAAATGAATATAACGCAATTTTTGTTGTTGTGTTTTGATGATTCGGATAAAGTAATGAATTTTTTGTTACAGCAAATAAACCATAAGATGGATCAAAGGCTACGAAAATGAATTAAAAAAAATTAATATTTAAATAAATTAAAATGAAAAACACAAAAAAAAAAAAATAGGGAATTTAAAAATTTGATTTAACCTTCAGCGATAAGTTGTGTTATAAATTCTTTAAATGGACCTCCTTGATCCACACCATCTTCCAAAGCACCTAAATATTAAAAATTAAAAAAAAAACAAAAATTAATTGTAATTAATTATAAATAAAATTATGAAAACCGAATTCTTACCAGTTTCGTTTATGAATTTTACATGAATTCTTCCCTTTATTTTCGCGTCAATTACTCCGCCCAATTGTTTATATCCATCATCCAGCACATGAGCCCTTCTAACTTTGATCATAATGCCAGTGGCTTCCGAATAATTTGGAATACTTTTTTTCAAATAATCTCGAAAAATATCTAATCTTGTTTCAAACGGAATCGTATGGGGCAATAAATTAAGAATTTTAATTGATATAGGATCATTTTCCTGAATTCTTTCCAAAAACGACATCCCCATTTGATCTTTGCTATTTGATGATGATGATGACTTTTTATTTTTGAAAAGGTCTTTAAGAGATTTTGGTAAGGATTTCTTTGGATCTTTAATTAATAACCAAATATTTTCTTCTCTTGAAAATGAACGACGTGAATCTTTCAAATGTAATTGAAATAAAACTTTACGTGCCGATTCAAATATTGTTGGAGGACATCCTTCAAGTGATGAATGACTTAATAATGCGAAACAGAATTTGTTAAAGAAAACTGACATTGGAATAATATCATTCTCAATTGAAAAAGGGATCTGCTTATCATATAATTCTTCATCATCCTTCGTCCTAAAATTAATAATTAAAAAAAATCAGCTGTTATAAATAATTTAATTTTAAACCCATTTATTGCGAAACTTTTAAACTATACTCACGTCAACCATATATTACAACATATACAAAATAACGCCAAGATGCTTATAAAAGGTTCTTTTTCTGGATCTTTTATTACAGAATCTGACAGGAAAATTTCCATATTTCCTTTAGGTCCCAAACGCATTAAAAATTTCCAAAGACAAGGTATAAGGTCTGGAAAATAAGTTAAATTCATAGTAATGTTTTTGTTTTGACCATCAAGAAGTTTTAAAATTGATAAATAAAGACGACAAACTACTTTCGTTTCGATAGCATCAATTGTAACTTTTCTTGAGACTAAGCTAACTTTTTTATCATTAAAACTATTCTTTCTTCTTGATTTTAATAGACCACTTTGATCTTTAACTACAGACTTAAAACTTAAAACATGATTAAATGCTTTAAGTATAAATGATCTTTGCCATAAGCACTCAAGTTGTGCTATAACTAAGTTAAAATATGAATTTGGAATTTTTGAATCATTTTTTCCTGAATACCATTTAAATATAGGGTGATATTGATAATGCATATTCAATTGTTTAGATGACACTAAACTTTGACAATATTGAAGTAAAGAATTTATAATTTCAATAAAATTAAGAAATTGTTGTGTTGAAGAATTTGATTGTGTTTCACTTATCGATAAAGAAATTAAATCTGATCTCAACATTAATTCAACAATATTTCCCATCAAAAATATTGCATTATTCCCCGTTAATCCATTTAAAATTTGTGATAAAGAATCATCGTTATGCATTATTTCAATAATTTTTAAAGGAATATTACTTTTTTTTAACATATCCAACCAATTATCATCTAAAGAAGATAATAAACAGGGGACTGACATTATATGAATTATAAACATGATTAATTTATTCTTTTCGCTGTAATGTTGTTCTGTAAATGTTTGCAAATTACTTCCTCCAGAATTTAAATCCAATAAAAATAAACAGCATCTTAAACAAGCTGAAATCCATAAATTCGTAGAATTTAATTTCTTTTCATCATCTTTTGAAAGTTGTTTCACTTTCATTGCTCTTGATTTTAAATTTAATATGGAATCCACTCTGAGAAACATTCCTGATCCTATTAACATGTAAAATCCTTTTTGTAATAGGAAATTATGAAATGCAGCTAAATTTTGGCTTAAAAGTGTAGAGATGGAATTTGAATTCGGTAAATTTCCTTTTATTATATAAAATTTAGGATCAAGAAAATAAATCATTAGTCTAATTTCTGTTCCGGTAAGATATAATGTTTTGGTATTGTTTTCATTTGCATATCCAATTATCCTTTCGACGCATTGCCAAAGAATTTTTTTCATTAAATTAAAAGTGAATTTTCCATAATTTTCATTAAACAACAAAAAATGGAAAGGAAAAACTATTTTACTAGGTTGATCTCCCTTGTTAGAAGAGTTTTGAGAAGTAGTTGATAATATTAATCTACATAAATGTGAAAATCTGGCATTATCACGTTTTGGATTAAAAAACGCAAATAATAATTTTGTAAGAAGAAGAATTTCTAAGGGATTTGATGAATTCTCGTTTGAATTATCATTGTCAATTGAAAAACCTGAATCAATATCCCATAAATTACGTAAATTTTCAAAAATTTGCTTTTTTTTTAAATGTTTACGAAAAGTTTTCTGTATAACAATTGCAGATTGTGATAATTTTTGCTCTTGCTTTTGTTTTATACGTTGTTGCTCTCTTTGTTCCCTTTCTGCTCTAGCGTTTTCAACAAAAGCTTGTTTTTTTGCATTTTGTTCGTTAAATGGAAACATTTCTTTGAAGTAATGTTAAGCTATGACTAATCCGCAGCAAAAATTATCGTTAAAAATTAAAAACGCAAAGAAATAAATAATTCTATGTCATTTATAGATTACAACTGCTTGTGATATTGTACAACATGTTTATTACTTTCCTTCCACGTGATTGCGAAAAGCACTAATATATGCACTATAAATTTGCCACCAGACATCATATGACATCCAATTATACAATTTGACTAACATGGTTAACAGTTAATATTTTATATTTATCTGTTATGGTATTTATTTTTAACAAAACTAAAATTGGAAAATTTAATATTAATAAGTATTTTAAGACTAGTTAAATGCAAATATTTTTTTATAGTCTCTGAATTATTCTCATTATTTTTGGCAATTTTGGAATTGCATTATTATCGAATAAATAAAAAAGTATGGCTTATTAGTACGATAACAATATAAGCATGGCATATTGAAACATCCTGCAAGTTAAATTCCATAACCTTTTCCTTTGAATAGTATGTACATTTGTGTAACCATCGTATGGTCATCATCCTTTGATTTTAATTAAATGCAAGGTAATATGTTTTCTTTGATCAAGAACATTGAGAATTAAATCATCAAAAATATGAAGGTGGCTTGCTAAATATCAGAAAAATGATCACATTACCTATTCTTAAAATCATTAAACTTATTAATATGAAATGTATTATGAGTAATCTATATAATATACTTAACTAAAGGATAAAGCCTAATGATCTAATGTGTATAACAGATAATTCACATACAATAGATATTATTAATAATGAGAAGGATACTCACCATATATTTATAAGGGTAGTTATGCTAATCAGCTTAAATCTTTAACAAATGTTTCAGATCCTAAGTAGTGTGTTGTTTTTAATAAATTAAGTAATACATTTTATATCTCCAGATGTACTATAACTATGTATATATAACGATTATGATCTATTAAAATATGCACATTCATGTAATTGTGAATTTCTTTTGATCAGGAATGTCCAAAGTTCTCTGTTTCATATAAAAAGCATCAGGTAATAACAAGTAATAACAAGTAGTCTTGATGTGGGTCCTACAGAAGTTATTTGGAAAAACAGATGGCAGATTTACAGTGACCATTCTGCGTATGGGTGTTCCCGGATCCCGAGTTTATTTTACTCAGGATGGGAAATAAAAAAAAAAGTACCACGTGACAAATTCGGCCGCATATATCGTATTACCACCATATGCATGAATCGAGTTCCATAAACCTTTCAATCATAACCCATTCTGCCAAGTTGTTTCTTCGCCATCTTACTTTTCTCCTTTCCTTTTTTTTTCACTCTCAAATCATTGTCTGCTCGTCGAGAATACGCGTTAAAACGGTCTTTAATAGTACCGTAAATAACCTTTGGTGCCAAATGGTGCAGGAACTTACTGCTTACTGGCACTAATTGTTACTTTCAATTCCTACCGACCTTTTTTAGACTATCTGAAGTTTTTTTTTAAAAAAAAATAAAAAAAACTATTTTTATTTATACTTCAGAAATAATAATAAGGGTACCCTCTTACTTTATCCTTCCTAGTTTCTCGCTCTGTCTTATCCAAAGCTGGTTTATTCTGTGATCTCTTATTATAGAGTTTAATATTTATTGTTATATAGAGTTATTACATTATTTCCTTTTGACAGAAAATGGGAATACGTTCTCCTGGTATTTCAATCAAGATTCCTGAGAGTCGCTTTTTTTTCAACCACATGTCAAAGGTATGTTTTGCAAAATGAGCCAACTTCGAAGTAATGCGTAACTTTTCAGGGGTTTCCTCACTTGTATGCCCCTTATACCCCTTGGACATAATAAAATGGAGTAACTTTCAACTTTCACAATTAGAATTCTTTCCCTTTGAATTCTCGTAATTTATCCATGATTGTTAATTTATGTTTAGAAACTAAACTAAAAGAAACTTTATTAACTAAGGAATCGAATATACAGATACCGAACTTGCTGCTATCCGACTCGCCTCCCACAAAAACGGACGAAGCATTCGAAAAAGAGTTGGATCGTTCGAAAAATGAATTTAATCAATTTAATCAGGATTTAGATGAGATAGCTCATTCAATGGAAAAATTATTCGAGGGTGCCCCTGAATGGCTTGCTAATATTGAGAAAATTAAGCGAGAACAAGGTAGTAAACGTAGTTTTATTTATTTATTTATTTATTTTGATTATTATTTGACATATTTTAATTCAATTATTTTGTCAGATTCTGTTGAAGAATCTATATTAGCAACCCAAGAAAAGATTCTTGAAAATGAAAATCATTTGGAAAAGTTAAAATCACTTCAAAATGAAGTTACGGAGGATATAAACAATGACTTGAAAAAAATTCAGGAACAAATTTTTGATGTTAGTTTTTATTAGACAAGCTGTTTATATTTGTTAATTTTATTTTAACGGAATATAATAATTATTATTTTAGATTCTTGAAAAGCATCGTTCTGCAAGATCAAACACATCAAACATTTATAATAGTCAATCTAGAACTTCCGAACAACTTGACCTTATGTTACAAGCTATACATGAGTATGCTCGTTTAATTCGAGAAGCAAGTCTCACAATTAAACATTTCGACGATGTTGGGTCTCCATTAAAATATGAATCGCTAGACTTATCACCGTTTAGACATTACAAGGTATTTGATAATAAAGAAATTTCTAGAATATATATTTTTTTTTTTCGTTTTAAAAAACTTCTATACTAACTCCCAAATGATGAAAGGGTAGCAGTTCCTACTTTGAAGAACATATCCACCAGGTAAATACTCCAGAGTCAGAATCTCCTATATCACGCATATCACAAACATCACTAGATTCTCCAGAGTTACCAAGCGCCTCTACTACAACTACTCACACTTCAGCAACAACACCGACAAGTTTAGACCCCCATTCCTCTGATTCATCATCTCTACCTCTTAACGATCCACAACCTCCATATTCACCCATTCACCCATTACCAATACACCCATTACGAAGCTATGAAATTAAGCATCAAAAACTTTTACTTTTAAGTATGAGGCGTGCGGCAGTTGGATTAAAGTTCTTGCTGTATGCAAATCAATTAAACGATTATAAGAATGAATGTCCAGACAGTGATTGCGACTTAGATCTAGATTTATTCAACGATACTTCTACTGAAGAAGTAGTGACAACAATGACAACAACCACTTATAGAGACGTCGATCCTGGTAAAAGCAGTATATCTAGTGCTGGCAGTTGTGACAGTAGTTGTGACGATAACAACAGTGATAGCGGAGGAAGCGATCATGAGAAGAGTAAAGAATGCGCTCCCGGCAAGATCTGTGTCACTATACACAAAAGGTCACTTATTGTTCACTCATATGATCTGCTGCGATTTGACAAGAGAATGTTGGTAAAACAGCAAGGATAAATTATCCATTAAAGTGCAAATTTAATTATTGTAAGATAGAAGGAAGGATTTGAAGGATTAATGTAATTTATGAATAAGGACTTTTATTGGAATTTTGTTTAGTGAAAGACATTTGGAATTCTTTTTTTTTTTTTTAAAGATCAATCGACAAATGATTATTGATTTATTTCATTTCTTGGATTTTTAGGCTTTAAAGATTAACGTTTCAGCAAATGAAACTTTTGTATTTTTAATGACAATTTAGCCTTTATTTTATATAAATGATAAGTAAAAGAAAGAAATTTATATTTTTATTGATATTTTATATATATATTCTTTTTTATAAAATTAATACAATCTTAACATCAATCAACAAACAATTCAAAATTACAATTTTAGCATAGAAGTTTTTAAATATACAATAAAAAAATAATTATTTCTTAGTCATTTTTGTTGAGTTTAAAAAGTAAAGGTGCGATCCTGTAACAAATTTTAACTTGAGATTAAACTTAAACTCAATAAATTATATTTTATTGAGCAAATCGGAAATTTCTCAATACTTCGGAAAAATACATGAGAGGACGCATGAAATGCAACTTTTTTTTTTACCTAAATATAGAATCAACTTAATACTAACCTATTACGCCTTTATCAATAATAAAAATTTGTTACTAAACTTTAGAACATGTGATACTTCTTATTTTGGGAATTTTTGTAAACAAAGAAAACTTAACATATTTTTCTGTTTTTTTTTGTATCTTCAAAACTTTTGATAGTTTATTGCTTTACCCATTCGTATTTTGTTTCGCGTTTCTCTTATTTAAGTATAACAACTATGGATAAAAATATAAATATACCAACAATTTCGACAGGAAAAGTTGAAACATTACAAACTTTATCACAAAGAAGCACAATAAGTGAAGAGGTTGGTACAGACGAAGGACCGGAACATGAAAGCGATTATTCAAATGAAAGTGAGCCTTCCTCGAGTGATTCAGGTGAAGAAGGTGGATCACATGATGATGATAATGAAAATGAATTTAAAGGAGAAAAATTAGATGATTTATCAGATTATAGTTCTTCAGAAAACGAAAAAAAAAAGTTTGAAGATTTTGAAAAAAACATAAAATCTCTTAGTTTGGACGATGAATTGGATTTAAAAGGTTTAGAACAATCGGGTGATCTAACAAGTAAACATAATTTATCTGAATTAAATGAATTGCAAGGTGTAAGTAGAGAAGAATATCGTCAAATTATTGGTGAATTTAGTTATGTGGACGAACCAATTTTTATCAATAAAAGAAGACATCGAAAAGTACCAAGTTCGCGAGAACAACGAAAAAATAGACCATCACAAGAAGAGAAAATTCATGAAGAACAAGAACAAAAAGTTGATCAATCACATCAAAAACAAATTAGTCAGGAAAAAGAGTATCAACAAAAACAATTATTAAATGAGCAACAATTGCAAGAAGAGAGCTCAAAAGAAGATCTGAAACGGGAGTCTCAAAGGTTATCACAAAAGGAACAATTGCGACACGAAGGACAATTACGTAAAAAAGAAAGCCAATTACAGAATCAAGGGCAAAATTTGCTACAACAGCGCCCATCTCCGTTTTTGCAGTATCAACATTTGCAATCTAGACCAAACTCCTCACAAATACAAAGATCAACTCATGATAACATATTTAAACCTGTAATTAAGTCACAAAATGAAAAAACTTCACTCATTACACCTTCGTTATCATTTCATTTACCAGATATTTCGTTATCTCAGCAAAGTAATGTTCGAAATTTCAGACAGATGAATATTATTGAAAATAATGTTAAAGGTCCAATTGCCGCTTTACGTACTCTTACAGATAATTATAGACAACTTGAACTGGACAAACAAAACGCAGATATAAAGGTTAGACAGCTTGAAATGGACAAACAAAGCGCAGATGTGAAGGTCAATCAGTTAGAAAAACAATTAGAACAATACCGCCAGTTATTACAGAAGGAGCAATCCAAGAGTAAAGCTAATAATAAACATAATGAGGTAGAAACAGTTACCTATGGCGTGAGAAACGATTTTAAGAAAAGCAGTTCACATGGAAACTTTCCATTGATTGAAAAAGAAAGTGAGTTATAATTAATTTTTGTTTGTTATATACCAGTTATTGATCGATTACAAAAAATCAAAAAGACTTTCTATATTGTCCCTTTTACAGAAGCAAATCCTTCCATGATTTATCTACAGAAAAAGTACAAAGTCATTAAAAGACAATTAGAGTATATGAAGACTTATGCACTTAAAGCAGAAGATGAACGTGATGAAGCTAAGAAAGCTTTAATCAAGACCAAACAAGATATTACACAAATGAATGATCAATTTGAAAGTTTAAGGGCATCTGTTCAGATACCCAACAAAAGAACCCAGCTTTCTAATATTGCAGTTCCTACTCAACCAATTTCTTTGACTTCGCCAGAATTACCAAGGAAACCTTTTGAGAAAACTAACGAACTTTCGGATATTAACAATATTGAAGTTCAGGAAAATAATCAAATAATCGAACCAAAAGAAACTAAGCGTGATTCAGGATCAGAAAAGAGCAAATCTCTTGAAAGAGCTGATGTAAGTATTGTTATATTACTATATGTGTTTTATATATTGGATAAATGTATAAAAACACCAATTTATTCGATGCTTAGCAAGAACAAATTAAGAAAATCCAGGAAGAAATTGAGAGTCATCGCGTAGATAGAGAAAATTTGAGAAAGCAACGTCAAGCGGTAATTATTTTAATTAATAATAAAGTTGCCCTATCAATTATTAATTAAATAAATTTGATGTTCAGATGGAAAAGACACATAGAAAGAAAACTGTTCCTAAAGGTGAAATAACTTCAATAGAGGAAAACGAAAATGTTGAAGGAAGTGAAGATGGGCGAAAAACCAATAGGTACAGAGGACTTTGTCACAAGGAAAATCTTCAAAATTATGAAGATTCATATATGGATAAAAAGCGACACACGAATCTTAATGAAGATTGTCATATTGAACAGCAGTATAATGAAGGAACTTATAATAATTCAAAAGTGTTTAATAAACGAACTACTAATAATAAGATGCAGTTTGGCGGTTACAATGAAGATAACCAAAATGGCGATTATCGGGAACAACAATATTATGAGCATTATGGAGATGAGCCGCATGAAAATCTGCAATTTGCAAAAAATAGAAGATTACCAGAGTCTTTTGAGCAAGATCAAAACATAGATCCTCGAGAACAACATTATTATAATGAGAAACGGGGGGATCAAAGACGAGATAATCATTATACTAGAAATTTTTCTGAGCAGGACGATGGTGACCAATCTCCTCATCTTCCCGGAAGACAACGGCAGTTTTATGATAATATGAAGGAAGATCCAGATATTCATCCTAATGACTTAAGATTATCTCCAACTAGGAGTGGAAGAATATATTCACAATATTCTAATGAAAGTCGAGATAGTGTCTACATACACATAAAAGATCGAAAACAATATGTTCGCCATACATATGATGATTTTGAGGAGGAAGGTGATTATTTTAGAGATTGCGATTACCGGGAAGAATTAAAAAGTGATAACCAATCTATTAGCATGCAACAGGTTGGTTTATTTTTTAACTTTTTTCTTTTATCTTAAAAATATTTTGACAATTCATACACTCGTTAGGACTATCCTGTATGGAAAGATATCAAAAACGGAAAATCGTATTTGCGGAATCGAGATTATATTATACAAGAACAAAAACCCATGAGATCTGGCGGTGGGCGAGAGATTCCTTTTATTCTTGGAACTGTATGTATTTTAAACATTTAATTTTTAATTTTGTGTATATATTATTATAATAATTCAATAAATAATAGTTATTGGTTAGGGGGTAAAATATCGGTCACCCCGAAGGGGTGACACGATATTTTATCCACCATAACCAATAACTAGATTATTGCGTTAGTCACGCAAGATCATGCTATTATTATAGTAAGATATATAGAAAGTATAATTAAACTGCAAATATATTTGATATTTAGCCAATATAAGAAAAATATTAATTATTTAGCCATTAACAAAAAATATCAGTCCGTCAAAATCAGCATGATCCTATTAGACTGACCAATAATATCTTTTATTAAATTTATACAGGGTACAGGCAAATCACACTCTGTAACAGTAAACCTACAAAAAGCTTTCGCATTACTAAAGAATCATTGTTCCAATTCGTGTTCAGTTTGTAATAAGAAAAATACGAAAAATGCGACTAATAAAAATAAACTTAAGAAACGTAGTGTATTTATATTCCAATTTTTCGTATACGAATATTAAAATAATTAATTTTGACTGACAGCTATTTTTTTTTTTTTATTGCAGAGAGCTATGAGAAAGAAGAATCTCCAGATATAGCATTGGGGAGAGTTATTAGTAATCTAATGGATGAATTGAAGCATTTGAAAATGTAAAGCTATTTTCAACTTTAAAAAGCTCATTTGTTTAAAAAAAAAATTTGGATTTAAAACTAAAATAATCATGAAATTTATAACAGGTATTATAGTAATTTAGTCGATGAATATCAAAGAAGTGATCCTCTAGATTGTAAAAGTAAGAGAACCGCACTAGCGGAAGAACTGAAAGAAATAATGGACCAAATGGAAATAAAGGTATATATATATATATGTATTCGTTTTTATTCATATTTGGAGACGTTTAACTATTCTCTCTCAAAGGGAGATCAAATTGCTACGCTTTACGATATTCAACAAAAAACCGTTAAACCCTCTTTATCATCAAAGTCACGATATGGATTTACTCAAAATAAGAATAATTTTCAAAAACCTACGCATCCAGTACATGAAACAAGAGCTGAAAGTTTAAATTCATTGCGAGGAACGCGAAAAGTACAAAAAACATTAAATGATTTATAGCAAGAACTTAAATAGACAATTTTGATATAATTCCTTTTATTTAAGAACATTTTTGAAAGTATAATATAGTATTTATTTTATAAAATATTGGTACCCATGTAGATCATATACATATTTGATAAATTGATAAAATAGATCTGATTTGCAGCTATAAAATTTAAATATTTCTCTTATAGTATCTATATGAAACTTCAAATTGATAAACCTACGAAAGCAACAATGTCCTTTCTATCAGATTACATACCCAGTTACATACAGTTCTTTCTAACCACCACCTCTATAGTTGCTTTAGCGGTCACAAGTTTATTATATACATATCAATGCAAAATGATATACCTCGCTGGACTTCCTGAAGGATCTCGACAAGTTGTGAGCATTGTTCACGCATTGGATATTCGCTGAAAGTTTTTATCCTAACATGAATATTTGATTCTCTAGGTACAGAAACCCTCTGAATTTGGAATGAATTACACTGACGAGACTTTAACGACAAAAGATGGAGTTCGTATAAAAGCATACATATGTAAATTACCATTATATGCAAGAGATAGGCCTACTATTTTAATTTTTCATGTAAGTTTTATGAGATGGAAAAATTTTATCAAAAAAAACCACTTAAATTTTTTTTTATGAATAGGCCAATGCTGGAAATATGGTATTCATTTATGATCCGATCTATTTGAATATATATATATATTAGTATAGATCCCATTAATTTCATTAATTTTGAATTTAACGTAATAATTAGGGACATAGATTATTTATAGCAAAAGAATTTTACGTAAAATTGGAGTACAACGTTGTAATGCTCTCGTATAGAGGGTAAATATAAGGAAATCTTTTTTACTCGTTCAATCTAGCTCATATTTTCTAACATTTTTTATTAATATTAGATATGGTTTAAGTGAAGGAACTCCAACAGAAAAGGGCCTTAGGATTGACTCTCAGGTTGTATCCAATACATACAAATATATTTAATCAATTTATATCTTATTTATTTATTTATTTATTTAGGCAATATTAGATTTTATATTAAAAGATGAGGATTTGAAAAATACAAAATTAATAGCATATGGACAATCCCTTGGAGGAGCTGTATCGATTGATTTAGTATCCAGAAATGAAGATAAGTTCAGCGGCATGATAGTAGAAAATACGTTTCTTAGTATTGTAAGTTATTGTATCATTTTTTGAAAAAGTCAATAATAGCATACGATTGATATATTTTTATTTATATTTAGCCCAAATTGATACCACACGTATTTCCACTAATAAAATATTTAGCCTTTCTTTGTCATCAAGTTTGGCCATCTGAAAAAGCTATACAACAAATTGTTAATGTCCCAGTATTATTTTTATCTGGGCTTAATGATGAATTAGTTCCTCCTTCACATATGCGTCAGTTATACGAATTATCTCAAACGAGAACGAAACATTGGAAAGGTTTTAATGATGGAACTCATAATGAAACTGTATTTCAACCCAGTTATTATGATACTATTGAAGACTTTATAAAAAAAGAAGTTCTTAAAGAATAAAAAAGTAACGAGATTATAAATTACAAACTCTAGGTTACAAACTTCAGGTATTTTTTTTTTTAATTAAACTACTACTTCAATTCAACAAAAAATGAGAAAGATAAAATGTATTATTAACGGTGCAAATCGTTCTCGTTATTTCTTACCGGACTTCTTAATACCACCTCCCACTATATATGACATATAAAACTTATAATTAGAATTAAATTATTACAAATATTAAATTATTAAATCGATGACATACCAAGAGGTCCACCTTGTTTGGCTTTTTCTTTTAATTCTTTTAGTTTTTTTGCTTCTTCTTGCTGTTTTTTCTTGAACTCAGCGTCATTCTAAGTTGAAAAGATAAACTTTAGTTAACTGAACAACTAAATTCTAACGAGATTTTTATTTAAATAAATAAGACTTTACTTCATCCAAATCTTTACTATCTTTCTTTTTGGATTGTTTAAGTGGTTTTAATTTACCTCCTTAATGTAAAAAAAAGCTTTATGAATTAAAAAAAAAAACACATACATATATTACGTTTACAAAGACAATTTTCTTACCTTGACGACCAGACATTTTGAAATTCAGAAAATATTAAAGTTCAAACGAAGTAAAAAAAATGGATTATTTGTGAAAAATGATTAGTCAAATGATTGAAGCCGAATTTATTGGAAAATTAATCACGTGATAGCTATAATTTTGAGTGTGAATAAAAAATAAAATGACGATCAGAATAAATATTTAAAACAAACAACCTTTATTTTGTATAACTCTCACGGATTCATAATGGTATTATTAATTATGTAATTAAATATAAGGAATCTAACTTCGTATTAATTCGTGTTTTGTATTATAATATGTAGGAGAAAGAAAAGTCAAAATATCGGTATACTTCAGAAATTCAACAAATGATGTTTGTTTTTGGTGAAGTTCAATCACCCTTACTTGAAACAATAAATCTTGTGGAGGACATTGTTCGTTCTCAAGTGATTGAAATCGTAAGAATTTTTCATATTATAAATATACTGTATAAATTTAAATAGTTTCACAATTTTATTAATATTTTTCAGCTAAATAGATTATACAAGCAGCAGCTCAAGCTTCAAAACGTGGTTCCAGATATATGAGTGCTGAGGATTTGATCTTTTTGATCCGCCATGATCGTGCTAAAGTAAATAGATTAAGAACGTATCTAAGCTGGAAAGATGTACGAAAAAATGCAAAAGACACAGGTGGAAATGATGCAGCAGAAGAAATCATGGAAGAACCGAATGCAGGTTTGAAATTACAAAATTAGATCGATTTTAATTATAAATGATATTAATTTATTAACTTGCTATTTCACAACTTATATGAATTGGTAAGTTTTCTTATATAATTTATTGATAGTCGAGTTAGTCTTATTAAATAGATTTCCTTCTTTAAAGACAAAATAGCCAAGGCGCGAAAAATGAAAGTTAAATTGTCTTGGGAACTTGTCAATTCGTTTTCTGAATTTTTGAATGCCGACTCTGATGACGAAGATGAGGAAGAGTTGGAGGCCTATAATGATTCAATACAAAGATTAAAGGTAAGGATAATATTATTTGTTTATTTGAAATAATTTACATATTTGCGAAAATTTTAATTTTTGCATTAAGGATGCTGATGAAATTACTAGAGCTATGACACGAGATGAGTATGTGCATTACTCAGAATGCCGACAAGCATCTTTCACATATAGAAAAGCAAAGAGATTTCGTGAATGGGCTAACATGTCTGCATATATAGATATGAAGCCTAATGATGATATTATAGATATTCTTGGTTTTCTTACATTTGAGATGGTGAGCACATTGACAGAAACAGCTTTAAGAGTCAAAAGAGATCTGGACAAAGATCAAATGTTTCACAACAAAAGTCTCAATCGCCCCAAAGGAATGTTTGATGACGAATTAGATAATAGGGATGTGTGTTTATTCTCTTCGCCTCCTTCAGAGCAAACACCTTTACAACCTTCACATATTCATGAAGCTTTTAGACGATTGCAAATGCTTCCTCAACCAGTCAAAAATTTCCGTGGCGGTTTGGTCAGAACTAAAGTTTCTCTTATTTAAATTTTTGGAAATTTATCAGTATGATTATTATAATTTTTTGTTTAGAAATTTTTATAATTTTATAATACTAATATAAATAATTTAAGAAATGGCATAATAAATTTACCGAAAATTTTTACATATTTTTTCTTTTTATTTTTATTTTTAAGTTAGTAACGCGCATTTCTTTATTATATTTGTATAAACAGAATAATACAATTATTAATTTCGAAATACATAGTAGTATATAAATAATAAACACTATACATGACTAAACATAAAATCATATAAATTTACTACGAGTTCTTCGTGATTTCGAATTTCAGGTTGTTTCCTCAGTTTCAAGCACTTTTTCTACTGAAGTTGAAGCAGAATCAGGTTTAGGTTTTTTGCCTTTCGTGCTAAAAATTGTAATGAAAAGATGAAAAAAAATATTGGAATCTGAGAAGGTACCTACCTCCAAATAATCGACCTTCCGTCTTGTGATGAAATAATATGAGACACTAATCCTAATTGCAATATTCTGGAGTCCATCCATAGTGAAATCTTTACTATAACGACTAAAAAATGAACCAGCTTCAAGGGAAGTGTTGAAATGGATATGACCATAACTATAAAAAAACAGAGGCAATGGTCATATTTCAATAGATATTTATCTAAAAAGCTTACGAGTTATGGATTTGCTTGATAATGTGTACAAATGAAATTGTGGTCGCACTTTTTAACCATATTTCAAGTTCTTTCTTGGTTATTCCTTGTAAATTGCCACTACACATAATGGAGCATTCTGGCTTTCTGCAACAATTATATTTTCTATATTCTGGTGATGAAACTAAAAGAAAATGAAGTTAATACTTTCACAATTGGAAGGGTACAATGATCCTCTCAGGAAGGCAAAGAGGGAGATTTATTCCAACATGAGAAGGGTAACATCCCACAAAGGGAAGGTAACATCTAAACATCCCATGAAAGGAAGGTATCCTCTCAGAAAGGCGAAAATGGAGATTCACTTCAACATGAGGAGGGTAACATCCCACAAAGGAAAGGTAATATCTCATGAAAGGAAGGTAACATCCCATGAAGGAAAGATATCCTTTCAGGAAGGTGAAGAGGGAGATTCACTCCAATATGAGAAGGGTATACTTTACTTCTCCAGTACATAGAAAGGGTAGATGTAATCTAAAATGAGAGGTATATGCATCTTGCAAAATAAGATGGACTTAAAGCTCTAATTGGTCCAGTTCTAATCCAGCAATCAGACCAAAAATTAGGATTGGTCCAGTTCAGGTTGATACTTCAACTTAAACTGAAATATTCAGTCTGATCTGATCTGATCTGATCCTGAATTATAAATCTAACCTGAACTGAATTAAACAAGTTGGAATCAAACTGGACTGAATAATTGGTTTCACAATAGTTTTATATTAAAACTATATGATTGTTTAATTATTAAATAAAAAAATGTTGCAAATGTTTTTTTTTTATATATTATTAGAAAAAAAATGTTTTTACAACATTTTTATAATTAATTTAATGAAAAAATATTGCAAAATATTTTTTCAAAGTAAAGTCGCTTCAATTTGATTGTTTGTTTAATATCCAGAATTATATATGCTGCCCAAATTATTTTGGGATGCTATAATTATAATTTGGAATGCCGTAATTCATTTAGTTTATATATAATTTACTATGTAAAGTGCCAAAATAATTTGGGATGTCATAATTGAATTTGGGATTTAAACAAACAAACATAATATAACTTTTGGGAAAATTTGGAAAATTCTGGAAATTCTGGAAATTCATAATTCAAATTCAGAGGAGATATTTAAACATATTTATTACTATACACTGGTCAAAAACCAATATATCAGGTAGCAGAAATGTATTAGATATGTACCCGATATATGTAGTATTAATGCAGAAAATTGGATACCCGATATGTGTAAGATATATGTAAATATATATATCATATACATATCGGGTACCGATATGTATATAATATGTAAATGATATGTAGATGATATATTTATTTACACATATCTTACACATATCAGGTACCCAATTTTCTGCATTAATACTACACATATCAGGTACATATCTGATACATATCTGCTACCTGATATATTGGTTTTTGACTAGTGATATGTTTAGATTTTTGAAAAAATAAAGGGAGAAGAAGTACATTAAACAAATAATTAAATTGAAGCAGTTTAATTTTAATTAAAAAAATGTTGTAAAACATTTTTTCAAAATAATTTTATTAAAAAATGTTTTTGCAATATTATTTTAATTAATTTAATAAAAAAATGTTGTTATAATTAAAAAATGTTTTCGCAATATTTTTTATTATAAGACCAAACCAGACTGAATTAAATAACTGGTCTGGTTTAGTTTAGTTCTGAATTATCTTTTAATATAATCTGGATCAGATTAAAATAAAGCAATTTTTTTGGTCTGGTCCTGGATTGCTCTTTAATCCATACTAATTTGAACCATTTAGAGCTTTATGTATAATAAATTAAATTATTTTTCTAATAATTTCTTCTTCTAAGATAATATCAGATACTTGGCAGATGCTTTTAGTATTGCATATATTCACTTCTGCTTCTGACCCTTCTTCTTTGAGGGTTATCTAACTTTTGTTAGTTTGACTAGTTCTTTGAGAAGATATCAATACAAATATCTGTTCTTTGCTAAAATTATACCCTTTTTGAAGATGACCACAAGTCTGATACCTTTTCTCTCTATTATCTGGTAAGAGCTCAAGTATTTCTGGTGTATACTAGCTAAGCTTTTTAAGATTCATTTCATTAGTGAGTTTGTGATTTTTAACAAACTTTGTTGTAATAATAAATATAATGTGGTAAATAAATTATAATGGTAATTAAATTAATCTGTGATATTCAGATTATATATTATGAAAAAACTTCAATTCAAAAAATTTTCTCAGAATATAATTTTTCAGAAAGGAAAAATATTGGAGATGACTTTTAAGTAAGTTAGAAAGCAAAAAATAATGATATAACTTATGTTTTGGCTAGGAGTTTACATTGATTTGAAAATTGCAGGTTAGAGCTCCGAAACCTGACCCGACAGATCGGGTGACCCGACGGGTTGACCCGAAATATTCAGGTCAGGTCATCAAATTCATGACCTGACACGGGTCGGGTCAGTGCTGGTCGGTACCCGACCCGACCCATTGACCCGACATATATTTGGGTCAAATAAATTAAATAACGCCGAAACTTATAATGATTCCAGCGTTTTTACATGTAAAATCGAAAAAAAATGCCGAAACTAATGATTCCGGCGTTTTTACATGTAAAATTGAAAAAAAATGCCGAAACTATCAGTTTCAGCGTTTTTACATGTAAAATCAAAAAGAAAAACGCCGGAACTAATGATTCCGGCGTTTTTACATGTAAAATCAAAAAGGAAAAACGCCGGAACTAATTATTCCGGCGCTTTTACATGCAAAATCGAAAAATAAACGCCGAAACTATCAGTTTCGGCGTTTTTACATGTAAAATCAAAAGGAAAAATGCCGAAACAAATAGTTTCGGCGTTTTATATATAAAAACAAAAAGTAAAAAATGTTACAAAACGTTTTTTTACAATATTTAATAATAAAACTTCGGGTAACCCGAGTTACCCGAAGTGACCCGAATACTTTCGGGTCAAATGGGTCGGGTCGGGTCAGAACGGTTTACCCGACCCGACCTGACCTGAAAAAAAATTTCGGTTCGGGTTAACCATGTAACCCGACCCGACCCGACCCGTTCGGAGCTCTATTGCAGGTAGATAAAATATGCAATAATAATAATAATAATTTGGAATTATATATTACCTAATTGTAAAGAAAAGAAGACTCTTTTACTTAAACACCTTACTTATAAACTGGCTCTTATTTGTTCTTTATCAAAGCATACCATTCTTTTAGAGTATGCTTACATTTTTTTTCCATTCCTTATCAGTATTAAGCCATGAAGTTGTAACTTTCTTTTTCTCAAGAAAACAACCTTTCCTATCAATCTTTCCTGTACTGTTATTTCCATATTGATATATTTATTGGGGTATTCTTCACCCTTTTTTGCATAACCACACATCTAAGAATCAGTTTCCATTCTATCTCAAAATGCAATGGAATTGAACCTATCTTTTTTGGTAATAGTTATGATCAGACTCATATTAAATGGCCTAGGATTCATGCACTTTCTTTCTCTTTGATAGTATCATATATTTCATTTGCTTCTCTGGCATTTTTCATTCTGTTGCTTATTAATGTATCTGAAAAATTGTTAATAAAGTTTAAAGTTACAATTGGACTTTGAATTTTTATCATAAGCACAATATCAGAGCATTTAGATTTCATATATATTTCCCATCTTTTTGCAAACTTTCAAATATGTCAACTTCAACTGCTTAGAATTAGGCATTAGGGTTAGAATTAGGGTTAGGATAATATTAGGATAGATTAGGATTCAACTGTAGGTAGTTGGTAAAATGATTGTGGGTAAAATAGGCCAGATTAGGTAATTTCTAATATACAGTATTTTGCGATACTATTTCTAGCATCGAAGATGTGAAAGGATATGATACATGAAGACTTATCACTTATTTATGAACAAAATCTCAAGTCTTGGTGAGAAGGATCTCATAATATACTTCATGATCAGAGGGTTGATGGTTAATATGACTCAAAATGAGCTTACACAGCCTCCCTTTGTTTATGGAAAAGCTAAAAATCTTGGCAACCAGTGGCTTTTTGGAGGAAGTGAATAATTTTAAATTCAGCAACAAACCGGAATATAATAGGCCACAATTTACCCCAAATATTCACAGATGCATAATGAAATAAGCATTCAAACCGCTTTTGAACAAAATATATGTATAGTATTAAATAAACTTTTGAAAGATTACTATTTTTCGAGAGAATTGACCAAAACCCCTGGTAATTCAGATTTTATTACCATCTTGCTTCATTTCAAGTACTCATACGGTCATACCAATTGAGGTCAAGATAAAATATGTTTTAGAAGATATTGGTGAACAATCATTTATAGAATTTCATAAACACAATTCAAAACACAAAGTGTAATTAGGAAGATTTATAGTTATATGGTAGTGAATCAAGTTAAATACGGTATACTTTCAACTTATGATAGTCACTGGTTTTTGTGCCGACCGGGTGATGATGAAGAAAACAGCGAGCTTTTATAGATATCAGAAGTTCTTCTATTGGAGTCGGATTCGCCACCTGTCCTTAAGGCGTATGCATATGCCACCAAGGAATTATGCATCCTAATTCCTGCTGATGAAAATAATGAACATCAGTCTCTAAACGCGTAACAAGGAAGAAATCAGCTTCAAAAGAGAAGTCATTCTGGATCATCGTCCGGATCATCTTCTAGCACATCAAAAAATACGAAGAATCAGAATCTCTATGGAACTTCAAATTTAAGGATATATTAGGCCAGGGACGAAGTGGAAAGACACTTCTATATGAATTTCGCAAAAATACCGATCTGTGGAAATCCCGATCATATGTCTTGAAAGAAATGCAGAACGAAATCAAGATATATCAAATTCTTAATGACCTTCAGGAGAAATACATTCCAAATTTAGTATGCTACGATATGGATTGTGTTATGCCATTGGTACAATTTTACTATATTGATTACAACCTAGCTTTAACTCTTAATTTTAATAAAAAAAACTAAAATTTAAAATAAAATTTAAATTATAATAATTATAAAGGATTATAATAAAGTTTTTATATTTAAAATATTTGAAAAAATATTAATTAAAATAAGCTTGTTGGTACATCTTTAAGTAATTACAAGTATATAACAGAACGGCAAAAGGTTAATGGTATTCTTGCACTAAAGGCAATTGGAATATAGTGATCGATGATCGTAATAATGATGTTTAATTGACTTTTGGATGACAAGTTATTATGACGCAACGTAAATTGGAAAGCTTGTAATTGATTCTTAAAATGTCAATTTGTATAATTGTATATTTTATAGAATAGATACATATGGATTATAACCAACATCTGCACTTGCGATTTATTTTTTCTCAATAAAAAGAAAAAGCGATAACACTTGTTAAATTGCAAATAATACGCCTAATAAATTTGTTTTAATTTCGTATGCTTGTGAAGAGATTGAGTTTACATACTATATTCCCGATCAGAACGTAGATTCACACTGAAGCTTCGAATCCAAATAAATATGACTACCAAAGAGACTTTAAAGTGTATGAATAGTATTTCCGTTCAGGATTCCTCAGAAATTTATTAGCCGGAGCTTTTACTAAAATTAATTTGATTTATTTTCCAATACTGATATCTCGTATAATTATAACTGTTGACCATTTTTGTTTTCGATGATTGATAGTGTAGGTAGTTAGACGAGCGAAAAACTTCCTCAGGCATTAATATAGAACCATCGTGTAGTAAAACTATATATCACGGCTACTTATTTTATTTTTTGTATCAATAAACAACTCTTGGGAAGGGTCTTAAAAATCACGCAACATTTCCTCTGGCTTTCATATGTCAGTTTCGTATACATAATACTGATAATATATATAATGCTTATAATAGTGTTTACGGATGTTACTGTCGTATAGGTCGAAACTCCTTCTTAAGTTATAAGTTATATGACAAATGTAATGGAATAATGGGATTAAAATTGTAAAAAAAAGCTAATTTATTTATTTTTCAAAAATTTCTTGGAATGTTGAGATTAGGAAAGAATTTATTACAGAACTTTATCATCTCTCTCTTTACTCCACTCATGATCCCGTTACTTGAAGCGGTCTTAGTTCTTTTGTGACAAGTCTGGCAATGATGGTTAGAAGGAAATGGTACTGGCATGGTTAAGTTGCTATTTGCTGATTATTCTTTTTGAATATATGCATTAAGAAAAAGATAATGAAATTAAGAAAATAAATAAAAAAATGTGCTGGAGATCATGATCACTCCAGAGAACTTTTTCATCAACGATAATTTTGTGTGCCATTCTGTTACGCGTATTTTTCTTAAAATTTCAACTGGATTTGCTTTATTCGAGAAATAATAACTTTTCAAAAAAATTTTATATTCTCTATGTTATATATATAAATTATAAAATAGGAGTTAACAAAGTCAGTACTCACAGGAGAGCGTTGTTAATCATTGAAGGATTCAAACATTGAGAGGAATGTATCGTTAATCACTGAATTTTATTAAAAGGATTTTATATTATTTTTCGTTCAAACACCTGGAATGTTTATCCGCGTGAGGTTATGAGGTATGTTAATCGCTACGATTTACAAGGGGGATTAGCGCAATGACGACACGAAGTGTATATTAACGGACATTTTTTCATTTATAGGTTCCTGAAAACCAGCATGACTCTTTCCAGCATTTGTGACCTCTAGCTAGGGGGATGATACTGTTAAGGATAAAGATTTTACGAAGCATGCGAAATGCTCGAAATGCGATTGACATATTTTATGTCAACTTTTGAACCATTTACTGTATTACCCTGCGGACATGTATATCATAGGAAATGTATTGAGAAAAATTTTCTACTTACACACTAATGCAGGAGCTGGGGTGGTGTAATGTTCACTATTTCAATACCTTAATCAATTATTCAATCCATCTAATCTAATATTTTTTTATTATATAATAATCATTTAAGGCTGAGAAATTACGTCCAGAACAATATTCAGTTGAAGCCTCCACCCACATCGGAGATCCAGATGCTCGTTCCAGTCAAACTTGTAATAAACCGGAATATTGTTTGCATTCCAGTGTATGAGGTACGGACCGCGACTAGGTCTAGCAGTTTGATCATTCTCCGGCTTTACGTGAACTGAGGCTACCCCAGGAGCAGGATTTTGACGGTAGCAACGAATCATATCAGGGAGAGCTATTCCCACAAATTCAATTGTAGGATTAATTTGCTGAACGTCATTAAAATTATTTAAGGCATGCTGACGATCCGGGTCCTTGTTATAAAAAACCTGCGAGGATTCGAATCTAATAAGCAAAACCATTTACAATGTTTCCTCTGCAAGAATTTTATTACCTCTATCCATACGTTAGGCGGCGGACATGCATATAGAATTGGATGTCCCAGTTGATTAAACGTTGGCCTAATATACCATATTCCAACGTCGGGTCCATAACTATTGGGACCAACAATACATGTCGTAGTAGGTACTACAAACCAATTTGGATTATGTGCACGAGCAGAAATCACAAGATCAAAGTGAATAGTCGTTTTAAGTCCTCCATCAATCTAATATAAAATTTGTCAGATTTAATAATAAATGAAAAATGAAATTCGGAATAAACTTACTTTGATAAAAATATCTTTATTGATTATTTCAGCTTTGTATATACTGTGCACGGCTTCACGTATATGGTCATCAAATTTATCTAGTTCGATCTTGATAATGTTTTGATCTCGCGTTCGAGTTAATGTTTCATTAATTTTCGTAAAGATCTATCATTATCGTTAGCAATAGTTGCCATTTATACTCAAAATAGTTTTAAACATCACTTAGTACCTGATTGATTTTGGAGATCTGCCTGGTCTCCCTGGTCAAGACTTGAGTGGACATTTCTTCCGTTAGGTTCAAACACAATGAAAAGAATTTATCTCTGATTGTATCACCAAATACAAACTATAATTGGCTGATATGATCACATGATTTTAGTTCGAAATGAATCATTTATGTAATTTTTATTAGCAGTAGAAGTTATTATAATAATATATAATGTTATATGAAATATATGCTATGACTTAATATTAAAACTTTATTTATAAGACAACACAAAACAATAAAATAACAATAGAAGAAGGCCTTGAAAAGTTGGGATAGCGAAACAGGTTGTTCTTTCCTAAACATAAAACTATTATCCCGTTGGATATTGGTCTATAGCCAAAACCTAAATAAGATAAAGGTTTTGTCGATACTTAGTAAACAATTTGTTACCATATAACTAATATATATTGTACTGTAAATTTAATATAAATAATTGTGTAACAATAGGGTCAAATCGAATTTCGCTGGGTTCGAAAATATAATATTACTTCAAAGTTTTTATGAATTTTGATCAAAATGTAGACATTGATATCCCGTGCAATATAATAAAATTAATATGGTAATAAAGCAGTTTATTTCCAAATACTAAAAATATGTTACGCTATAATTTTTATCTATTACAAGTAAAATAAATGATTAAATCTTGCTAATAATAAAAATTTTCCAAGTTAGAAAAAAAGATTTGACATTAATGTAACAATTATTTGAATTTAGTAATTATTTAAATTCATTAGCAGAAGTTCTTCGATCCACCTATACAATGTTATTGAAGGTAACGATCACGCGTAATTTTCAAAGATAGAAGGTCTTCTTATCTGTTGTTTATTCAAGTGGGATGGATTTCTGAAAAGTGAAGGTATAAATGGACAGAAATGTTACATAAAACAATAAAGTTTGCAGGTGGCATATGAAATAAGGAGCTTCGTTTATCCTCAGTTAAGCTAACGAGTCCAACAGAGACTAAGAGACCACCCACGCCAACTTGGGACGTGATCTATGCGAGAACTTATTCCCACATGCCACACTTGCAATTTTACCAATCTACCATTTTGTATATATCTTGTTCTCATTTTTCGATTTCAATTTCTGTAGATAAAGCAATTAACTCAATTAATTTAGCTTAATTAACTTATTAAGAAAAAGTTATACTTACATCAAAATCAAATTTGCGGATTGAATAAATTTACTACTTGCACTTGTTTTACATCTGTTTTTATTGCTTTCCATAGTTTATTAAATATTCATCTTCGTCAAGCGCCAATCTTAAAATTTTCCGTTTATTTCCTTCGATTTCCTCGGTTTCATTGAGAATATCAAGAACAAAGTCTGTAATTTTTCCGAAATTCGTGTCATTAGATTTCCTTTCTCGTGATGAATGAGAGTGATCTTTATCGGCTTTACTGACTCATCGTTGAACTATTTCATTATCGATATTCTTTCACTTTTTTGCTGTCTCCACCTAATCAAATATAAAAAAGTTCAGTTTATGTAGTTAATGTTCTTGCACGAAATCATATCATTCTCTTAAGAAACTTACCAAGACAAATTACAAATAAAATGGAGACGTGCTGAAGATCATGATCGCTCCAGCTACCTTTTTCGTCAACTACAATTCCGTGCGCCATTCTGTTACGCACATTATTCTTAAAATTTCTCAATAATTCTTGCTTTATACTTAATGTTTCGAAAAATGTTTTACATTTTCTATTATAAAATTAATCATACATAATAAATCGGCGTCACTGAAGTCAGTACTCATAGGAGGGTGTTGTTTTTTACAGAAGGATTACAATATCAAGGGGAATGTGTCATTATCAACAAGAAATTTATAAAACGCCTTCTGATTAAGAAGTGGTTTAATATTTTACTTGTCACGTATCTTGATAAATTATTTGTCACAAATAAAAGCCTGATAATCGTGTGAACAAAAAATGGTATGTCATGTGATCCAGTGACGATCTGTACACATTTTTTTTAAAAAAAAAATTAGGAAAAGTTATTGGAATTAAGCTTACACGCGTACAAATTTATTTACTGTTAAAAATCACATTTTCTCTATTGTTAATGACAAATAAATTTCTCATTATTTGAGCTTTCTAGTATAAACATAACATCTAACGTGTTTCCAGGCCAACTGCATCATACTCTAGATCCATATACCAAAGAACCGGTATACTAAGAAGTAAGAACCAACGAGAGTGGATTATTTAGGTGTCCTGTCCGCTTATTCGTTAATTAACGGATACTCAGATTTTATAATAATTCAAATTTCATATTAATCATAATATTAATTTTTTATGAATAAAAACATAATTGATAGTTAATAACGCAGTAGGCAATTGATAACAAAAACATTTCTTCGAATACACAATTTGTGGCGCAAGACCCGGTGATCGTCCAGACAAAAGTATCCAGCTATCCCTTTTTTTGTGATAATCTTTTGACCATCAGTTATATTAACGAATATCCTTTTTTATGGCTCGATTGGCTCGTCATCAAAAACATTGTCTTTGTTAATTAAAAAATGGTTTTGTTAAAATTTGTTAAAAATAATAACAAATATAAAAATTTTGTTGGTATTATGTTAATAAAATATGTGTTTTTGTTTATATATAACTTCGCAAAAAAACTGCTAAATTATAAATACTCCCCTTTTTTGAGCGCATTTTTCATCAAAAAAAAAGAATCATAAATATTTTTTCTCTCTTCTTTTTATAATAATAATAATAATAAAAATATAATATATCATCTTTAAATTCTTCATAAAAATGGAAACAAAAATGCAAAATTCCATCAGATACTCAACTATTTCAACCACTATGGTAATTTCCGAAATGTTGAAGTTGGTAAATTGATTGGTCGTAGAGGACGTAACATAAAACCCATTGAAAAAGGGACCGGTACATGTATTTACATTAATACAGAAGTAAATCCTCGACAAATTGAAATTAAAATAAATAAAGGTTATAAATATAAAGATGAAAATATTTCGCTTTGGGAGTGGATCAATAAAGCGATATGTCAAATTGACAAGTTACTAGAAGATATTGAAATAAGAAATCGTAAAAAAGATATAGAAAAAGAGAAAAAAAATAGTAGAATTTCAGATAATGGTAATCATCAACATGCAACACCAAGAAACCATAAAGATAACGATCTGAAAGAAAAAAGAAAAAGGTTTAAACGAAGAATGCCGCATACGACCAAAGCACGACAAGTAAGATACAAAAATATATGAATTTGTTAATATTTTATTTGATAATTTTTTTTAATCTAAAATATTTTTAATATTTTTAAATATTTAGTCATAAAATAAGGAAAACATTAAGAGAAATGTTCCTGTAAATCAGACGAATTACAATCGATCTTATTAATCCATTTTTTTCTTTTTTCATTTAATTATATTTTTTCATTATTTTACTATCGATTATGCATTTTTTTTTTAAAAAAAAATAGTTTATAGAAAAAGAATAAAATTTATTACTATTACAGTATATATATACAACAAATTTTTTAATAAAGAATTCATGAAACGTGCGATACAAAATATACATGTCTTTTTCTAAAATTACCAGAGATTTCCCCAATCTCAATTGGAACATTTTCTTTACAGCGGTCAACTATGTAAATCAAAAGTAATATTTTACATAGTTAATATTTTTAGAATTTAAATTTGATAAACGAAATTTTCATAAATTATTATAAAAAATGGCTCATTTTTTTTTAGATGCACAGATCGAACAACTTTAGTTTCTCAAATTTACAAAGCCTTTTTTTACATTTACTAGTAAGTTATTTTGCAATTTGAACTTTAAGTAGTTTTTCTACCTTTAAGGTCTGATTTTTTTTTTAGAAAATGTAAGAAATAGCCTTGTAACTTTGTTAATAAAGTCTATCCTTAATCTTTATAGTTAGTTTAGCTGAACTTTTTACATTGATAACTCAATTACATAATAAAGATGTGCTGTTTTATTATAAATGATTCGCAAATATAAATTTTATGTTACTAGCTACTATAATATAATCAATAATACATGTGGAAATTTAATACTAAAACAATTTTCTAACAAGTGATATGGTGATTTCGCATATATTACTTTGCAGACTAATATTTTTTTCATTCGAGAGTCATGCTATTCTGTTAGATCCATCGAATTTTCTTTATTTTCGCATCTTTGTCTAGAAATAAAAATTCTTACATTAGAATGCATTTGCTGCCGACTTATTGTGTAAAGATACGCACCTTAGAGTTTCCATTAAATTTTTAATGACCGGTCCAAAAACGTGCTCCATATTACGATCGTCCACAATAATCACGAGATCACCATATTCATTGATTCGAAACAATTTTAATCTTTTACTCCGCCTACGAGGAAGTTCCACTGAAATATAAATATGTTTCCGATTCTTCGTTGAATTTTTGATTGCCTCATGATTCTTTTTATCAGATACCCGGTAATTCTTGGTATTTTCGGTGTAGTTCAAATCGTAATCTACACCATCAAAGTCTAAATCTTGTCCATACTCTTCCTCTTCTAAGTCACCCTCTCCTAAGTCATCCTCTTCTAAGTCATCGTCTTCTAAGTCATCCTCTTCATTAGCTGCGGGAATTACCAATTTCTATTTGGAGGCGTGATTGTTTTTATAAGAAGAAAATTCCATGGGTTCGGAATTTTTTCTCTTTCTCGGGATTTCCATATACTGAAAATTAAAACAAGACTTGGCTAACTGCTTTTCGACCTTATTTCGCTCAATAGGTTATATATTTTGCTCATCATCCACAAGAGAGACCACCAAGTCTGATCCTGAACAGGGTTCCAGCTGGATTGCACGACGACAATAAGTTTCATCACTAACATATCTGGCTAGAGGAACTGCATTTGATAGATTTGAAATTGTTACGAATTTCATCGTTGAAGTGATCCATGAAGGAAGGTCAAATTGTTGACCGTTTTTCCATTTGTTAAGTTCATCTCGTACATTACACCCACGTTTCTGGATAATTGCCGTAATAAAGACCGCATCAAATTCATTGCCGATTGATGAATTATTATTGAGCAGGATAATGTTATCAATAAAGACGTCTACCAAAGATTTCCCTCTTCTTTGAAAAAAAGCTTCGATGCCAGGGATGAGGTAAGATTCAAATGATGGGTTTATCGTGATCTCTTCAGAGAAAGATTCATCATGTCTAGGAACGATGCATTCTGGTGACTCACAAGGAATGATACTGTTTTATGGCATGCCTGAACTTTTGATTGTAAAAAACACGAAACCTAAGAACATCCATAATCGCTTTTTCTGGATATAAATTATCTGCACCCACATAGTTACATGCGTCTTCCAAATAATCTGCTATATCAGTGCTCATCTTTTCAAACCACAAACGAATAAGTACTCGCATCTCTTGATCTTTCGTTCTATTCGTTGGTTTCCGATTATGATGCACAGTTTCGAGGTCGTCCTCTGAGGAAATATCCAAAGATGTCGCGAGTTTTAGGTGTAACATCTGTCAGGTCGATTACAGCTTCGAGATTCCGCAGGACATCATCATGTGAAAGAAAGAGAAGCTTTAGCACAATATGAGCATGCAAACTTTGGGGTTTTCCCATACTAGCGACAAGAGGAATTCCTGTTGCCATATGCAAGTAAGTGCCGGCAATAAGGCAGGTAACGGGACGGTGCGTAAGATGTTCAACGTAAGCCTGCAAGAGACTCCACTTTTTATTCGATTTTGAACTCCCATTGTATTTTCCATATCCGGTTCTACAAAGGACTTGCGCTTCATCAAGTATTAAGATTAGAGATTTCACATGAAGACATTCGACGATATAACGAAATACGGAAATATAATTTACATTACGCAAGATATCTTTGATTGCTCCGATATAATTTATATCAATTTGAAGCTGTTCAAATAGCCATTCCTTTGGCGTTGAAATTCTTTCCTGAACAAGCATCTTGATAAGTAAAAGTCCGCGCGCGATTATCGCTAGGTCCAGCATGTTAAATACTTCAATCTGTTCACTAGTTTGGTACTCACCGTACCTTGGTGGTTTAGCTCTGATACTTTCAAGCTCCGGACCCATAAAATCACCATATTGTCCCCCACTAGTAGAAAAATCAACATATATTGACCAATGTTGTATAGAGATACCAAATGCTGTTGATGTTTTTCCACCTCCTGAAACCCCAGTAAGAACGGTTATGTCTTTCGGGTAACTCGTATCATCGTAAAAGGGATTATACTTCATTCCAGATTCCGATTCGTGTGGAGGGAGACACAGATCTACCTCTTGAGAAGCATTTTTTGTTATGGTGCCAGGCAAATTTATTTTGAAAAAAGAGGGTTTCATCTTCAGTTTAGCGCACGGGTCATTTTGTGAACTTGAAGAGTAACTTTCCACTTCCTCAACTTCCTCAACGTTCCAAATCAAGGAGAGCACGTCAACAATCCCGTCAACTGAATTAGGGTTTATGTGTGAGAAGGCCTTTAAAACTAAAAAAAAACAAGAGTATACGTGAGCGAAAAGTCATTTAAAAGAGCCAAACTTCTCGTGTAACGAACCTTTATTTTTAACTTCAATCTTAACTTCGTTGTGCATCGACGAAGCTAATGCAGTGAAATAAAAAGAAGCAAAACATTTAAATCCGCTTGTCGCAGACTTAAGCCTACAAAAAAAAGCTATCTTTGTTTGAGAGATAAACCATTGAGAGACATTTACCACTGGTGACGGGCGGAGGCGGTTGAACGATGACGTGGATGTTTTTTGCAGTGGGATTTGTGCCAAAATGCTCTTCAATAGTATCGAAAACATCTTTCAACTCCACAGCTCCAAATTTTTGTGCAATGTTAGTTTCTGCATTAATTTCCCGCGCCTTGATTAAAGGAATATTGACTTTCCATAATCTAAGTTGGTTTGCATCAAGAGTTTTAAACACGTTCTCCTTGTAGGCTTTGATGGTATCTCTGAGTTGTGAAATGGTTTTGGTCCTGTCAATTTCGATGATAAAAGCCTGATCTTCACCCACAACGAAACAGCCTAACATGATGTCGGTGTATCTGCAAACGCGAAAACGTGTTAAAAACAAGGGTCAAAAAATTCATTCCTTCAGTAAAATATCAAATAAAGACCGTTCTGTATATTTTGTATACTTTTCGGGCGAGAAAATTTCCTCAATTTCAGTTCGTACTGATGAACCGCTTCATTGATTCATATCGTATTTATATTATATTGATTATATTGGCAAAAGCCAGTTGATATATGATTATGAAGTATAACGAAATGTTCTAGATACTCATGGTATAATGATTATGATCTATGATCTTTGTGAAACTTAGGTGGGTTCAGTTATCGCTGAATCGGTTTTCTTCGTTAATTATGTAATTACGACGAAGGTTCACTATAAGTGACCCTGTTCGAAAAATTTTATCAGCGCCAAAATGTTTGGTGAAGCACAGAAATATAAATTCTACGTTATGGATGGAATTTTCGTGCGCAAACTTGATAATAACTAATGATGAATTTGGAAGCGTCACAGGCAGAAAGAAGTTAAAGGAGGAATTCGTGGGACACCAAATTTGTCTCGCGGGAAAAGGTTTGTAGTACCAAATTCATGCGAAGGCTAGTTTAGGGGCAAATGGGTTATTTTGGAATTATTTCTATGAAGGGGTTTATATGAAGCTGACCGGAATTTAAAGATTATCATTATTTAATCTAATGGACAACTTCAAAATGGGACAAATTCCCAGTCCTGACCCTCATTTTGCGCTTTAAACTTTATAGTGAACTAAGGTCGTTTAAAAAAAAACGTTATACAGAATTAAAATATTGGAGATTGTATTCGAAAAATCAGGCTATTTATAAAAAAGAATTTGGTGTAACATGGGACAAAATGGCGAGATGGACCTTACTATTACGAAACGCAAACAGTATAAATTCTCGGTGAGCTTTACTAAGGTTAATGTTTTGAACTGTTGATTTGTTTTCCGACATTGCATATCTCGTATAACTGACGAACGTTTTATTTTACCCATAACAGATATCTAAAAAGTATTGATGAACGCAAATAATTATTGTTAATTGTAACCTTAAATTGTAACGTAAATATGACGAATAGTCGTTAAGAAAATCAAAGCGTGATATCATCGTTGAAAAAAAAATGTAAAATAAATAAACAAATAAAAACGATTCTCTATTTTGAGTACATATAACAATAATTTAATTAATTTAATTCCCCCAAAAAAATCTACACAATGATTATTATGATTTAATCTGACAATTTAAATTGGAACATCATGATTCTTCAAAAATCTTGGTTTAATTTAATGAATATAACAATTTAAAGCTTGGCACCACGAGGTTGTGCAGCTCTAAGAGATTGTCTAATACCAAGATCAAGCATAATTTCTTCTGAACCACCAGGAATAGCGTAAGCGCGTACTTCACGATATAAACGTTCAACCTTTTCAGCTTGACTGTAATATTATATAAGAAATTTGACGATCAAATTAGAATTAAAAATGAAAAGTAATTCCCTAAAAAAAAACGAGTGATATTGATGACTTACCCTCCACGTGAATAAGCCAAACCACCAAATATTTGTGTAGCTTCACGAGCACAATATTCAAAAGTTTGCGTTGATTGTGCTTTTAGTAAAGCAATTGGTCCACCAAGTAATGTCATAGCTTCGTTTGCAGGCAATTTAGTTGTTTGATAAATTAATGACTCCATCCATGCATGGGTTGCCTCAATTTTACGCGCCATATGGGCAAGTTTATTACGAATAACATCGTGTTCAACAAGTTTTTTACCAAATGTCTTACGTTTATGAGCATATTTCATGGCTTCTTCATAACAAACACGAGCGAAACGGTTCGCTTGAATTGCGAGACTCATACGTTCATGATTGAAATTATGCATAATACACTAAAGAAAATTGAATAAATGAATGAAAAATATATACTACATAAATCATATTAAAAAATAAACTTTTTCAGCTATTTACCTTGAAACCTCCATTCTCTTTACCGATAAGATTGGATCTTGGCACTTTTACATCTTCAAAAGTGATGTAAGTAGTACCTGAAGCCCATACACCAGAACATAACATTTGACGGGTCTTTACACCAGGCATATCTTTCTCAATCAGTAAAAGGGAAACACCACCCATACCAGGACCTCCAGTACGAACGGCGACAGTAAAATAGTCGGAAAAAATACCATTAGTAATCCATTTCTTTTCACCATTAACAATATAATATTGTCCATCATCAGAAAGTTTGGCTTCTGTTTTAAGATTTGCAACATCAGATCCAGCATATGGTTCTGTGATAGCAAGACAAATATTTTTTGTTCCATTAAGACATCCTGGAGCAATTCTTCTCTGTAATTCCTCTGAACCAAATTTGAGAATTGGTGGAAGCCCAATGGTCAAACCTTGTATAAATTAAAAAAAAAAATTTCTTCTTAACAATTTTATTGTTTAATATGAATAATGAATTGTAAAGAACGTATAATAAACATTTACCACCACATAAACCCCATAAGACCCCACCAGATCCGCAACGACCTAATTCATCACATATGACAAATTCGTGAAAATTATCATATTCTTCAACACTTACTCCGGCAATAGGTTTAATATCAGTATGTCTAATTAAATGAAATGAAAATTATTAATGTATTGCCCGAATTTAATGAATTACAAAACACGTGATACGCAAGACATGTTGATCCAACAATTCCCCATTATATGGATATACCCACTTTACAGGCCATGGAGCACCACAAACACCCGGTAAGATACCGGCTTTACCAGCTTTTATAAAAAGTTCTTGTGGAATCCTTTTAGCTTCGTCCCATTCATAAGCATAAGGCATAATTTCTGTCTCAACAAATTTACGTACAGCAGCTCTTACACGACGATGAGAATCATTATAATATGGAGAGTAGAAGTCTTGATACCAATAAGGATCGCCAAAAGGTACGAGGTCACCAAATGGACCTTCACCTGAGGAAGCTTCATTTGAAACTTCCTCTTGAGCAGAACCAACTTCACCAATTTGTAATTGAGTATGTTTTTCTAAAACACTCAAATTATGAAAATTATCAAATTGTTTAGTTGCATCTGTACCAGCAACCTTTAATAAAACTTTTTTTCCACCGGGGTGTTCATTTAAAAAGTTTGTTACATCAAATACTTTGTCATGAACAATGATCCAAATAGAACCTTCAGTATTGTGTTGAGCAACTTCGTCTGCAGTTATACGTTTAGACATGTTGGTAGTTGTTTTAAAAAAATCGTTTAATTCAGTTTAATTCAAAATCATGAAATGTTGCTTATCAATTATTTTTAAAAAATTGATGATCTCTAAAAAGATGATTGGTTGGTCTAGACCGTTCTGAAAATCAGATTGTAATATCATTGTGCGTTAAGTATCACAATCAATAAGCTCGAGAAATGCCTTTTTAATAGTTTGACATATAAAATTTTAATCAATGGATTTTTTTTCATATTTGTATTAAAATTTTCTAATATTTATTTTAAAATTTCTCGCATTAAAAAGTAAAATAATAATTTTTCTATCATATTGAAAAAAAAAAAATCTTTGTAGTTGAGAATTCAATTTCGTTATATTAATAGATCATCAAGAAAGATTCATTAAACACTATTTTAGGATTTATTAAAACGCGAGAAAACGGGACGATAAGCATAAATATTCCATTGATAGGAATTTAAATATTTCATCTAAACTGAAACTTTCTTTTTTTTTGGCCAATCAGATTATTCATCAGCCAAAATTATATTGAACAAATATGGTCAAACGTGAATATTCACACGACCCCGCCCGATCAAACAATTTTTCGAAATTTTTAATTGTCCTTATTAGAAATTTTACATTAGATACCGTAGTTCAATGATTTTGTTGATTGATCATTACACTCGATATTTTTTGCCAATCATATTATTCAAATAAACCAGTACTCGAGAACCGAGAACGTCCTTATTGACTTATTCTCTCACTTAATAGATTTGTAACACCAACAATAACTGATTTACAGGTCATTGTTCACGTCTAAAATGGAAGTCTTGGCTTAAAATGAAATATGGATGATCAAACAATCTCTTTCAATCAAGATAATTTTAAAAAAGATAATTTAGAAAAACATAACTTCCGACTTTCGCGCTATAAGATTGTAAGAGATCAACCATTTCAACATATTAATTATAATTTCATTGAGGGAAATGCTTGAGAACGTTCCTAAATCAAATTAATATTTGATTGTTTTAAAATATAAATAATGCAATATGACACATTTTCATGTATGATCTGCAAGATAAGATTAAAAAATTCGTCAATAAACAAAAAAGTAACACAATCCACTCTAAAAAGGAAAATAATTTTTATTGCGATATTAATAACAAGTATTATTAGATTTTTAATTAATTTTAGAGTATTCTTTGTTTTTTCATTGTCGAGTTCCTTAGCTAAAAATAAATTATACATATAAAGTTGAGCATCTATTTTAAATACATAATAATAATTTAATTCTACATAAATTATTTAACAATTAAATATGATTGATTATTCGTTATTAATTCAAAAACATTAATTTAATAATCTAAAGTTTGGCACCATGGGATTTTGCAACTTTAAGAGATTGTCTAATACCAAGATCAAGCATAATCTCTTCTGAACCACCAGGAATAGCATAAGCGCGTACTTCACGATATAAACGTTCAACCTTTTCACCTTGACTGTAGTATTTATTATACAAGAATTTTGATCAAATTAGAGTCAAATTAATATTAAAAAAAAAAGTACGTTGATGACTTACCCTCCACGTGTATAAGCCAAACCACCAAAGATTTGAGCAGCTTCACGAGCACAATATTCTAAGGTTTGCGTTGTTTGTGCTTTTAATAAAGCAATTGGTCCACCAAGTCTTGCCATAGCTTCAGTTTCAGACATACGGCATGTTTGATAAATTAATGACTCCATCCATGCATGTGTTGCCTCAATTTGACGTGCCATATGGGCAAGTTTGTTACGAATAACATCGTGTTCAACAAGTTTTTTACCAAATGTCTTACGTTTATTAGCATATTTCATGGCTTCCTCATAACAAACACGAGCGAGACGGTTCGCTTGAACTGCAATACCCATACGTTCATGATTGAAATTATGCATAATACACTAAAAGAAAAATTAAATAAATGAATAAATAAATATGTTATATACTGATCATATTAAAAATTAATNTTTTTTCAACTATTTACCTTGAAACCTCCATTCTCTTTACCGATAAGATTAGACTTTGGCACTTTTACATCTTCAAATGTGATGTAAGAAGTACCTGAAGCCCATACACCAGAACATAACATTTGACGGGTCTTTACACCAGGCATATCTCTCTCAATCAGTAAAAGGGAAACACCACCCATACCAGGACCTCCAGTACGAACGGCGACAGTAAAATAGTCGGAAAAAACACCATTAGTAATCCATTTCTTTTCACCATTAACAATATAATATTGTCCATCATCAGAAAGTTTGGCTTCTGTTTTAAGATTTGCAACATCAGACCCAGCATATGGTTCTGTGATAGCAAGACAAATATTTTTGGTTCCATTAAGACATCCTGGAGCAACTCTTCTCTTTAATTCCTCTGAACCAAATTTAAGAATTGGTGGAAGCCCAATGGTCAAACCTTGTATAAATTAAAAAAAAAAAATCCTTTTTCTTATTAACAATTTTATTGTAAAATATGAATAATGAATAATAAAGAACGTATAATAAACATTTACCACCAAATAAACCCCACAATGTCCCACCAGCTCCGCAACGACTTAATTCATCACATATGATAAATTCGTGAAAATTATCATATTCTTCGATACTTACTCCGGCAATAGGTTTAACATCAGTATATCTAATTAAATGAAATGATATAATTAATGTATTGACCGAATTTAATGATGTATAAAACACGTGATACAAGAGACGTGTTGATCTGACAATTCCCCATTATATGGATATACCCACTTTTCAGGCCATGGAGTACCACAAATACCCGCTAAGATACCGGCTTTACCAGTTTTTATAAAAAGTTCTTTTGGAATCTTTTTAGCTTCATCCCATTCAAAAGTATAAGGCATAATTTCTGTCTCAACAAATTTACGTACAGCAGCTCTTACACGACGATGAGAATCATTATAATATGGAGAGTAGAAGTCTTGATACCAATAAGGATCACCAAAAGGTACAAGGTCACCAAATGGACCTTCACCTGAAGCAGCTTCATTTGAAACTTCCTCTTGAGAAGAGCCAACTTCACCAATTTGTAATTGAGCATATTTTTCCAAAATACCCAAATTATGAAAATTATCAAATTGTTTAGTTGCATCTGTACCAGCAACCTTTAATAAAACATTTTTTCCACCGGGGTGTTCATTTAAAAAGTTTGTTACATCAAATACTTTGTCGTGAACAATAATCCAGATGGAATTTTCAGTATTATGTTGCCCAACTTCGTCGGCAGTTATACGTTTAGACATGGTAGTTGTTTAAAAAAGTTCCGAAAAATTGATGATCTCTAGAAAGATGATTGGTTGGTCTGAATCAGATTATTATTGTGTGTGGGAGATCAATAAGTTCGAGAATTCCTTTTTGATAGTTTTGACATAAAATTTTAAGCAACTTGAGTAAAAGTTAAAAGCAATACATATTTGTATTAAATTCTCCAATATTTATTTATAATTTTTCTTGTTGAGAATTCATTTTTGTTATACTAATTGATAATTGTCACCAAGAAAAGGTTCATTTCGGATTTATTAAATATTCCATTGATAGGAATGATTTTTTTTTTTTGACCAATCAGATCACTCATTAGCCATTAATTAATATATTAAATAAGGTCATCATCACATGGTCATTGTAAATATTCACACGACCCGTCCGATCAAATAATTTTTGAGGAAATTTTATTTGTCATATTTTGTCATCATTAAAATACCGCAGAAAATTTTAGCCCATTTTACCGGTGATGGTCTATAGTTTGTTGACTGATCATTACACTCGATATTTTTAGCCAATCAGATTATTCAATAAACCAAACGTCCTTATTCATGTTTACTTCTCTCACTATATAATGGATTTGGCATATATTGTGACACCAACAGGTAATTGTTCACGTCTAAATAGGAAGTCTTGGAAAATGTGACATATTACGTTATTTTTTATATTTAACAATCAATTTAATGGAAATATGAATTAATTGATTTAGGGACATACTCAAGCACTTCCCTCAATGAAATTTGGTTAATAATTAAGATGTTGAAATGGTTGATCTCTATCGGAAGTTATAAATTATCTTGTTTAAATTATTTTGTTTGGAAGAGATCAAAGGGATGGTTTGATTTACCCATACCATATTTCATTATATTAATAATGATCTGCAGGATAAAAATTAAAAATTTAGGTCGATAAACAATAAGGTAACACAACCCATTCTAAAAAGGAAATAATTTATTATTCTTAATTTGTGATATATTATAATAACAAGTATTATTAGATCTTTGAATAATTTTTAGCGTATTCTTTGGTTTTTCATTGCTAAATTCATGATTGTTTCTTAACTAAAAAAAAAAAATATACATATAAAAGGTTGAGCCTCTATTTAAATACATAATAATAATTTAATTCTACATAAATTATTTAACAATTAAAAATTGGCTCGTTATAATTGATTATTCGTTATTAATTCAAAAACATAAATTTAATAATCTAAAGTTTAGCACCATAGAATTGTGCAACTTTAAGAGATTGTCTAATACCAAGATCAAGCATAATCTCCTCTGAACCACCAGGAATAGCATAAGCGCGTACTTCACGATATAAACGTTCAACTTTTTCACCTTGACTATAATATTATATAAGAAATTTTGATCAAATTAGAGTCAAATTAATGTTAAAAAAAAAAGCAACGTTGATGACTTACCCTCCACGTGAATAAGCCAAACCACCAAAGATTTGTGCAGCTTCACGAGCACAATATTCAAAGGTTTGCGTTGATTGTGCTTTTAATAAAGCAATTGGACCACCAAGTCTTGTCATAGCTTCAGTTCCAGACATGTGATTTGTTTGATAAATTAATGACTCCATCCATGCATGTGTAGCTTCAATTTGACGTGCCATATGGGCAAGTTTGTTACGAATAACATCGTGTTCAACAAGTTTTTTACCAAATGTCTTACGTTTATGAGCATATTTCATGGCTTCTTCATAACAAACACGAGCGAAACGGGTTGCTTGAATTACAATTCCCATACGTTCATGATTGAAATTATGCATAATACACTAAAAAGAAATTAAATAAATGAATAAATAAATATGTTATATAATGATCATATTAAAAATTAATTTTTTTCAACTATTTACCTTGAAACCTCCATTCTCTTTACCGATAAGATTAGATTTTGGCACTTTTACATCTTCAAATGTGATGTAAGAAGTACCTGAAGCCCATACACCAGAACATAACATTTGACGAGTCTTTACACCAGGCATATCTCTCTCAATCAGTAAAAGGGAAACACCACCCATACCAGGACCTCCAGTACGAACGGCGACAGTAAAATAGTCGGAAAAAACACCATTAGTAATCCATTTCTTTTCACCATTAACAATATAATATTGTCCATCATCAGAAAGTTTGGCTTCTGTTTTAAGATTTGCAACATCAGACCCAGCATATGGTTCTGTGATAGCAAGACAAATATTTTTGGTTCCATTAAGACATCCTGGAGCAACTCTTCTCTTTAATTCCTCTGAACCAAATTTAAGAATTGGTGGAAGCCCAATGGTCAAACCTTGTATAAATTAAAAAAAAAAAATCCTTTTTCTTATTAACAATTTTATTGTAAAATATGAATAATGAATAATAAAGAACGTATAATAAACATTTACCACCAAATAAACCCCACAATGTCCCACCAGCTCCGCAACGACTTAATTCATCACATATGATAAATTCGTGAAAATTATCATATTCTTCGATACTTACTCCGGCAATAGGTTTAACATCAGTATATCTAATTAAATGAAATGATATAATTAATGTATTGACCGAATTTAATGATGTATAAAACACGTGATACAAGAGACGTGTTGATCTGACAATTCCCCATTATATGGATATACCCACTTTTCAGGCCATGGAGTACCACAAATACCCGCTAAGATACCGGCTTTACCAGTTTTTATAAAAAGTTCTTTTGGAATCTTTTTAGCTTCATCCCATTCAAAAGTATAAGGCATAATTTCTGTCTCAACAAATTTACGTACAGCAGCTCTTACACGACGATGAGAATCATTATAATATGGAGAGTAGAAGTCTTGATACCAATAAGGATCACCAAAAGGTACAAGGTCACCAAATGGACCTTCACCTGAAGCAGCTTCATTTGAAACTTCCTCTTGAGAAGAGCCAACTTCACCAATTTGTAATTGAGCATATTTTTCCAAAATACCCAAATTATGAAAATTATCAAATTGTTTAGTTGCATCTGTACCAGCAACCTTTAATAAAACTTTTTTTCCACCGGGGTGTTCATTTAAAAAGTTTGTTACATCGAATACTTTGTCATGAACAATGATCCAAATGGAACCTTCAGTATTATGTTGAGCAACTTCGTCGGCAGTTATACGTTTAGACATGGTGGTAGTTATTTTAAAAGTCGTTTAAGAAGTACCGCGCAGAGAATATTCAAAGTTTGATGCTTATATTTTTTTTTAAAAAAAAAAAAAATTTTGATGGATTAACATGTTCTCGTGATGCGAATTACTGATTTCCCTGACTCAGCAACATTTCACGAGATGACGAAAATATTATCCAAAATTCTAAAAAAGGTAAGAATGAAACATGACTACAACGTAAGTATATCGAAAAAAAAGATATGCACCGATGAATTTTTTATTGATCTTTTAGTGATACAAGAATCAAAAGATCTTATTAATACGGAATAAATACGAATTTTTCAAATAATATGCCTTTTTTTCACAATTTGAACATTGTTTTTAAATGAAATTAGATTTTACGAAAGAATTTTACAACATCTAGATGAAATTAAATGAAAAAATAAATTATTAAATTATAATTACTAACAAATAATACACAAATTCTGATTTATTATTTATATTGGCCAATCCGCCAATGGCCAATGGTAATCAATCTGCTGTGGCATTAGCCGCAACTATTTTCAAACCAATTATAAAATCAAATAATTAATACATTTTTGGCACACATTTTGGCGGAAAATGTAAATTTGTAAACAAAATTTAAATTTCTCATTGCCATGATACTTTTTTTACCAATCATGAAGTATGAACTTTATTTAATTAAAACAAATATAGAAATTTATCAATTTTAACATATAATTAATTTTCAATCATATGAATGAACTATAATATATGAATGAATGAACTATAATATCAATATACAATATCATGGAAAAAAATTATGACGCGTTTTTTTTTTAATGAAGTTGAAGAAGAATGAAGAAGGAATGTGCAAATATTATACAAATGCGAATGCAAAAATGTATATCATATAATCTTTATGTAAAATATATATATATATACGGTATATGTATATTATTAATCTATGTATAAATATTTTAAAAAAAATACGCGTCATTACTCTTTAATATTTTTTAAACGTAAAACAGTATTAACAGTTTCTTTTAACATAGCTAAACTTCTTTCATCACCTAAGAGAGCGGTATGAAAAGCATTCATACAATAAGCGAAACCAATTTTTAATTCTACATTCCATAAAAATAAACTACCACCTGAACCACCCCAACCTAAAAATTCATAATCATCAATACCCTTGAGACGGAAAATACCAATTCCACCCTTAGACATGGTAATATCTTCTAATATAGAAATATCAGATTCTGATGAATCCTCTTCAAGAAATTTTTTCAAAGTATCATTATTTAAAAGTATAGGTTCAACACCTTCATTTTCAGGAAGAGGTTTACCATTATTCGCCATTATAGCAGCTAATTTTGCCATACTACGTGAATTTGTTATACCACTATAAGAAGGACCTTCAACTTTAAGCATATCTATTGCATTCCAATCTTTTGGTTGTGCTTGATTAGGACATGAAGATACCAAAGTTTTATAAGTTGGAGTATTTGGATCAAACATTTTATGGAACATATGATGTACAGGATTCATAATTAACCATTTAGGTAAAAATAATTTGGGTAAAAGTCTTGGTATAGGATAAGAATAAATTTGAGCTACTCTTGAATTATAAATATCTTCAGGTGTAGAATAATAAAATTCAATATCATAAGTTGGCATAATTTCCTCTTGTACGATTTGTCCAATAGTACGATGATTTGAATCTACACGACGTATAATTTCATTTAAATAATAACCTCTTGTACATGCATGATAAGATCTTTTAGGAACACCACCAAAATTATGAGGTTGAGATTCAAGAATTTTCGAGAAAGAATCCAAATCCGAAAGGTCATCTATTTTTGTTAAATAATTATCAAACCAACCAACACCAGCACTATGAGTCATTAAATGACTTAAAGTAACATTTTCTTTATTTCCTTGAGCAAATTCTGGCCAATAAGTAGAAATTTTTTCATCATAATCAAGAATTCCTTTTTCAACAAATTTAGCAACTACTAAACTGGTTAATACTTTAGTACTACTAAATACTAATTGTAAAGTATCTTTATCATATAATTTACCAGTATTCCAATCTGCAATTCCACCAGATAAATCTGCTATAATCTTATCATTATAATAAATTGTAACGCTTGCTCCAATTTCTGATCCACTTTCAATATTTTTTTTAAAAATATTTTTTATCTCTGAAAATTCAGGATCAACAAATCCTGTGAGCGTATCACTTGCTTTTGGACAATTTAAACTGAATAACTGACATGATAAGGGATAGAATGGTCCCGAATATATATATTGATACATTAAAAAAATGATTAATGGAGGAATAAATAATTGTAATAATAATGAACGTGAAGGGGATTGAAAGGATTTATTACCCATTTTTTAATCTTAAATTTGTTTTTCTTTTAAGGAAAGGAAAGAAAAGGAAAGAAAAGGGAGGATGAGGGAAGATGAGGGGAAAAAAGGATGAATTGAATTTTTAACGTCTCTTTTTTTTTTGGTTCTTTTATAAATAATATTTACGAAAGAAGATCTATTTACGTGAGTACAAAAAAATTTACAAAATTTCGGATAAATGTTTACTCACAAATTAGAAAAAATGCTTATGTAAAATAAATGGTAAATAAAAATAAAAATTAAAATAAAAAGTATTAAAAAAATGATAATCCAGATTATACAATTTTTTAAACACCTTTTTAACACTTTTTATGTTAATATAAAAAAATAAAGAAATATTTATTTTTTAGAAAAGGGGTTGGAGGAAAGGGAAATTTTACTTATATATATTTTATTATTTTTTTTTTTTTTATTATTATTAAATTAAGGAATTTTTTTTTTTCAGGTTATTATCATTGATAACGAACCAATTACTTTTATTTTTGCTTACAAAATTTGAAATTATATATTTTCTTTGTTTCAAATTTTTAAGAGAGCTGATTGGACGAAATAATGAAGACAAAGACGAACAAAGAAGTTTAATAAAAGGACAAAATTATCTTCCGAACTAATTTATTAATAATAATGACTTTGGAAAATTTCTTTTTCTTTGTCGAAAGAAAAAAAAAAAATAATTCTACTTTCCGTCATTTAAATAGAAAAAGTTGAATAATTGAAGTTGTTTATTTTGGCAATTTTTGAATCCCCTGTAATATTATAATGAGTTAACAAAAAAAAATGAGGTCTTTAATACTTATTATGTATATATTAAGACTTGTTATGTACATGTACTACCATTTTCGAATATACTGTACTTATGTTGGGGGTTGTTTTATTTTTTAAGGTATTGTTTATATATTATAATTTCATTATTATAATTATTGTTATTTTGTTATACCTAATTAATTATTATGAACCATGTTTCGTAATGTTTCAAAAAGAACAATCGATATGAGGAAATTTGACATAAGATACATTATTATGTACGTTTAATTTAATTTTGATCCGCGGATTTTTCCGAGAATCTTCAACAAAGAGTCATAAATGAATTTCTAAAAAATGTCAGACATTTTTATTATTAGGAAATGATCTCTTAAAGTAGTATCACGACATTAACAAAAAATTATTATTGATGCGATATTTTGTTAATTCTTTTTTTTTAAAGAAATAAATACTTCTAACTTTAATTAAATAACGATAATTCCGGAAATTTGGTAATTGAAAATTTCGCGGAACCCGAACCTTCGTCTCAATTGATAGTATCTTCTTTTTTTGGACTACAGGAGGAAATCATTTTAACCAATAAAAATTTACGATCATTGGTTCTAATTATAGTAAATAAATTTTAATTTTCTGTAACTAACTGTCAATTTTCTATATTTAACTGACAATTAATTTGAATATTCGAAAAGAAGGAAACAAGAAAAATTTTTCATCCTAAATTAGGCAATGAATTATGAATATGAAACAATGGAGCCTTTTTTGAGTTTATATGCTTAAAAAAAGGAAATTTTAACAATAGATATATTATATATTGTATTTATTTGGCGTATGATACATACATACGATATTTACGATATTATTATCAGACATATCAGCTACATTACACTTCGCTCGTTATCAAAGACGGCGCACAAATTCTTCGGTCCGGCGGGTATTATATTATTCCGGTAAATATATATCATATTATCGTTGTTATATCATACTTTCACATAAAATAATAAGTATATCGTTATATCACGGGAATCAATTAATGATGATATCATGTTTTATGTACAATATCTTTTACTTTTATAACTTTAATTAATAAAAAGTATTATATGTTATTTATAGCTTTTGATTATATTGATTATATTTATTGTAAGTTTCAAATGATAATATTTATTCATTTTATTGTTATGACTTATGATCATAAAACATAACACTAATCCTTGCTTTGAACTTTCGTTTACAATTATTCCTAGGATTATTATTATGAGGCTGATTATTATTGATGTATGTGTGTATTGAATTCACGTGATATCAAGATATCACTTTTATAAGTTTGCTTTTTCAGCTGCTCTCTTAACAGCTGGTCTCTCAGAAATACGTTCAAACCATGCCTTTATATTTGGATAAGGTGTATCTTCTGCTTTTACCTTGTCACTGTATAATAACCAAGTGTATGATGCGATATCGGCTGTTGAAGAATTTAATTTACGAATTTAGTTTACGAATTTAATTTGCGAATTTAGTTTACAAATTATATACTAACCAATTGTATAATTATCACCAGCAAGATAATTGTATTCTCCAAGACGTTTATTCATAACTCCAAGTAATCGATCAACTTCTTTCGAATAACTTTTTTAAAATAATAATAAATTAATTAAATTAATCATTTTATAAATAACTCTTAAATAACTCTTAAATAACTCTTACCGTTCTTTAGCGTAATCAATGTTTGTAGAAGAGAAATGATTTGATTGTCCCATCATAGGTCCAAGTCCGGCAATTTGCCAATACAACCATTCATTAACCTTAACTCTCTCACGAGGATTTTTTGGATATAAATCTGGAGCACCTTCACCTTTCTTATAATCTGCTAAATATTGAAGAATTGCAGCACTTTCAAATATAGAAATAGGACTATCACCAAATTCTTTTGGAGGATTTTGATCAACTATAGCAGGAATTTTATTATTTGGAGAAATTTTTAAGAATTCTGGAGCGAATTGTTCATTTTTACCAATATTGATTAAACGAACATCATAAGGGATATTAAGTTCTTCAAGTACTACATAAATTTTCTTGCCTTATGGGATAAAAATAGGATAATTATAATTTAATATGATTTGAAATAAAATAAAAATAATAAAAATTATTTATATTATTATTTTACCATTTGGAGTAGGCCAAAGATAAGCTTGAATATCAACGGACATCTTTGAGAAATAAAAATTTCTTTGCAAATTTATTATGTTTAATTTATAATTATTCCAATTATTTGATGATTTGAAAGTTCCCAAACTAAAATTCTTGATCATTTTATACATTCTTCTTGAAGACAAAATCTGGTATAAATCTTTTTAAAAGCATAGATTACAAATAAATAATTCATACAATTTAAAAAGAATTCCCACACAAATATCATAATTACAAACGCGAGTTACGTCAATTTTTTAGCGATGACAAATTTTTAATAATTATTACTATGATTAATAATTAATTATTTTTTTCAGAGGAAATTCCCAGATTTTTTTTTTAATAATAAAAAAAAAAAAAAAAAAAATTAAATTTAATAATTGTGTAATGTAATTTAAGATTTAGTTTTTTGGATAATCTTTTTTACTAAAGAGATTTCTGGGAAATTTGACCATTTTTATATATAACATAAATAAATTGGTTAGAATAAGGCGCAGCAAATTACATTATTATTAATAGATTTTAACAAACAGGTTTTTGACAAATTAATATATCCTTATCAATCAGTAAAAAAAGTCAATTATAAATATAAACAATGTAAATATGTAATATATGTAATATATGTAATATATGTAAATAATGGAATTTTTAGATATTCTCGTTTTTTTGTCGATCATGCATTTTTTTTACAATGGGTTTAGGGAAATTTCTTTCTTTAGAATTGATTTTATTCATTGTGACCTTATAATTATTTAAATAATCATTTTTTTTTTTTTTTTTGTTTCAGATATTTTAGATAACAAAGATTCTGGAGAACATGAAGTCATGAACTCCTGTTTGAAATATAAATAATAATAATAAATATTTTTCTATATTTTCTTATAATGACTTTTTAGTTTATCAAATGAAAACTTTAAATATTTTGGAGTTACAAATTCTTTTCAAAGAACTTTTTTTCTATTTTTTTTCCTCCACGACAAATACAAAAATTTCCCGTTTTCTTATTTATAAAATTTCCCCTTTCAAGAATTCCCTTAAATATATACTTTATAAATCTGTTTTTAGATTAATTGAATCCTTCTTTAAAATTGTACGACATAAACTTTAGGTTTAAACATGTGGTAACAAACAAATGTCTACTAAACCGCAACCGTGCGTTAAAAGAAAGTATTAATGATGTTAAAAACGTATTTGCCACGTAAAAAAAATTCATCTCAACTCCAGACCAATTGTGTAACCAGATTGTGGTCGTGCATGTACTTGATTCATAGTTTGCTTTTGGGCGTACATTGATTCTATTTTGGCAGTTAACTGTTAATTGGTACATACAAAACTTATTATAAACTTATTATTATAAACTTTACATAAACTTTACTATATATAATCATATTAATATCCCTAAGCAATGTATGTTAATGTAAATTATGTACTTATTTGCAGCATTTACAGCATGGTTTCTTTAAAAGGTTATAGTATGATAAATTTTTAGGTTAGTATTTTTAATAGATGCCATCATCTTTCAAACTCCGGTTCTAATATAATATGTAAATTAGCCTAGTCCGCATGTACATGAAAAAAAATGTGCTTTTTTTTTACGAAAAGTTTAAAGTATTTAGGGTATTTAATCGCGTTTTTTTTTTTGCAGAGAGGAAATCGTACCAATTGTATTAATTTGCATACGGGTCCCATCATTTTTTACCAATAAAGTCCATCAATCTGCAATAAATTTTATTCTTTATATTAAACTAAAAATATAAAATTATATTAATTTAATATACTTTCAGAAAGTTCCGAATTTTTAAACTTACTGTAGTAAGTATATCAAGTATATCACCATTAATATTCGAATATTTATTTGTGGCGTAGCCTTTTTTTTTTCTTCTTCAATAACAATCTTTAATCTTATTCTTATCCCCCAACAAAAAAAAAAGGGAAAAAGCGGGATTATCTTTCGTCAAATCTAATATCTAAAGAATTTCTTTTCTTTTCTTTTTTTAATAAAGAAAAAGGGTGAAGAATTTTCTTTCTCTCTTTCTCTTACTCTTTCCCTTTTTTTTTTTGACTTTTAATGGTAAAATTAAAAAGAAAAGCCACAAGTTTAAAAAACTTCCGGTCTAGTATGAAAAGTTGAATTTTATCATAAGGATATCATAATTAAAAATTCTTCTATTCGATTATTTGAATTTAATTTGATTTCGAAATCACACGATTCACATCTGAATCTAGTCTTGAATAGTAAACGATTTTATATATATATATGTATGTATGTATTGATATATATATATCAGATACTATATGTTTGATTGATATATGTTGATATATATATAAAAAAAGAGATTTCACACATTTCACACGCATCACTGCCCGGTTTTCAATCAAGTTGTATGCTCGGGTTATATTTCAGTTTATAAATAAAATTTGAAATAAATACTTTGTATTTATTTACTTTTATTACCGATTTTTTTTTTTTTAAGAAAAAAAAAAAAATTTTTTGACGGCTGCAGGTCTTGGAACGAACGCGGAACAACAACTTCCAAACAAATTCTCCTTATTCGTTAATCTTGTGTTCCCCTTGTTAAACATAACTTCTTGGAATTTTGGTTTAAGGTTTGAAACCAAACAGAATTTTTTCTCTTCTTCATGTTTATAATTCCATTGCGGAATATCATTTTTTTTTTTTTTTTTTTTTTTTTTTTTTTTTTTTAAAAAAAAAAAAAAACAATCATCATCGCCAAATTTATTTATAATTTAATTCCTTTCTTTATAATCATCTCTTTTCTAAAAGTTTTATTATTTTTTCTCTTTCTCCTTTACACAATTTATTTCATAACCACTCCATTTTATCTAAATTGTCTTAATAACTTTCATAGAATAATTAGAAAACCTACGGGATTCAAAACCCCCATTTTTTTTTTTAATAATAAACAAAAGTATATAAAAAATACCCTCACATAAAAAGTAATATGGACGCCCTTCACTTCAAAATTGACCAGCTAAAATCATTATGGCAAGAATATCGTGTTGTAAATGAATATTCGGGTAAAGACTATTCAGATCAAGGAGAGTGGGCTCGAGAAAAACTACAGGTGAGTAAAAGAGGCCGTTGTCCTATTTTTGTTGGTTTCCATCAAGTACCTTGTACTTATTTCTTTAAACCGTTTTATTAGGGAATCTTGACAGAGTTTGATAAACTTATTCAAGAACAAATTTTATGGAAGTCAACTCTTACTGCTGAAATAGAAGATGTTCTCGTAAGTAAAATTTATCTTTTCTTTAACATTTCAATCTATTTTTTTCCCTTAAATACACTATGCTAATCAAACTCGGAAAATCTTTTCGAAAATAACTTTTAATAGTCCGAAATTGAAGAATATTGTCATATATTTGGTCGAAAAGTCGATATACTAATTGATCAAGCTGCTCTATTAAATTATGAAGTTAATAATGCCACGCGTGATAGACTTATGATTATCCGAAATTCGTTAAAAGAGGTTGGTAATATTTAAACAAAAAAAAAATTTAAGGGGGGGGGTTTTTTTTCTACGAAACGTTCAAACAATGATCATTGAATATTAATATTATGACGTTTTGTTTTCGGATCTAACCTCTTTTAGGAACATGAAATCACGAGACTAAATGTTAATAAATGGTTAGCCGGACTTAATACCTTTGTTCAAGAACTTGATGTCGATTATATTGTTCCATCAGCAGAGGTAATTAATTATATTATGATTATATGATTAGAAAATAAAAATTTAAATAATTTACATTATAAATATAAATTCTTAGGTTTTCGAAAATGATTTAAGCACATCCGTAGTTCGACCGGTTTGTATAAATAAATAATTTTATGATTTTTTAAAATTCCTACAGTTTGATTAAAAAAAAAATTTTTTTTTTTTTCAATATAGTTATGGTGTAAATATGATGAATACGCCCATGTAGTGGTAAAATATCTTATTTAATTAATTTTTTGTTTGATATTTGATCAATTTATGTTATGATTTTATTAACTTGATTATAAAATTTTATTATTGTTACCTTTTTCTTTACAGGTAGGATTACGTGGATCATTTGAAAATTCAACTATTAAACTTCATTATTATTGGGATAAACTTAACTATAAACCACAAGATGAAATAGACAAAGGTTTAGCTCAATTATTTTTAGATAAATCTATTCCAAATGAACTTTATGAATCTTTAATACAAAAAGAACAAGATAATCAAAATAAGGACAATGAAAATAATAACGATGATAGTGAATCAGAACAAAAATTAGATTTAGAATTAGATTTAGAGGCACAAGGATTTGTCTATTATAAACCACAACTTCCTGAAGGATTAAAATTAAAACCTGAACAACTAGAAATCTTGAAGAATAAATTGACTGAATTAGGAAAAGTTTATGAAGAACGTAAAGAAAAGATGTCTATGATGCAACGAAGTATCCAGAATCTTTATGATGAATTGGATATTCCTGAAGAAGATAGAATCAAATTGACCGACTCACTGGATCAAGAATATATGGACAAGGTAATATATCTTTTTTATAAAAATATATATATATTTATTTGTTTGTTTTTAATTTGTTCGAATCATTTCTATTTTTTTAGTTGGAAGTAGAGTTTGAAAGACTTAGAGAAATCATGCGTGCCAAGATTCAAAAAGCTATTGAAGAATATACTGTACAATTGGGTGAACTTTGGGATAAATGTTTGGTTCCTCAATATGAACGTGATGAATTCTTTTCCAGTTTACGTTCACGTAAGTTTAAAATGAACTTGACAATGATGAAACTTTAATTCATTTCACTTTGGTTAATCAATATATATATATATATATATTTACTTATTTATTTTTTAGTCGTATCTGCTGAAGAAGTTTACGAATTACTTGCCCAAGAAGTTGATCGATTACAAGATCTTTACATCAAATGTGCCAAGATATATAGATTGATGTTAGAAAGACGTGCTTTGATCGAGGTATGTATACCATTAATTTTATTTATTTATTTATTTTATTTGTTTTTTAAAACCTTTTTTTTTTTTATAGAAAATGATTGAATTCGAAAAATCAGCTTCGGATCCACGTCGTTTATTCCAACCCTCATTCCGTCTATTAGAAGAAGAAAAATGGCGTAAATCTTGCTGGCCTAATTTGGTAAAAATAGAAGATCAATTAATCAATGCTTGTATTGCGTATGAAGAAGGTAAAGTTCAAATCAATTAATGAATGATAAATCGTTTTAAAAACAAATTTTTTTTTTTTTAACCTTTTCAAATTATATATTAAAATTAGCTGAACGAAAACCTTTTATGCACGAAAGTAAACGTTACTTGGATACCTTGGTAAGTAAAGTAATATTGTAGTTGAATTGATTTTTTTGAGCAATATTCAATTAATCATTTCATATTTCTTTTTTTTTTAGCAATCGGAAATTTCAGAACGTATTGTAAATCAAATGTTCTTTGGTTTCGAACAAAATGGTAATAGTAAGAAGGATGAAAAAGAGAAAGACAATTCAAAGGGTCCAGCTAAACGTAGAGATAGTCAGGCAACTCGAGTATCGGCAAGTCGACCAGTTTCACCAACATTTTCTGTGAATGGAGATGCTACTAAACGAAGATCAATAGCATCCAGTCGACCAGTATCTCCCACAAGTGGAACGCGATCACGTAGAAATAGTCAAGTCCCTAAAATGTCTATTAGTAGAGCAACATCACCTTCTGGATTTGGATCATCATCTAAATCACGAAGGAATAGTCAAGCATTGCCACCCAGTCGATCAATCTCACCCGCACGTTCAGTTGCTTCATCACGCGCAACATCACGCGCAACATCACGCGCAGTTTCTCCAGCTAGATCAGAAGTTTCAGGAACTCGCAAGAGGAATAGCATGTTATTGACAAGTCCAATGGATTTCACATCGCATCCTGGTTTAACTTCCCGAACCACTTCCCGAACTACTTCCCGAACTAATTCTACAGATAATAAATCCTCGAGTTCACGAAGAACATCATTATATATGTCCAACACTTCTACAACGTCTACAACGACTAAAACAAATGGAACAAAATCTTCTAATAAACCAAATGAAACAAAATCTTCTAGTAAACCAAATGAAGACAAGTCTTCACGCCGACAATCATTGTATCTTGGGGATAACAAAAAAAACAATATTACACAAAGAAGTGATAGCGTATCTAGTTCTTCAAGTGAATCTTCATCCGTTTCATCTGTTTCTACACCAACTACACCCGAACCATCACAAATACCATATGTTGTCAATGGAAGATTGGGTGTACCTACATCCACAAAAATTAAAGTACAATCATCAAATGAAGCTCAAAGTAAATCAAATGTTAAATCAACGTTAATCCCATCTAATTCTCGACCTACTATGACTAGAAGATCAAATACAGCCCCAGCTAAGCCTAGACCAAGAAGTACAATTGTTATGTCTAATGAACCCTCAGCTTTGTTGAAGAAACAAGCAACAAAAAGAATGTCAATGATAATTGACGGAGGCCATTAATTAAAATTTTTTTATTTTTTTATCACAAGGACTTTATATTGTAAATTCTAGACAATTTTATTTTGTATACACAATTTGGACTATCATTATTTTTTTTTTTTTTTGGTCCAATTTTCATTCATAAAAGATACCAATATGTGTCCCTTAGATAAACAATATGAATATTTTAGCTCATTGTAAATTTTTATTTTGATAAGAGGATTAGTGATTTATTGCAATTTTAGTAAAGAACAATACAGATTTTTGAACAATTCATTTTTTTTTTAATTAAGGATCTTTTTGGTTAATCAAAAAAAAGAGAAAAAAAATTCCAAAAAAATTTAATAAATTTAATAAATTTCAACAAAAAAACAGGTATAATTATATAATGAATGGTTTATGGGTAACACAATTAGGTTAGCATTAAAGAATTTAGTCACGTGTGGTTCAAAAAATTTTTTATAAAAAGTTTGTGTTCAGAAATAGAAATTTATCTTTTTTTAACATGTTATCAATTTTTAAAAATACTTTAAACAATTTTATTCCTAAAAAATTAGTTTCATCTAATTTATATTTGTTGTAATTTGTTAAATTCTTTTCAAAAACGTTTATTAACATCATTATCCTCATCAAATAATGATAAAAATAATGACGAAAATAAAATAAAGGATAAAAAAAAGGAAAATAAAGAAATCGACAAAATTGACAAGAATGAATTTAATCAAAAGAATAATAATGGATCAAAATATCAACCAAGTATTGATGATATATTAGGTCTTTTTAGTTCAAACCAACAACAACAACAACATCATCATCATCATCATCATCCATTTTTAAACAAGAACAAGAAGAATCTTCATCATCAAAAGATAAAGAAAAGATGGATAATTTTTTATTTAATTTTTCATCAAATGAACCCAAAAAATCTTTATCACAAACTATTTCATCATCAACAACATCATCATCTTCAACATCATCTTCAAATAATGAGATAGCAAAACTTTTATCAGATTTTTTAGTTCTAACGGAAGAAAATTATATTCTTCATATTCATGCATCATATAATAATACTATAGTAACATTAACAAATTCTCGTGGTAATATTTTAATAACTAAATCAGGAGGTAGTGTTGGATTTAAAAAATCTCAAAGAGGTGGTTATGACTATGACCATTATGACTTGTATGACCGATCATAAGTCATTTGGTCATTCTAAATTTGTAAAGTCATATGACTTTGGTCATAATTTCTATTTCTAACCAATTAAATTAAAGTATTCATCAAAAACTTTATTGGCAAATTTTTTTTTTNTTTTTTTTGGTCCAATTTTCATTCATAAAAGATACCAATATGTGTCCCTTAGATAAACAATATGAATATTTTAGCTCATTGTAAATTTTTATTTTGATAAGAGGATTAGTGATTTATTGCAATTTTAGTAAAGAACAATACAGATTTTTGAACAATTCATTTTTTTTTTAATTAAGGATCTTTTTGGTTAATCAAAAAAAAGAGAAAAAAAATTCCAAAAAAATTTAATAAATTTAATAAATTTCAACAAAAAAACAGGTATAATTATATAATGAATGGTTTATGGGTAACACAATTAGGTTAGCATTAAAGAATTTAGTCACGTGTGGTTCAAAAAATTTTTTATAAAAAGTTTGTGTTCAGAAATAGAAATTTATCTTTTTTTAACATGTTATCAATTTTTAAAAATACTTTAAACAATTTTATTCCTAAAAAATTAGTTTCATCTAATTTATATTTGTTGTAATTTGTTAAATTCTTTTCAAAAACGTTTATTAACATCATTATCCTCATCAAATAATGATAAAAATAATGACGAAAATAAAATAAAGGATAAAAAAAAGGAAAATAAAGAAATCGACAAAATTGACAAGAATGAATTTAATCAAAAGAATAATAATGGATCAAAATATCAACCAAGTATTGATGATATATTAGGTCTTTTTAGTTCAAACCAACAACAACAACAACATCATCATCATCATCATCATCCATTTTTAAACAAGAACAAGAAGAATCTTCATCATCAAAAGATAAAGAAAAGATGGATAATTTTTTATTTAATTTTTCATCAAATGAACCCAAAAAATCTTTATCACAAACTATTTCATCATCAACAACATCATCATCTTCAACATCATCTTCAAATAATGAGATAGCAAAACTTTTATCAGATTTTTTAGTTCTAACGGAAGAAAATTATATTCTTCATATTCATGCATCATATAATAATACTATAGTAACATTAACAAATTCTCGTGGTAATATTTTAATAACTAAATCAGGAGGTAGTGTTGGATTTAAAAAATCTCAAAGAGGTGGTTATGACTATGACCATTATGACTTGTATGACCGATCATAAGTCATTTGGTCATTCTAAATTTGTAAAGTCATATGACTTTGGTCATAATTTCTATTTCTAACCAATTAAATTAAAGTATTCATCAAAAACTTTATTGGCAAATTTTTTTTTTATAAATTTGATTTTTATTACAAACCTGTTTTTTATAACGACAAAATTGTAAAAATATTCTATTAAATTGAATAAATGCAATAATTTTTATGCAACACTTTTAATATGCATTAGTGAATATTCATCTGAACCTAAGAATGAAGGAGATTCTAAAGAAGATTCAGATAAAGTACTTAAACTCCATTTTGCCCTTTTATCATCAGCAGGATGCACATTTTGACCTGTAAAATCAAAATCATTATTCCATTCTGGTGATAAAAAACATTCATCTTCATTATTTTTGAATTTGATTTTCCCTATTTCCCAATTCTATCCATTCTTTAATTAACTGATTCCACCTTTGTTCTTTATTTTGAATGATTAATTTTTCCCTATCATCATTGTTATTTGTAGTTTTATTATTATTTACTTTATTTTCATCATCACTTACTTGAATATATTTTCCTTCATTTAAATTATCATCTTTATTTTCATTGTCAGGGTAAATTGGTATCGCTATATAATATGAAGGCACTGCATTTCACATTTACATTCTCTGACATCTTTGATTTTACGAGTAAATAATATTTCACTTCAGATTTAACTCATTGCTAAAACTTTTTTTTGCTATTTATTATAAAAAAATAAAACTAAATTTATATTCTATATTTAAATAATATAATTAATAAAAAAAAGGTTATCTTCAAGCAATTTCACCAATTAGTATGTAAATAACCCATACTTGATCATAATCATTCTACAGATGCAGAATTGACGCTAATTCCATAGATACAGATTGCAACATGAGCCAATTCTGGATTTATACCAATTGTGGAGTCCCAAAAATCTACCAAATTACCATGAAACTGATTAAATGAATCCATATTATATGGATCTTTCACGTTTTTATATTTAGTCAATTTATGCAAAATTGATACAAGTTTAGATCTGAACTATGATTTTATAGTAGTACTTTAACCATTGACCAATATGAGTCCAGGTGAGATTTGGAGTTAATGAACAAAATTTTTGTAATTTATGAGATGGATAAAGCACAAAAAGAAGGATTAAAAGTGGTTGCTCCCATTCTTTCTAATGAGATTCAATTCTTTCTATTATTCTTGAACTAAATTCAAAATTATAATGACTGTCTAAGATTTTTGTAGTATAAGCAAAACAATGTAAAACTTCATAGAGCTGAGCAGAATCCTTTTATAATTTATTAAGAAATCTACAAAGTGGATATAATAGGTTCTGCAATTCAAATAGGGTATTCCAGAATTCTGAATTATTAATAATATATATCATCAGGAAGCTTTTGGTTACCACTTTTATCAATAGATTTTTTATTTGCTGGTATACTTGAAATACCATTATTTCTCATTACATTTGTTCGGCCATTATTAAATTTTGCTGAAAGAAACTGTTAAAATATAAAAAATAATTATTTTCTATAATTTTATATTAAAAACAAATAAATAATTTTAAATATACCTTAAGTGCAGATTTTGATTTCAAAATAGAATGAAAACAAAAGTAATATGAGTTCTATCTGGTATCTTCAGGAGTGACTAGTGTTATTGTTTTTTATATATATGCTTCTATTCATCCCTAAGATTTTAACTTCTTTAGATGTTCTTTGGTGTAATTCAGATTTTTTAAATATTTCCCCAAAGATTAGATTCATCTAGTAAGCTATACATAGCAAAAAAATTTTAGATGGATATTTTCTTTATAATTGAAGTCTAATATAAAAATATATAAAATGTTAAAAATTAATAGTAATAATAATAGCACAATAACATAGTATAACATATTGAGCAGCAGCATATTCTCCTGCTGAATCAAAAATAAAAGCTTTAATATTAATATGATCTTTATCCACATCAGACATTAATTTTTTAATATGCCTAATAACATCTTCCATTTTAAATCTTTCTGCACTTAGATCATATGCACCCCAAATTAGTAATTGTTCCAATGTAGTTATAAATACCACCCCCATATATACTCTTGTTTTACATTTGTCCAACCATCAAATGTAGCAGTTATGCTATCCTGATCATTTTTAGCAATTTTAATTATATTTTCTTGTAATAATTCAGAACTTTTAATTAATAACTTTCTGCTTATAGCTTTTTGTTTTGGTAATTTAATTCCTGGCGCAATAAACTGGAAAATAGCAATAGTTTCTTCATTCTCAACAAATGTGAAAGACAAACCATTTGATATAATTAAATGAAGCAATAATATTTCAAATAATGATAATTCACTTGTTGATAATGATCATTAATAAAAATTAATTATTGATGATTAATGTGAAAAAAAAGAAAGTTGTATCATAGATAAAGAAGTTGAAAGTCTTCGTCATTTAAAAAAAGTATTCTCTTCAGTACTATCTGCAATATAATTTAATATTAATTAATTAATAAATATAAAATTAAATATACAAAGAAATATTCACCATACAAATCATCATCTTTATCATCTTTGTTTGGTTCTTTACATTTCTTTTTATTCTCCTCTGGTACTGATAAAGCTAGAATTTCTTGTACTTCATCATCCACATATTCATAAAAATTTGAACATTTTGCTAAATGACTATAACAAAGACGTGTACAATTTACAGTATAACATTCAGGTTTACACAGGTCGAAAAGTGAAAAATCAGGCACCAATCGGTGACTGATTGGTGACTGATTGGTGACTGATTGATGCCTAATTTTTCACTTTTCGACCTGTGTTAATTTGTGCCGTCCTATACCATCATGTTTAATTATGCAATAATTATACACAGCTAAAGCATTTGTAGAATTATTAGAATTTTTTATTAATGTAAAATATGGGCAAAAATTATATTGCTGCCTTGTAAGAATAACGCTGCAAATAGGCAATTGTGGAATAATTGCAATTTGCAGTATTGCAGAACATTGCAGATTTTGAAGTCTAAATATCTTCCGCAAATGATCTAAAGTACCGCAATTCAACTGCGGTACAATTGCAATACTTTACAAAATTGCGGAATATTTGCAGATTTGCCAATTTGCCAATTATAGTCCGCCAGTCTGATACAAATTATCAGACAAATTGCATAGTACAAATCATCTGATGATCTTTTTTTCTTTTTTATTGAAGTTTTTGGACAAAAATTATGACTGAACTTTTTAAAATGGAGTCATGAAAAAGAGTTGTTGTTACTTTTTTTTTAATATTTTCAAACTAATTTATTTTTTTTTTCATTTTTGCAGAGTTGCCGGACGAAAAGCATGACCAAACTTCTGGAATTGAAATAAGGGAGGACTGGGAAAGGATTTTGTTACTTTTTTTTAATAATTTTCACTAATTTATTTTTTTTTGTTTTTGTAAAGTTGTTGGACAAAAAGCATGAAGATTGAGGTAAGGGAGGACCAGAAAATTTTCATTATTTTTTTTTTTGATAAATTTAATTAATTTATTTTTTTTCTTTTTGCAGAGTTTCAATAATTAAAGACATGACCAGAATTTTGAAATTAAAGTAAGGGAGGACTGAAGGAATAGATGTTTGTTAGCTATTTTCTTTAAAAAGAAATATTACTAACATTTCTACTTTTTTTTTATAGGGTTGCTGGATGAAAATATATATAGCAGGAGACTTATTTTAAAAAATGGACAAAATTATCCAGAATTTTTTCTAAGAAATGGCGCAGTTATGCAATTTAGAAAAATATCAGTCTATGCTTAAGACGAATGATAAACAAATAAACAAACAAATAAATAAATTTATTATATTGATTTAAAAAACATTTTTATTTATTTATCATTATAAAACGTTTAAAAAATAATTTATTATTTAAAAACATCAGGCAATCAGAATTGTGAAATTGCGAATTACTAACTGCAATTTGACTCCAAAATTCACAATATTGCAGATTTGAAAAATCATTTGAGGGCCCATCCTTACTGTCTTGTCATTTTAAAGAATTTAGTTTGAAAGCTCAAAGGCAAAGACATAATTAGATAAAACACAATTATAATTAATATGATACAAGGATTTTATTGGTAAAGTCATATAACTAAATTAATAATGCATTATTATTGGAAGTCATATTGGTCATATGATCAGAAGTCATATAATTATGACCAAATGCCGTTTGACCACTGGTCATATAGACATATGACTATGAAATTTCTATATAACCTGATCATAATCCAACACTGCTTTTTAGTACGTGAGTCAGATGATTGATATATGAATTTAGTGCAACAGTTACAATGATCACATGCATTTAATAGTAATTTAGGGTCTTTAATTTCAGTCCAAATCCAATAATCAGCTATCTTTTTTAACATGTTATCAATTTTTAAAAATACTTTAAACAATTTTATTCCTAAAAAATTGGTTTTATCTAATTTATATTTGTTATATTTATATAGTAATTTGTCAAATTCTTTTCAAAAATGTTTATTAACATCATCATTCTCATTGAATAATGATAAAAATAATGATAAAAATAAAATAGAGGATAAAATAGAGGAAAAGAAAGAAATTGATGAAATTGACAAGAATGAATTTAATCAAAAGAATAATGATGGATTAAAATATCAACCAAGTATTGATGATATATTAGGTTTTTTTAGTTCAAACCAACCAACAACAACAACAATATCATCATCATCCATTTTTAAACAAGAACAAGAAGAATCTTCATTATCAAAAGATAAAGAAAAGATGGATAATTTTTTATTTAATTTTTCATCAAATGAATCCAAAAAATCTTTATCACAAACTATTTTATCATCAATAACATCATCATCTTCAACATCATTTTCAAATAATGAGATAGCAAAACTTTTATCAGATTTTTTAGTTCCAAGTTTCAACGGAAGAAAATTATATTCTTCATACTTATGCATCATATAATAATATTATAGTAACATTAATAAATTCTCGTGGTAATATTTTAATAACTAAATCAGAAGATAGTGTTGGATTTAAAAAATCTCAAAGAGGTGGTTATAAAACTGCTCATCAAGCTGCTATTGGTGTTATAAGCAACAAAAAGAATGTCAATGATAATTGATAAAGATCATTAATTAAAATTTTTTTATTTTTTTATCACAAGACTTTATATTGTAAATTCTAAACAAATTTATTTTGGTCTCTTATACACATCTAGATGTGTATAAGAGACAGTCTTTGGAGAATATTTCATTCCAAAGGTATATTTATTATTTTCATTTTATTTTATTTTTATTAAATTTTTTTTTTTTTCAAGAATACTTAATTAAAATTTTTTTATTTTTTTATCACAAG